GGTTAGGTGCTCTCTGCTTGTCTTGGGTTAGGTACTTGGGTTGAACCACTAGGCTTTTCATTGCCATTTATAACAGTGAGTTGTTGGGAGTGTCTGAGTGGTTTCTAAGGAAGTTAGAACAAGAGATTTGACCGGTATCCATGATGGCTTGCACCCTACTAGGAAGCAGGTGTCTTCCAACAGCTGCATGGCTGCCAGGTAGGTAGACAGATGGAAATGAATTGATGTTTGCACAAAACCAAACTACAAGTGTTACACTGTTGAATTTGAGATGCACTTGGACCTTGTGTCTGAGCTGTGATTCCAGGATAGAATTTAGAAACAATGAGAACCCAGGAAACAAGTTTCAGCTAAATGTTAGGAGAGGCTGCATGCATGCCATGTCTTAATGGAGTGGAGTTGGTGGTTATCCTGAGGGAAGAGCTCTGCATCATTCCCCAAGTGTCAGCTTGTGGGCAGAGATCAAATCTCTGGAAGATAACTCAGCCTCCTTACTTTGTGATCTACTTCCTCCTATCCCTTTAAAGAAGTAGTAGTAATTAGGTCAGTGCAGAACATTCTACAATATTGTGTTCAATATACTGAATACCTGTGCTTTAAATACAAACAAGTTAAAACCAAGTACAAAATGAATAATTGATAATTTGAAATAGGAAGAAAGGTCCAAAGACGAAGGAGTAAAGGGAAGGGGAAAATACAAGAAGGAAAGGAAAAACTATGAGAAAAGAAAAAAAAAATGGAAATGAAATCTATGTAAATAGGGAAGGGCGGAGGGGGTGAAGGGCGCACAGGTAATGGGGAAAAAAATAAGAGCCAAAATACATCGTGTACAGGTACAAGCACCCAATGATAAATGTAAACATATTGTATACCTAAAATGTACCAATAAAAGGACTAAAAAAAAAAAAAAAACCGAGTACAGCCCAGGCTCCTGAGTTGACAGAGGGAAGTGTAGATTTCTGGCACCAGTTTTAATTTTGAAGACAAAGGGACAGTACAGGGAGCCAGGAGCATCACAGCTGTGAGTGGTTGCTGACTGGCCAGTTGCAGTCACTCAAGTGCCACTGCATGTGTATAAAGCTCATGAGCTGTGGCGTTTGCTTTCTGTGATACAGTTGCTAATTCTGGTCTCTTTGGCAGCCGTCAAGATCAAGAAGAACAAAGATAACGTGAAGTTTAAAGTCCGATGCAGCAGATATCTTTACACCTTGGTCATCACAGACAAAGAAAAGGCAGAGAAACTGAAGCAGTCCCTGCCCCCAGGTGAGTGAGCCCCTTACTGTGGAAACACTTAATATTTTAATCAGAACCTCTCTTGTGAGCCCCTCTTAGGTTAAAGGACAAAATTGGGGCAGACAGCATAAATCAAGTAAAATGACTTACTGTCATTTCTTTCCCTCTAGGTTTGGCAGTAAAGGAGCTGAAATGAACCAGCCAGACTGATGTGAAGTGTATTAAAAAGCTTTGAAAGTCTAAAGTGTCCTCTGTCTTTGAAGATGGGGGGAAAGTGCTATTCAGTAGTGGGGTTAGGGGTGGGTTCTGGTTGCTACATCTTGTATTGTGAATATTGGGGTGGGATCTCAATGTACAAATAAAGCCACTGAAAATCAGTAGATGTAGGTAGGTCACAATGAGAGTAAGCAGAAGAGCCAAATTTATGGAACAGTCTGCATTCAGAGACTTAGCGGTGGTTTCATATACACTGTTGAAATACTCCTTGGAGGCCCGAGGATTTAGCTTAGTGGTTCCACCGCCTGCCTGGCAGACACAAGGTCCCGAGTTCGATCCCCAGTACCAACAAAGAAATATTCTTTGGATGCAGAAGTAGAATTTTTTTTCAGGCTGGCACTGTCATGGCAAAGGCCTCCAGAAGAGCCTTGGAAAACAAGCTGTGCTATCCTAGCGTGGGATGATGGAACAGGCATTTCAGAGAATTGGGAAATATCAAAGAAAGGCAAAGTGGAGAGAGACCTTGAAGACGACTCTCTAATCCACTTGACATTTCAAGGGAGAACCCTGTTTATTTCTCCACAGGTCTGAGCCAGGCCCTTAGCCTGGCCCTAAAAAAGCATTGGCAGTTCTCTGGTAGGAGTGGAAGTGGTGACAGGACCAGCTATTCTAACAGGTCCATAAACAGCCAAATCCAGTATGGGTAATGAAAGGACCAGCCAGGGATCCTAATCCTGCCACTTGGTAACCCCTGTGGGTTTAAGAAATTACTTCATCTCTGCCTGTTTCCTTGGATGGAAAAGAGCTATGTTAATGCCTCTGTCTTTGGTTTACTGAATTAAATGTGCTAGTGTAAGTTTTGAACTGTGGCAACACATAATACTGTACTAGCAAAATAGTGGGCGCAAGTAGCTTAGGGTTACGTTGGGATGGCCACCAGGGGGCGCTACACTGCAGCAAATAAACAAGTCACCTGTAAGTATTTGGAAGTGGCTTACATTAAAATCCATTTTCAAGTGTAGGTGCCTGGGGTAGATTTATTTCCATCTCCACCTTTTTAAAGTGGCAAACTGTATTACATTAAGTGGTTAGCATTTTTATAACTGCAAGGATGTGAAGTTTTCAAATGTCGAGTTTATTAAAGGGTGGGCTTTGTTTACTCCCGGAAAGGGTGACAGAAGGGCCACTCATTAGTTGGTGGCAGATCCAGATATGGCATCTTTGGAAGCTTTCTGATCTTCCCCCTTTAAACATTAAGATTCCCAAGGGAGAATGAGTTTGCCACTTTGGCTTTCCTTTGTCCCTGGCACATTGTCCAGAGATTCGCCCTAGCTCCTAGGAGACAAGCTTTGCCCAGATTTGTGGGGAGAAGGCCTCCTTTCATGCTACACTTCCCACCCTGGCTTGTGCTGGCTGACTTCCGAGATTCTGATTCAGTGGGAATGGTCTGAAGCCCTGCCTCAGTGTCCTGTGTCCCTGGCTCACCTCTAGGGCAGTGTGCCTGTGGGAACAGCCCGAATGCTGTCAGCTGTTGATATTCCAAGCTGCACTTGGCTGTGACTGTAGCCCAGAAGGAGAGCCCTTGAAGTTAGCTGCTTCAGTGTCATGCACAAGTCTGCACCAGCTCCCTCTGGCCCAGGTCCTGCTGTGTCTGGAGTTCCCCTGCAGCAGGTTCAAAGCTAGTGCAGAGGTAACTGCTTACTCCCCACAAGCCAGGTGCCTCCCACCTAGGCACGCTGGTATCTTGCCCTCCCTTCTCAGCTGAGGTACTGTCCAGGTGCAATTCTGATCTTGTTGGGAGGCTTCATGGCAAGGGTGAACAGCCTTGTCCTGTGCCACTGGTCTGGAGGAGGCAGGCAGGAGGGAGGAGGAGTCTGTACCAAACAGCTTCTTGGGTCCAGGTGGGCCTGTGATCTGGCCCTTGCTTACCTCACCAGCCTCTCACGTGTTAAAACTAAAGTGAGGCCTTTTTTTTCCAGGTGACTTTCACCTTTTTGGTGAAAAGGTGTAACCACTCTAATTCTGACATTTCCCACACCCCACCCCACCCCCGGAAGTTAGCCAGTGTGCACTCAGGTCTTGCATTTGCTGGCTCCTCCTACCCACAGCCCAGACCTGCCATCAGGACACCCCCCCACCCCACCCCACCCCTGCTAACTCCCCATCATTCATCAACTCAACTGTGGTTTTTTTGAGAAACATCCTGGCCTTGGCTCAAAGCACTTAAGAGGTTTATAATTAAGCACTGTGCAAGCTAAAGACCGGCCTCACTTCCCCTACTAAAACACGGTGCAGACAGAAACTTGTATGATTTATCAGTCGCTCTCCCCAGAGAAAAGGTCCCCAAATGTGCAGAGTTGGTGAAGGAAGCCCCTGTGAATGAGAGGTCCCTGGGTTCCTGTGCCCCTCCAGCCAGCTTCAGCCTCTGGCATCTGTACTGGGTTGTGCCGGCCTGGAGAGGCCCCGGACGACAGGGCAGCGCCTGACTCCTGGCTCAGCATCTCCGATGGAGCAGGCCCTGTCTGTTCCCCACCCTAACAGCCACACGCGTTTGCAGGGCATCCAATCCTAGCTGGAAATCCAGGAGTCCCTCCTGCCCCTGCCAGATTTCCTTTCTCACTCTTCACATCACAACACCGCATTGGGCTAGCTGCCCAGCGCTGTCTCCAGCCAAGCTGCTCCTGGCGACCCCCTCGCCATCTCACAGACCCCCTACTGCTTCCAGCCTGGGCGCCTGGCTCGCTCACACGAGCTGTACGCAGTCGGGTGCGGGCTCTGTCGGTGTGCAAAGGTCTGAGGCCCGAAAGGCTCTGCTGAGGGCAGTTGCTCAGTGGCCGCCTCACCCTGCCTCGCTTTCCCCTAAAGCACAGTCTAACCCCGCACGCTTGGCGCCTTGCGTGGGTGTCAGTGTCCGCCCCCACGGAAGTGCAGCGCGCGGGGGGCCGAGGGCCTGCATCTTCTCTCTTGGTCCCCACGTCCCCTCTCTTGGCCCTCGGACAGCTCAAAAGCCTCTTCTTCCAGGACGCCGGCCCCGTCCCTCCCTCCAGAAGGACTCTCGGTCCCCAAACACCCGGTCCCAACTCCGGGCGCCGGGCAGGCAGCATCGTTAGCTGCTGGGGCAGCTGGCCTGACAGCTGTCCTGTTTCTCTGAGTCCACATGCTTTACATAGTGGACGCTCAAATGAAGGACTGGGGCTGAATCTGGACAAGTGACCAAGTTCACTCACCCTCTAACAAGCCTGGGAAGTCGCGGGCCTCGCCTCTCGCCCATGACTGCTACCTGCACTGGACGTTTCATAGCCTTGATTTCCTATACATCACTGTAAGAATCCCGGGGACTTAGAGACCGAAATCGCTTCTTCCGGCCCTTTCGCCCCTCTGCCAGGACAGGACCAGGACCAGGACCAGAACGGGGCTGCAGGCCTTTGGGAGGGGGCCCAGGAGGAGCCCAAGGGCCGGTCCGGACAGGGGCGTGGCCTGGGACCTCGATGGGCGGGACCCGGTCACGGGGCGTGGCCTGGTCGCGGAGGGGCGGGGCCTGGGCCCGGCGCGCGGCGCGGGCCGGGTGGCGCGGCACAGTGGGCCGCAGCGGGCGGGCGGCGCTCCGGCGAAGCCATGTCTGCGGCGCGCGTGGACTACATCGCGCCCTGGTGGGTCGTGTGGCTGCACAGCGTCCCGCACTTCAGCCTGCGCCTGCAGCCGGTGGACAGCACCTTTAATCCCCGCGACAAGAGTTACCAGGAGGTGAGCCGCGCGCCCGCACGCAGCTCTCAAACTCCCCGCGGCCCCTTCCCTTCTCCCCTTCCTCCCGGGACGCCTGGCCCCTCCTGAGGACACCTCGGGGCTCGGGGACAGGGGGAAGCTCGGCGTGGCGCGGGCGCTGGGAAGGGAGGAAGGCGGCGGGCGGGGGCGCCGGGCCGGGCCGGTTGGGGGCGTCCGCGTCCGGCAGCTCCGCGGGGGTGCCGTGGAGCTCCCCGAAGTTTTCCTCCCTCCCGAATTCCAACCCGCGATGCTCTCCTCCCGGCCGGGTGGCCTGGCAGAAGTTTGGGCAGAAACGGGCTTGAGTCTCCGAGGCCGGCTCGGGCTCCCTGCGCCCCTGCTCCTGGCCCCTGCCTGCAGGGTGGGAGCCACTGCCAAGACCTCGCCCGGGCCCCTGCTGGGGGCTGCGGGGCCGCGGAGGCGGCGTGGGTGACTTCCCCCCTTGTGCTTCTTTCTGGAAAGGAAGGTGGCCTCAAATCAGCCGCCTCTCGCACCGCGTCCTGCCTGAGTCCACACCCACCCACCCCCGTGCTGACAGCCAACCTCCTCTTTGTCCTCTGCTTGCGCCGGGGCTGCTCCATCCCTGTGTCCCTGCTCATACTTCTAGGCCTGGAAATTTTGGCGTCTTGGCTTCTTGTCCAGTCTCCCCTCAGCCTTGCACTTCTCTCCAAAAGTGTCTGCACCCCGACCACCCTGACAGATGGAGCTGCAGCCTCCCAGCCCATCCCGGGTGTGGCTGAGCCCACCCCGGGCTCTGCTGACTCGGTTACGTCCGTTGGATCAAAGAATCAGAGAGCTGGGCAGCCCAGGAAGGGACTCATTTGTTCAGAGCTGTGTACCCAGCTTGGGACTTTGGCCCCAGCGGCCTCTGCCTGCCGTCAAGGCATTGACCTTTTCATTTCCCTGCCTGGGGCAGTGGGGCCAAGCCGGGCCTCCTATAGGTTGTGCCTGGGAGTCACCTGCTGGCCTCTGCCCTTTTCAGGCCTTCCTCCCTCAGGGTCCAGGGATCCTAAGTGGGTAGGCTGGATACTGCCCATGTGCCAGTGCCAGTGACCAGGAGTCTAATAATAACCCCTGGTGCCCTGGCTGCCTCCAGGCCCAGGCAGTTGGTGCCTGCTTTTCCAGGAGGAAAAATGGGACCCTTCCTGCTCTAGGTGGGCTTGGCCAGCTCTTTCCCCTTCGGTGTCCACCCCTCCCTTTCCCAGACCCCCAAAAGAGGAAGGCAGTGTTCCTTGAGAATGGGCTGCCTGGGGATAGCCCCAGGGGATCTTCCGCTCCCAAAGAATGCAGGAAAAGAGGCGGATGTGATTTCAGAGACAGCTGTGCTCTGGGGTGGGTGCCCCAAACCCTCCCCCTGGGCCTCAGCCATATTTTCCTCTCTACTGGAGGAAATAACCCCAGCTGGGTGCAGAAGACCCCCTAAGTCAGGGGGCACCTTAAGGGCTCTCCCTTATCCCTCTGGCCCCCGGACACAGCACCTGTCCTGCCAGCAGCTGAGGCTGGGAGGATTTGAACCTGCCCCACCCACCCCCAGTCCCAGGGACAGGTGGCAGCTGAGCCAGCAGGACCCACTCACCGCTCTGCCCCCCCTCCAGGGTCCTGGCCTTGACACCCTTTGTGCTGGGCTCCAGAGGGTGTCCCCTTCCAAAGCCGCTGGTCCTGCCCTGCCCCCCTCACCCCAGTCCTGCTGGGTGGAAGTAGAGCACTGAATGGAAGGCAGGACTGAAATCTGGCTTTTGGGGTTACTTAAGGCCACTCCTGTTTTGGCAAGTTCCCCCCTTGTCTGACCACTGGTCTCCTTTCCTCCTGAACCCCTGTCACAGCCAGTGTCAGGCAGCAGCAGGTCAGTTCACAGCATGGATTGGGCACCTGCTATCAGGCCTGGGTGACCATGAGAACGAGGCAGCAGGCCTTTGAGAGCAGGGCCTGCGGGTTCTCTAGGGCCAGGCTGTGGGCACAGTGCTATGGCAGCAGCCAGGGAGTTGAAATGGTGGCTTTGCCATCACCTAACCAGGTTGGGTTCCAGTTCTGTCACTGTGGGACCATGAGCAGATGTCTTAACCTCTGGAAGATTTGCTTCTTCCATCACAAGTGTTAAATGAGATATGACACAGAACATGCTTAGTACAGAGGGTCCCACAGCACATAATAGGCCGCCCTGATACAAATCATTAGACGGTTAGCCTTAAGTTTACTTGTAAGCACAATACCCCAGAGGAGTAGGGAGGAAAGAGAGCTCCAACCCTGATCAGGGGAGTCTGGGGGGAAAAAGAATGCAGAAGGAGCTTCCGCTCATGCCCTAAATGTCCAAACAAACCGTGCAGGCTTGTGTGTCAGCGTGTGTGCACGCAGGTGTGTCAAAGATAAAGTGAAGATGGGAACAGGCAGGGGCAGGCCTCAGGAAGGCTGGGGAGTGGCTGCCTTATGTATGAGGTCTAGAAGGCAAAAGGGGGTCTTAGAAGAATGGGGGGCTGCAAAACAGGTCACTTGACAAACTGGAAGACCGGGAGCCAGTTTTCTGTCCCTGGACCTCCCTGAGGAAGTAGGTTCCTCCCTCACTTGGGGGTCTTTGGGGACAGTGGAAACCTCCCATTCCTCCCATAGCTGATCTTCCATCCCTCCCTGCAGCGAACCTGAGCCTGAGTTCTCAGGAAGGCTCCTTGGCCTGCCTGCATCCACAGCTTCCTTGGGAGGTTGCCCGGGGGCCAGCTGAGGCTGAGAGACTAACGGGAGCCGGGCAGGTGGCAGGGCAGGGGAAGGGAGTCCCCACCTCCTTTGACAGGCCATGAGGGTTGGACATGGAGATGATCCTGTGGGTGACTCCTGGCTCCTTCTAAATCACCATAATCCCTGCTTGGGAAGGAGGAGACCCCAGCTGGCCAGGTGTCCTTTGGGTAGCATTGGTGACAACAAACAGAAAGAGGACCTGGCATGAAATCTACCTGTGGCTCTCTGAACAGAGAACTTCAGTTTCCTCCTTCCCCGGGCTTTGGTGTCAAGGTTTAGCCCATCCCAGAGGGGAAAACCAGACTCCTTGAGCCTGACAGTGTGTGTTTCCGGTTCTGCCTTTCCTTGCCCTGAGTCAGGAGTTGTCCTCTGAGACAAGTGTTTGGAGACAAATGGCATGTTTCAATTGTTGTATTTAGGTGAGATTCTTTGTTCCTCTTTGAGTGCTTCAGAGAGACTTAAGTGTGTGTCCTCAGGCTAGAGGCGGGGACAGGAGTCTGAGGAGGAAAGACCAGAGGGCAACTCCCACCCCGGCCAGGAGGAGGAAGAGCTGTGGCCAGGCTGAGGGAGCGCCTTTCATCGAGCCTGGCCCTGAGTCACAGTCACTTGACAGTCATGCTCAGTCAGGAGGGGGTGCACCTGTTCCCCACCCCGGCCTCACCCGAGATTAGCCCACCTCTCTGATTGTCTCCTGGGGACCAGTACACTGAGCAGTGCTCACATCACCCCCACCCCAGGGTCCTGAGCTCTGGCTTCTGGAACGGAGTTTCTCATTACAAAACGACAAACTAGAAATGATTGAAGTGGCATGAATGAGGGCAGAGGCAGAGGCAGCGCTGATGTGGCCTCCGGGCACAGTGGGAGATGCACTGTGGGAGACGCTGGGTGGTATGGGAGACATCCTTGCTAAGTGCTGTCCATTGAGCAAGAGGGCGTGTGAGCAGAGCTCGGCTTCCCCACTCAGCCCCCCTCCTGGTCACCAAGGTTGTCGTGCACTTGGGGACTGGAGTGTTAATTAGGAGTAGGAAAGTAATCACCCATTAGAGAGCAGCAGGTGACACCAAGTTGGCTGATTGCTTGGGCTCGCCTCCTTCCCTCTCCCTTTCCTCCCTTCCCTCCTCCTATTCCCTTTGCCTGCTTTGCCCCATCTCACCGCGTGTGTCTGGTCCCCCCCACCTGCTCTGCTGCAGCCTTGCCCTCAGTAGGGAGGGCAGGGTTCCGGAGGTGAGCTGCCTACAGAAGACCTCAGAGTTTGGGTTTCCCAGGCATCCCCGAGCCTTCCCGAACTGGATGCATTATTGTCACCTAATTGAGGCCAGCTGCCCAGCTCAGTCCGAAAAATCACAGGCTGCTCACAGGAGGTCAGGAGGGACCTCAGCCACAGGGAGGGACTTGGCAGGGGGTGGGCGTGGGGAAACTGACAGGGCCCCCGCTCACATCTCCCCTCCACCACTTGGTGTGGGGGGGTGTCTTTCCTTCTGGGTGGGAACACAGGATAGATCTCTGGCGTTCCCTGTTTTGGAGAGATCAGTGGGACTAGCCTGGGCACAGTGACGTGAAGGGTCGCTAGGGAAGGTGTGGGTGTTAGCTGTGCTGCTTGAGAGGCCCACCTGGTGTTCCATTATTTTTTATAAGTTATTAGGAATAACTTAAACATGCACAGTCTGAAGTGTCCATCCCAATGCATTCGTAAGTGACGTGTGAGGCACCATCCCATCAAAGCATATCAGAGGTAGCTACTATTTACACTTCCACTGCTATAGTAGAGCATCTCTGATCTTATACTTTGTTTTTTTGGGTTTTTTTTTTTGGTACTGGGGATCAAATTCGGGACCTTTTGCTTGTGAGGCAGGCGCTGGGACCACTGAGCTAAATCCCCGGCCTCTGATCTTATACTTTATATAAATTAAACATCCAGTCTGCTGGTGTGCTACCCAGGAGATTCATCTACCTCATTATGTGGAGCTGCTGTTTCTTTTTCATGGCTGCATGGTATGCCACTTAATGACAGTAAGCATAGTGTGTGCGTGTCTTGTCAGTGAACCTCTAGAGTATTTTGGTAGTTGGTAGTTGCTGCTGTGGACTTTTGTGTGTGGATCTTGTTGGAGACAAGCCTTCTTTTCTGTGGAGATGTTGGATCATAGCATGTGTGTTGCCCAGTAGTTTGCCAATTACTAAAGTGTCCCTGGATTTTAGTAGAGGGGTCCAAGGGCCTGTGGTGGCCAGGACAGACCATGGCATTTGCATCCACCAAGGTGTAGTATGTCTGGGCTTTGCTGAGCAAATCAGTTTTAAGAAAATTTAAGCTTCTGGGGAAAGACTGAGAACTTGTGTTGACATGTTTCTGGTGCTTCTCGGGCTTGAGTAGGACACCGATTGATTGGGTCAGCTGGGTGAGCTGGCGTCTCGGAAGCTGGAGTTCAGACCAGGCCTCGAGGCTCTGCACGGCTGGGCAGCTCCTGGGAGCCATCAGTGTCACAGTTAAAGGTCAGCTTGCAGCATGGAGATCTTCACTTTGAGGGAAGTGGCCCCAAGCCCCACCCACCCTGGCCCCCTCCACCTTGGCCTGGGGCCCCTGCAAGGGACTGGTCATGCTAATGAGTGCTCCAGGAAGGGGCAGTGCCAGCCCCCACCCCCTCAGAGCTACTGCCTGTCTTCCTAGCTGCCTGGAGGAGGGCAGTGAATTCCCAGTGGTACCTCTGACAGGCACACCCGGGGTGGAAGTGAAAGCCACATTCTGTGTCAGACCCATGTGGCCCACCTGGGCTGCCTCTAGGCTGTCCTGTCCTCACCGCTGCCGCCATTGGTCCCCAAGACTGAGACACTTATCCGTCCAGGTGAGCATCAGAGCTGCCCAGCTCAGGGCCAGTGGCCTGCCTGAGTCTGCACAGGGCTGGGCAGCCGAGCACAGCTGGAAAAGGGCCGGTAGCTCCTGCCGGCATCCCCAGCCCTGTGCTCTGTCCTCTAGAAGATGGCCGCAGACCTTGGGTGGCAGCCACTGGCCTCTGCGTCAGGTTGGCTCTACGTGTCCCCCTGTACATGGCTTGTCGTCTGTCAGACCTTCTGGGCCCGCAGTCTCCCCACACTGCTGACTGCCACCAGCATCCAGAGTCCCTGACACAGGCTCTCCATCCACACTGGGGTGTGGGGACTGTGGACAGGGACCCACTCGGGCCCATGGGAAACAGGGTAGGCCGTCCACTCGGGAGCCTGACTCAGAGCCAAGTTCAGCTCTGGCTGATGGCCACCAATCCTGGGGCCATCTGGTGTCCATCTGGCTGAATCAAAAGATTGGAGGATGTGGCAGGCAGGTGGGGGGTGGGGACAGGCCTCCTGGCACATAACTCCTGCCCTTGCAGGACACCCTGAGGTGCTAGGTGGGTCTGAGAAGGCAACTCCTGCTCCCACCGGCTCCTGGGTCAGCTGCCATCCTGCTCTTTGCAGAATGCAGTGGAAGGGGTGCATGGTTTGCACATCTTGGCTTCCTTTATCTCTTTCCCAGCCCCCTCGCTCACCCCCTCAGAAGGGAGCTGGCTTCTCATCACTCTGGATGGGCACCTAGAATGGGCACATTAGATTCTGGCATAGAGGGGCAACAGCCCTGCCAGCTGCTCCACTTGGTACCTGAGGCATCCTGCCCAAGCTCCGCCTCCTCCTAGAGACCCTTGGGTGCTTTGGACCCCGTGGACATCTTATCTGCCTCCCTTGGCAGCAGATGAGGTGTGATTGAAAAATACAATGAATGTTGACATTTTTTAAAGTTTATTACAGTAAGAGACACATTGACATTGGTCCCCCTCAAAATCTACCCTCTCTCTTAGAACACACTTATCCCATCTTTCTTGCCACTTTCTAAAGCAGTTCTGGAAGTCCTCTTTCATGATTGTCTTTAGTTGCACTGCCCTGGCGGCCTTGATGTCCTGAGTCAATTCAAAACATTTACCTTTCATGATCATCTTGACTTTGGGAAAGAGCCAGAATTTTCACGGTGCCAGACCCAGTGAGTAAGTACATGAGGACACACCATAATGTCTTTGTAAGCCTGCCTTTTCATTGGAAGGCACTTGCCCATAGCAGTCATCATATTTTTTTATCACACCTGGTGAAGACACGTACCAAAGAGAACTTCCAGAGCTGCTTCTGAAAGTGCCAGGAGTGATGGAATGAGGGGAAGTATTTTGAGAGGGATTCGTGGCAATGTGTCTGTTACTGTAATAATTGTTTTTAAATTTAAACATTCTCTGCATATTTTGATCACCCCTTAGAGCTTGTAGCTTGCTGCCCTCCGGTGGGCAGTTCCTGCCTCCTTTCCTGGGGTCTCAGAGCTTTGCCTCAGGCTGGGCCTGCTCTGTACTTTGACCCAGGTGTGGAAGCCGGAATCCTGGGCCAGCCTTTCGTGCTCTCCTCCCTGCCTCCTGAGCCCTCTCGCTCCTTCCCCATCACCCCACTCTGTGATGTTCACAGAACGGGAGCTCTCATCAGAGAGGAGGGACAAGGGCAGACAGAAGCATGGGGTGGCTGGCAGTCACAGAGCTCCACCCTCTGAGCCCAAGCCGGCCACTCCCAGAGTTCCCCCTGCTGGGACAAGAGCTCACCCCAGCCTCTCTCTTCCAGTCACTGCTGCTCCTGGGGCTGCTGGCTGCCATCTGCCTGGGCCTGAACCTCGCCTTCCTCACCACTTACCTGGTATGTGCCTGCTGCTGCCGGCGGGACCACGAGGTGCACACCAAGCAGCGTAGCTCCTGCTGCATCACCTGGACAGCGGTGGCAGCCGGGCTCATCTGCTGGTGAGTGCCCCTCTCCATGTGTGGGGACAGTCTTGGCAGACCCAGGAGCAAGAGAGTCACCTGCTTGGGCCTGAGCTATCTGTGTCTTGTCCATGGTTAGCCCATGGCCTTGACACCCGTTTCAACAAGCCCCAACTGCTCCTCAGCTGTGTGGCCATGTTCCTCTGACCCGGGTCCTACCACCTAGATGAGCAAGCTTGCCCTCAGGATGATCTTTTTCTGTCCAAGCACTGGGAATCAGATCCCTGAGATGAGGCTGGGGGGGGGGGTCAGTCTCCCTAGTGGCCCCACCCCCTGCTCTGTGCAGCCCAATGCCTGGCAGCCGTGCAGGTTCCTCCCCAAGTTGCCTGAGCAGCATTTCTAAACAGTGCACCCCTTTGCCCACTGTGTCCCTGTCTCCTCCCACCTGCCAGCCACCCTGGGCCAGCAAGGTTAGAAGAAACTCTGACAGAGTATACCCAGGTTAGTCATCTTCTCATGAGATCAGTAGCTTCTAGAGCCATTAGGCAGCTGTCCTTCTTTGCTTTGGATGAAGAAGTAAGGATTTCTAGTGCCACATCAGAGCCCGTGCTGCCTGGCCTGCTCCACCAGTAGTGTCCACACCTGCATTGTTACTGTATGTTTTTTGTTTTTATATCTGCAGAGGCTTCCCCCAAAGCCTAAGGTAGGGCTGGGAATATAGTTCAGTGGTCGAGTGTTTGCCTAGCATTTACAAGGCCCTAGGTTCAAGCCCCAACACCGAACAATGCAAAACCTGGGGGACTGGAGATAGTGGTACACACCTGTAACCTCAGCACTCAAGAGGCTGAGGGAGGAGGATCACCAGCCTGGGCTACATAGTGAGATCAAGGCCAGCATGGACTGTGTAGTGCAACCCTCAAAAAAGAAAAGAAGAAAGACATGAAAAGCCTCAGGATCCCCCTGAGATGCTCCTGGAGTGTGTCCCCACTTGGGGGTGGGGTCCCTCAGTAATTAGCCTCAGATCTGGAGCCTGGGAACAAGGACCCTATTTTCTAGTCTGCAGGTAGCTGCAGTGCTCATTTCTTTTCTGTTAGAACATGTCCAGGATTGCATCCTGCCTGCAGCGTGGGGCTCGCTGAAGCCAGAAGATAGGCAAGCCCTGGAGCTCTGAGCTAATAATGGCAGGGGCTGGGGCTGGGGAGATGCCCAGCTGGGGCTGAAATACACCCTGAAGAGGCCTAGGAACCTAGGCTGGGAGCTCAAAGACCAGTATGATTCCTAGTCAAGAAGAGGTTCTGAGAGTTGATTGTAAAGGGTGGGCAGGGAGTGGCAGGACCCCACTGGCTACACAGGGACCCCCAGCTCAGCTACAGGAACTCAGGATGAAAAGGAAAAACTGAACCGTGGAAGATGGGAGTTGCTAGATTGCTAAAGGAGTTATGTCCCCATAAGCCTATTGTACTTTGAAAATATTGTAGCATTGTTAGAAATTGCATTTAATACACCTAATCCACCAAACAGCCTAGTTTACCCCAACCTACACCCCCACCCATTGGTGTTGAGGATGGAACCTGGGGCTTTCACACTGAGCTACATCCCCAGCCCTTCCCTTTTTTTTTCTTTTCGAGACAAGGTCTCACTATGTAGTTCAAGCTGGTTTTGAACTCACCATGAAGCCCAGGCCAGCCTCAGACTCAGGGCAATCCTCTTGTCTCAGCCTCTCGAGTGCTGAGATTATAGGCACATGCCACCATGCCCAGCTCCCATTTTTATTAAGTAGGAAAAATTTATTGAGAGAAAAATAGCTTCTGTCTGAGACAGAACGGGGAACAGAAAATGGGTTGCCTCCCATTTTTATTTTTTATTTTGATGCAAGGTCTCACTAAGTTGCTGAGGCTGGGCTCAAACTTTTGATCTTTCTGCCTCAGCCTTCCAAAGTTCTGGGATAACAGGTATGCAGTACTGTGCCCACCTCCATCCTACCTTAAATAGGCTCAGAATGCTTGCATCAGCCTGCAGTTAAGCAAAAATCATCAAACACAAAACCTATTTCATTAAGTGTTAACTATGTCATGTAATTCATTGAATCCCATGCTGGAAAAAAAAGAAAGAACAGTTACATATAGGTACACTTCCGCACATTCATTAAGTTGAAAAATCATTAAGTTAAACCATCAAATTTTGGGAACCATATGTATTTTGGAGCATTAAAAATGGCTTGGGGAGGGGTGACAATTCTGCTAATAATTACCTGCAGTCTATACAGAACTCACAGCAGAAGGAGTCTGTGTGGCTAGATTTGTTCCACTGCATCCTAGACACTTGTTCCAGGCAAGAGGGAGCTGGTAGTAAGGCAAACAGGCACCAAGTCTGCTCTCTTGGTCTTGTGGTTCTTGGTCTCCTGGTGGGAGAGAAAGAGAATAATGATAAACCAAGGATTGTAGAGGAAAGAAACAGGCATAAAGTTGGATAACCTGTCTATCTGATCAGTCATCCTGGGTGACAAGGATATCTAGATCCATAGGACGAGCAGGCACTAACTAGGCAGAAGCAGGAGCAGAGTAGGAGAAAATACTTCTAGGCAGAGGCAAAAGGAGCACATGCAAAGGCCCTGTGGTAGGAGACAATATGGAGTTGAAAGAAGCCAGTGTGGCTGGAGCAGAGAGCAGGCGAGGAGGCTAAGGGTGCTGTTTAGTAGATGATAAGCAAGAAGCAGCCATGCAAGGCAGACATCACAGTGTAGTAGAAGACACAGAGAGGACGATGGGACCCAAACTATCCAGGAGTTTTTGGCTTGTGAGGGATGTGAGTCTCTCAGAGCAATGGGGTTGGCAAGGAGATAAGGTAAGCAGATGGATGGGTCAGGCTTCAGCAGAAGCCAGACCATTGGAGTGTTTAGAGCAGAGGGACCCGAATAGGAAGGAGTCATCAGTGGGGTGATGGAAGAGCTCAGAGACCGAAGGGGCACAGTGACAGTGAGAGACTCGGATCAGCAATGGCAGGGGCCACTATGCGCCACAGGCCAGAGGGAGAAAAAGGAGAAGCTATGCACATGAGTCAGCTTTGCCTTGCTAGGATAAAATACCCAACACACACAGCTTAAAGGCAGAGAAGTTTATTTTGGCTCATGGTTTCAGGAGATTCAGTCCATGGTCAGCTGGCTCCAAGGCAGGAACATCACAGGGGAAGGGCCTGGTGGAGGAAAGCTGCTTAGTTCATGGTACCTGGGAAACAGACAGGGAAGACCAGAGAGAGATGAAGGGACTAGGGACAGCATAGACTGTGCCAGATTCCATTCCTGGTGACCTACTTCTTCCCACCAATCCCCACCTGCTCACACCATGTTCAGCTCTGAGCTCATCAGTGGATTAACTCACTGATGAGGTTGGCACCCCTTGAATAGCCCCACCTCTGAATACCTTGTGGGGGATTGCTGGTATGCAAGATTGAACCGAGGGCCTTTGCACTGACTTACATTCCGATCCCTTTTTAAATTTTTTTGTTGAGACAAGGTTTTGCTAAATTGCCCAGGCTAGGCTTGAACTCCTGCCTCACCCTCCCAAAATACTGAGATTACAGGTGTGCATTTGGCGGACATTCGTGATTGGAACCATAATAACCACATCACCAGAGAAGACGGAACCACAGTGGGCCTGAAGCCACACAGCAAGCTCAGTAGCTGCTGTAAGGAGAGGCTGCTGCCAAGCTCCTACCCTTCCTCCTACCCACAGGCTCCTGCCAGTGCCTCCATCAGCCAAACCTAGCAGGATCTTGAGGAATTCAGTGCAAGGGGTCAGCACAGCAGCACATCAGGGGACCGGGAGGGGCACATTGGAGGGCAAACAGACCTGGGACCAGTGCAGTGATATGACTGCCAAAATGACCTCAGGACAGCAGGTGGCTTGGAAGAGACAAGTGTGAAGTGCTGGCTGTTGGTTGCCAGGTGGAGGGTGATAGGCCATATTAGGACCTGGCGGAGGACCAGAGCACAGGGGCATGGGTGGTGAGTTAGGGAGGTGAAGACACGAAGCTTCAAGGGGAGCGGTCCCCAGGGTCCGGCTTAAGCTGCTGATGTGCAGCCTTGAGATGCAGGACACTGGGAGGGACCCAGAAGAGAGGGTTTGCAGTTACACAGACTGAGTTGAAGGTGTCCTTGAAACATCCAAGTGGCAACATTGAGGACACTGATGGAAACACTGCGTTAGAGTGATAAATCGGAGCTCATAGGGGTAGACAGTGTGGCAGCCATGCCCTATGGGGCTGCCACAGGAAGAGTAAAGCAAGAGACAGGAAGAAGGCTGGGACCAAGTGCAGAGCTGACAGGGGGGATGGCAAAGTGCAGGCACGGACAGCGTGTTTCAGGAGGGGAGGATGAGTGTGCTGGGGTTTGGAAATGCCCTCAGTTAGTGGCACAGAGGTCATTGGTCACCTTAGCTGGCATGAGTTTGGGGGAGGGAACAAGAAGAGGGGCAGGGGAAGTAGAAGGGAGAGGAAGTAAAGCTGAGGGAATTCGGATGGGAGGAGCATGCTGAACTCTGCTCCGGAGGATGTAGTGGAAGAGGGAGATGCAGTCTGTAGAAACAGGGTGAACAGGAGGTTCCTGAACAAGGAGGCTCGAGAGGGGAGGTGCGTGTGCCCCTTCTCAGGGGCAGTGGTTTGGTGTTTGGGGAAGACCGTGATGTTGGCATTCCGAGGGGAAGGCAGAGCTGCCAAATCATCCTTCAAGCAGTGTGGTCCTCTACGTGGCCCAGCCGGGACCAATGACACCTGGAAGGATAGAGTGACCCTCGTTAAATAGCCAGGGCTGTTTCTGGTCCTGGAAGGCCAAGTGCAGGTTCACAGCCACTTCTGGGCCATCTGTGATAAACGCACAAATCAGCAAAAGGGCAACACACTAGAATGCCCTCATTCACAAAAGCAAGGAATGAGGGAATTAAGAGGGTAGAAAAGGAGGAAATGAGAAGAAGGTTGGCCTGATGTTGAATCCTCAGGAAACACTCCATCTTGACTTAGCTAGAGGAGGAAAGTAAAAGACAAAAGGGTTGTTCAGCACATAAATCATTTGAGGGCTGGATATGGCTCAGTGGTAGACCGCTCATTTAGCATGCGCAGGGCCCTGGGTTTAAACTCCAGCACTGCAAAACAAAAAATCATTTTACCTTGCTTCTTTTAAATAAAGTTACCGGCTGGAGGCTGATGGAAATACCAGGAAATACCATACATCTAATGGATGAACATTGCAGCTGAGAACCAAACAAACCGCCTCGATACCATGGAGAGAGGAGGGCAGCACAGTGGTGCAGCTAAGCTGGTGTACAATTGGTTGATTGCAGAGAATATCGTTTGATGTCGTGGATCACAGGCTGGAGAGAGAGACAGAGAGAGAAGGAATATAGGAATCTTGTTTTGAAATATGCAAATCTCAGACCAGACAGGGCCAGGGTGGGCATTGCTTGTCTGTATATACTTTACCAAATACCCCAGATAATTCTGGCCCGTAACTCATGGACCACGTCCTGAAAAACACTGCATTAGGGGTCCAGGGCATGCTGGAAGATTTCTGCAAGTCTTCCAGGGCATTCCGTCTTAGGTCCTGTCCCGTTTAAAGCAAATCAGAAGGGTAAGTATAGTCCTGAGTGCATTTATTTTCCCCCTTCTTTTGGATGAAGACTCAGGAGGCTACTTAATCAATCTTCTGTGATCCCAAGTAGTGTGGACCAGATAGAATACGATTGATGACAGAGTCAGGATCTGAAATGATTTGTTCAGGCCGGAATGTTGGACTAGAACCAGTGACCTGAAATGTCACAGCTAGGTTTCAAGTCCTGCGTTTGCTTAAAACTAACAAAAATCAATACAAAGTTATAGGAAGGAGAGGCTGGGCTTGACAGCAGTTCCGGTGAAGAAAGCCAGGGGCTGCTTGTACACAACCCAGTGGGGGCCAGGGAGAGGGTACAGGTGAGGTCAGGTAGGAAGGACTCTGGAGCAACTCCCCGTAGAAGGACAGGTGTCTGACCTGGAGAGCAGGTGAGAGGGGGGCATGGAGGCAACATTGAGATGCGTGGTGCAGGGCCGCACAGAAATCGAGGTTTATCCAGAGGCCCTGGTAGGTGGGGGTGTGGGTTACAGGTTTCCGCTCAGTGTAAGGAGGACCCATCCATGTGCTGGAGCTTCGCCATAGAGGACCAGCTGCCTCGTGGCTGTACAGGGAGGTCAGGCAGGCTAGAGAATGGCAAGGGAGTCTTCAGCACTGTGTGTGCGTTCTCTCTCAGCCACAGTGGTCTGAAGCCCACTGGTGAGCCCCCGGGGAGCTGTGACAGTATGGGCACCCAGGCCCTCCTCCTCACCCCTACCTGCTGCAGCAGAATCCCTGGGCCTGGCCTCCATCCTCTGCCTTTCAGTTACAGGAAATGTAGACCAAGCCTGTCGGGAACAAGCTGGCTCCTACTGTGTGACTTTGCGTGGTCCTTAACCTCAATCTCTAGACTTTGTCCCCTCAACCCAACTCCCAAGAGAGTTCCTCACCCAGAGTCAAAAGCCTGCACTCCAAGGGTGTTTATAGCAGCTTTATTCACAACTGCCAAAAGCTGCATGCTGGAATATTATTCAGCCCTAAAAGAAAATAGGCTCTCAATCAGAAAAGACCTGGAATGTGCTTCAGTGAGTATTTTTTATTTTTTGAGCCAGAGTCTCACTATGTAATTAGGCCACTCTTGAACTTACTTTGTAGCTAAAACTGGCCTTGAACTCATGATCCTACTACCTCGGCCTCCCAAATTCTTGGATTATAAGCACGCACCACCATACCTGGCTTCAATACTTATTAGTGAGGGAAAGAAGCCAATTTGAAAAGGTCACACATTGTAGGATTCCAACTGTATGACATTCTAGAAAAAGCCAAACTACGGAGCCAGTGAAAAGATCAGGGACTGGAGGGAGGATGGATAAATAGGCAAACGACAGGGGATTCTTAGTGCAGTGAAACTACTCTATGATTCCATAATGGCGGCTGCATAGCATACTTTTTGTCTGAGCCCATAAAAGTACATCACCAGGAGTGACCCTTCTGCAAACCGTGCACTCCTGGTGGTAACAATATGTCCATCAGGACTCATTAGTTGCAAGAAACGCACCCCTGGGTCCTGAGTATAATGGAGGAGGAGTCCCTGTACACAGAGGGGAGGGTTATATGGACTCTTCATACTTGCCGCTCAATTCTGCTATGAACCAAGAAGTGCTCTAAAAGACAGTTTAAGGTAAGCACACTGTCTGGATGTCACCTCTGACCTTGGTTTGGGGTCTTGCTTGCAGTGCTGCGGTGGGCGTTGGTTTCTATGGAAACAGCGAGACCAACGATGGTGCGTACCAACTGGTCTACTCCCTGGACAATGCGAACCACACCTTCTCTGGCGTCGACGAACTGGTAAGGCTCACGGGCAGCTTGCCGGGCACAGACGCAGTGCCCATGAGGTCAGTGTGGCCAGAACAAGGGTGCCAGTCTGGTCCTAGGAGCCCAGCTGCACGCAGCAGGCCTGTGTGATTGATATTGCCAGCCTGGACTCCTTTCTGGGCTGCAGTTCCTACTTCCCAGGCCAGGAGGGGTTTGAGGGCAGCTATGGGATCAAATCTCAAGGGAAGAGAGCAGAACACTTTCCCATTTGCTGACGTCTCCTTGAACATAGAAAGTCAGCCTGCTACGTGCATGCTAGGCGAGTGCTCTACCACTGAGCTACACCCCCAGCCCTTTTTGTGCTTTCATTTTGAGGCAAGGTTTTGCTACATTCCCCGAGCTGCCCTCAAAGTTGGACTCCTCCTGCCTCAGCTTCCCATGTAGCTGGGATTATAGGTGTGTGATACCCTACCTGGACTGCTGCATCTTTAGGTTCACTTTAAGTGCTATATACAAAACTCTAAGGTCAAGGAGAAAACTTCTCTTCAGAAATGAGTAAGCCCTGTGGAGTGGAGAGATGCTTTCTGGGGCCTCGCTTCCAGTCAGTCAGGTATGGGGGATCGTGGTGCAGGATCGTGTTCTGCTGGCCAGAGGAGAAGTGGGGCTTTTAGGGGAAGGAGAGAGCTACTTTATTGAGCCCTGGGCCCAAATGGCAGACACTTAGGACAAGGAATTTGTGTTTTCTCTAATTTTACCCTTGGCCCCAGGTGTCTGTCCCTTTTGAGATGAGAGCCACGTCTTTTCTGCTGGTTTCCTGTGACAGCCCTGGGCACACCCTAAGCACTGGGCTTTAGGGGGAAAGGCAAAGGGAGTTTTGAAAACTGGTCCTTGCGCACTGCCCTATTCTTGACCTTCTCGCCACAAAACCCAACCCCAACTGGAGGACTTGCTCCCTGCCCCACACCCTCCAGAAGCGGACTCCTCTGCCCCGCCTGCTGGCTCCCTAAGCTCCTCTGAGGCTCTAATCCCTCAGTCTGCCCTGGTCTGCCCTGGTCTGCCCTACAGCAGGGCTCACCTTAAAGAGCAGCTCATCATGCCCACAACAATGGGAGAGGGGCCTCTGGCCTCCAGAGCAGCCCCTCAGAGCCTAAGGGCCGAACACCAGCCCAGCGGCCTGTTTCCATTGTGTCCACTGGGACCCGTTTCAGGGAGACAGCTGAAGCCCCAAGTGTTTGGACCCTGCTATGAGGGTGAGCTCCTGCAGTGAAGGAGCCCGGGGACAGCTGTCTTTGGTGGAGCTGCACAAAGCCTGGTCACCTGCCAGGAGGCATGGATATGACCTGGCCCCCTAGAGTTCAGCCTCTGACTTCTCACCCTTGCCTGGGGCCTTGGGGATCTGTGGTCACAGCCCTCTGGCCTCTGTCTTCCTTTTATGGCACTGCTGCCTTCCCCCCTTTCCCTTCCACCATCTGCACCAGAATCCCTGAAGAGGAACCCAGCTGGAGAGAAGAATCTCTTACCCAGAAAAGTCCCGGGCCGTGACCTTCACTGGCTGTACTACTCTGATGGGAAACCTCGAGTCCTTATCCTTATCTCAGGGGAGGAGAGTACAGCTGGGAACAACCCTCAGGGTGTCCCAGGGCCAGGTTTGGACACTAATCACCCATGTCCCCAAAGGTGCTGTGTCCCTGGAGGTCAGCCCCTCAAAGTCCCCACTGCTCCTGAGAAGTGAGGACAAAGTTCTCCCAGTGCTTCAGAGTCATCATCCACCCAGCTAGGAGCTGCTTCTATCATGCAGCTTCCACCCCACCCCCAAACCTTCCAGGGGAGGCAGCAGACCTCAGATGATACCTAGCCGCAGGGGTGAGGTACAAATATCAGATAGATGTCATTAGGTTAGTTAATATTGGTGAGAGTGCTGGGTAAACTACAAAGTGTGGTCCAGCTGGGGTGATTAAGATAATGAGCTCATTATAATAATTACTGTAATCATGGGAAATGGAGGCTGGGGTGGGGGAGGCTGTGGGCAGCAGGGCCAGGCAGGGAATTCGTGGGCAAGTCGGACGACTTAGACACTTGGGGCCGGGCCTTGTTGGAGCCAGATTGAACAATGGGGCCCCAACACAGCTGTCTGGCTCTGCTCTGCAGTCCCCTGTGAATCACAACCCCACAAACCTGTGGCCTTTCACCCTGAAGGAAGCCTATGCCTCTGTGTGTACCATGGCCGAGAAGGGCTTGGGCAGGGGTCTGGATCAGCTGCAGGCTGTGCTGGGGAGGGGTCGCTTGGAGTGCTGGGTGGGTTTCTTCTGTGTGCCACTGCCCAGCATCCAGCCACCCGGTAAAGGGGACCTGAACCCCAGCTCCTTGCCCAGGGGACCAAACAGCTTTCCTTCCCTTAGGGTTTAGTAAGCTTTAATGTAGGCCTTCAGGCTCTGCAGTGCCATGAGCTCTGCTGACTTGTGTTTGTACCTGCAGCAAACCTGTGGGCAACCCCTAGTTGGAGAAACTGAGGCACGGGGAGGTTTTTTTTTTTATTGCTGTGCTGCCCCAAGGTTGAAAGCTAGTACAATTCAGCCAGAACCCAGGCCTCGGATCTCAACCTTGTGCTCTTTCCTGCCCTCTAGGGGAACACACGCACGCACACGCACGTACACACACTCACCCACACACACCCGCACACCCCTCTGCTCCCTACCTGGCCATGGCCAGCCCAGCTCCCAGGTAACCTCGGAAGCTCAAGTGCTTCCTCCCTCCCAGAGGTTTGCAGTAGAATGGCCTGGGGGGCTTGTTTAGCTGGAGTGCAGCCTCCACTCCCTGAGTTTCCCATTCTGTACATCTGAGGTGACATCTCTGCAGTGACTCTTTGGTAGTGCTGGTGGCCCCGGGACTCCACGTGGACGAGCAGTGTCGCATCCTTTAATCAACAGTTTAGAGGTCTGGGAGAGAGCTGAACTGTCCCTGTCATTCTCAGCTTATCTTCCCCATGAGAAGCCAGACCTGGTCTCTAGGGCTTGGCACTTCTGTCTCCCTGGGAGGGGCACCTGTGCCCTGAACCACTGAGGGGAGTGTGTGCAGAGCAAACAGGTAAGTAGGTCAATGTAGTGATTTTAATTTTTTTAAATTTTGTTTTCTATGGAAAAATATCAGGAGGAAAGACTGGCTTGACAGATGTTTATTGCTATGCTTGTTTTATTTTCAGTGGAGAGGTTTAAGAAAGAGAGTAGTTAGAGCTAGGGATGTAACTCAGTGATAGTGTGCTTGGCCTAGCAGGCAGGAAGCCGGGGGTTCCATCCCCAGCACCACAAAAAAATTTACAGGCATGGAAGGAGGAAAAAATGGTACTAGGGCCAAAGTTTGCAAATAATTTTTTATCAGCCCTTTGTTCTATATTGTTGGTGTAATAAAAGAATGTAAAAACAGTACTGGTCTTGCTCATAATGTCACCATTTAATAATTGTGCCATTTGTTTCAAAGGCATAAAGCCCTTCTGCATTTATCTTATTAAATTGAATAGGAATGCTTACTAGGGTGATGCTTCATTATTGAATGAACTTTGACATGGTTTGGAGTTTATCTTCCCTGTGTCAAGCTATAAGCTTGCCAAATCAAGAATGCATCGAGTATCTCTCTATCTTGTTATTTCTTAGCCCTGCACCAGCTCCTAAGAACCAGGCACAAGCGAGAAAACAACAAGCCACTGATATTGAGAAAACAAAACAGAGCCATTCTCTTTTCTGGAACCAGGAAGTCACAGAGTAGGGCAGATGCGAAAAGCCACAAGGTTGATGCTAAGTCCCCATAACTCCGTGAGCCCAGAGTTGGCCACGAGGAGTGACATGCAGCTGGCCTCTTGCTATGCCCTCCTTTGTGTCGTTTTTTATCTTCCAAGCCTCGGAGCTGAAGGCTGCCGGATGAGATTAGCACACACTGTCCCCCTTCCAGCCTGTTGTGCTTCTGCATTTAGCGTGACAATTTCAGAACAACAAAGCCCTTCTTTCCCTGGCTGCCAACACACAGGCTCAGCAGGGGTGAGCTTGGGCTGCTGGGCTGCATCCTGGCAGCCTGGGCCTGGCTGTTTGAAAGCACCTTTGCAATACAAGCTCCACCCCGTACCCCTTGTTTGGAAGCCAGCGAGGACAGTCACTGCCGTTGTCCTTCTGTTTCTACCTTGCACAGCCAAATGCTTCCTTCAGACACAGCCATAGACAAATGCTTCCACTCAACTCCAAGCCCTTAAAGTCCAGTCAAGGAACAGGAGCCTGGCCAAACACCTGGCAGGACAAATGTCCAGGGGAGGACATGAGTCCCCACAGAAGGTACCGATTTCCTCCTCCTGACCCACACCCAGGCTCTGCAGAGGCCAGGTCTGATCTCTCTTCTGTTTTGCAAAGTCCTGTTGTTCTGGCTTCACCAGGAGTTAGGACTCAGCTGTTGGTATCTCCACAACCAAATGCTTCTCTTATAGGGATGTAGAAATCCTGTGAGAATAAAGATCGAGGTAACAACATAGGTGTTCTTCAGTTTCAACATTTTATTTCTCTAAAAGAGAATTCTTTCAAGCATTTCAAGTTTTAAGAGTCTTCAAGGAAGAAAAACCGACTATTGTGTTTCCCCATTTGGATCTTCATAAACAAACTGAGTATCCATTTATCTGAAATGCCTGGGATCAGAATTGTTGGGATTTGAGAGCTTTTCAGATTTTAGAATATTTGCATGGCTTTTCCTGCTAGAGATTTAAGAAGTTTCAGATTTTGTATTTCCAGACTGGAGATGTTCAATCTATACAGTAAGGCACTAGATCTTAAGAGCCCAGGTCCTGGTGAAGGCCAGACCAGGGATTCCTGCCTGGTTTGAAGGACATGCAGTCTGGGTGGGTATGTAACTTTCTGTCATTACAGTGGACCCTCGAGTTACGAATGGCCTGACATACAAACAACTTGTGTTATGACCAGAATTTTAGTTTTAACTTGCAACCAGTCCTGCATTACTCCCCAAATGCCGGCCACTTATGCTTCCGATGGTCTCAGATACAGATTTAACCCTTAAAGAGTTTTGGAAGGAACATTACAAGATATTCCCTGTGTGGGGTTAACTGAGAAATCCTGGGCCAATGTCTCTCTAAAGACACTGAGATCTGCCTGTCTACAGGAGAGAGACTTCAAAGGCTGTGTACAGGAGCCTGAGCCTTCAATTGATCAACTTGAGTTACAACCAGCCCTCAAGAACAAATTGAGTTTGTAAGTTAAGGGTCCACTGTATAACAAATACCTGATAATTAACTTAGAAAGAGACTGTGTTTATGTTCTTTTCCAGTTTGGGAGATTTCAGCCCATGGCTGGTTGGCCCCTTTTGCTTTTGGGCCCATAGCCTAGCAGAGCAGAGTTGCTCACCTCCTGGGTAGGAAACAAAAGAGAAAGAGGAAGAGACTAGATCCACCGATCCCCTTCCTGGAAGTACCCCAGTGACTTAAAGACCTCCCATGGGCCCCACCTCTTAAAATTTCCTCTGCCTCCCCTATTGATCCTTGCCAAGCTGGGGACCAAGCCTTTAGTACATGAGCCTTGGGGAGATATGGCAGGTCCAAACTGTAACAGTGAGTGACAGGGCCTATCTTTTGCCCCACAAGCTCTCTCCAGCCCTGGGCTATCCTGAGTCCCTTCAAGCTCAAGCAGCTTTTGGAGACCTCCTCCAAAGTGAGAAACCAAAATCTCACCTGCCTGGGTTTCTCCTGGCAAGGCCTAGAGTCTCAGCCCCTGCCTCTCCCTAGGTGTTCGAGAATGCCCAAAGGATGAAGGTGGACTTGGAGCAGCACCTGGCCCGGCTCAGCGAGATCTTTGCTGCCCGAGGTGACTACATCCAGACCCTAAAGTTCATACAGCAGATGGCGGGCAATGCTGTTGCACAGCTGTCTAGGCTGCCTGTGTGGAGGGAGGCCACTGTGCAGCTGACTGAGCTGTCGGACCAGACCACCTATGTGGAGTACTACAGGTGAGGGGCCAGCAGGGCTGCATCAGGCCCAGTGATGCCTCCAGCCTCACCTGTGAGGCATGTGAGCAAAGAGCGGCTGAGGGGGTGCTGCCCCGCCCTTACCACCTTGGATCTGCAAATTCATTCCTCTAGCCTTTGGGTGTCCACTGACATCTCCCCTGCCTGCCCATCTCCCAAGGTCTATCTGGAGCAGAGACCCCCTGGGGCAGAGTCTAGGAAGGTCACTTTGAGGAGCACCTAGGAGAGGGGCAGCAGTCCTGGCCTGAGGGAGACTCCCAGCCAAACAACAGCAGGCACTCGGGAAGTACGTGTCCATTGTGCTCTCAGAGCTGGATGTCCAGATGCCTGAGTCATGGAGAATAGTGTCAGCTCTTTGAATCACACCCCCAAATGTGTCAGCTCCTCTTCAAGCCATTGACGAAAGTCAGAGCTTTTACCCCAACATTGCACAATAGTCTCTGCTTTTCTGGGTTTGTTTCCCATTTTGTCATCAAGCCGTACCCCAGGAGGTCACCGCTGGGCTTAGTCCGGAGAAAGTGCTCCTGAGACATCCTCCCCAAGAGAAGGTGCTGGCAGGGTCCTGAGGAGGGGGAGCTTCTGAAGTCCCCACTCTGGATGGTGCTCCCATCTCTCGCCCCTCCCTCCCCTAGCACTGCGTTTCCGTGATGTCACAGAAACACTGAATACTATGGGACCTAACCCCTCCAGACAGTACCTTCCTCACCAGACAAAAAGAAACTGCCAACTCTAAGGTCCGCCTGTGACCTCTCCTGGCCCCAGACAGTGGTATCTGATGAGTCCTGTGACCCGTAAGCTAGTCGCTGCCTGAGCCCTTGAAATCTCTGGGGCAGGGGTGTGTCCAGGATGGTGTCCATGTTGACCTTACTCTTCTCTGAGTGTACCTAACATAGGGCCCTCATGGACATTTTGATGAAGGTAGTGATGAAATACGAAGTGTGATCAAGATACAGTGAATGTTTAAATGTCAAAGCATTTATCACAGTAAAAGACATGGCCATTAATCCCTCTCAAAATACTCCTCTTAGCTATGAACACACTTATCCCATCATTCTTGGCTCTTTCTGAAGAAATTCTGGAAGTCCTCTTTTGTGAGAGTCTTTAGAAAGTGTGGTAAAAATATGGTGACTGCCGCTGCTGAGTGCCATCCAAGGAAAAGACAGGCTATACCAACATTACTGTGTGTCTTCATCCGCTTTATTCACTGGATCTGGTTTTTCCCGAAAGTCAAAATGACCATGAAAGGTAAACATTTTGCATTGATTCAGAACTTTGAGGCAGCCACAACACCACAACTAAAGACATTCACAAATGAGGACTTCTTGAACCGCTTTAAAAAGTGGCAAGAGCCAGGCATGGTGGTCCATACCTGTAATCCCAGCACTTGAGAGGCTGAGGCAGGAATTGCCGAAAGTTCAAGGCCAACCTGGGCTACGAAGTGAGTTCAAGGTCAACCTGAACTACACAGGGAGACCCAGATTTAAAAAAAGCAGGATGGGGGTGGGGGGACGACACAATAACCAAGTTTAGTGTGTTTGAAGGGAGGAGGGACTATTCTGAGGTGGTTTAATGGTAATGTGTCTTTAAGACACATTCATGTATTCCAGTGGGTGATAGAAAGTATTCCCTCTGATCCTCATCCCCAAATACCCACCCTTTATTCAGAGGAGAAAGAGTCTAGCCCAAGATGGGCCTCTGCAGCTTCTGAAAATGGATAGTATACCGGAGCTTCCCCATTTCCGCGTCCATTTGTGGTGCCTTCTCCTGCCTGAGCTGCTGTAGATCTCAGGCTCATTCTCGGAGCTCAGGGGCACAGCGTCACCACCTCCAGAGATCCTGCCCAGTGGTTCTGCTCTGTGGCTGTCCAGCGGGGCCAGTGCTCTTGACACTTTACACAAGGCCTGTGATAACTTCAAGGAGCTCGCAGGCGGAGAGGCTCACAGGGAGGAGGCATGGTCGGCTGCAGAGCCAGGATGTGGCGAGCTGAGGGACCCGGGGTGGGAGTGGCTCCACAGGCGAGAGCCAGGTTCTTGGTCAGAAATCCCTCCCCAGTACTCACTGCTGCTTTGGGAGAACAGGCCTGCCAGCTGTTTCTAGGAACTGCTTACGCATGAGAGGTACGCAGGGCCACGCGGAGCCCCAGCTGCAGAGGGCTGGTTAGGAGCCCCCAGCTGGGGTTCCTGGGTCTAGAAGGGGAGGAGGACAGAAAGCAGCACATCTTTAGTTTGGGGACATGGAGCCGGTGCCTTGAAATACATTGTCCATGTCCTTTGCAGTTCCTGTGAAGTGTCTGGGATTCCTAGGCCAGGCTCCCCGCACCATGACTTTCCAATCTGCTAACCTTGGATGGATTCTCAGGTCCCCTTCAGCTCTGAGTCTAAGAAACCTGGCTCCCTGGTGGTCTCCAGCAAGTGGCAGTCAGGCTCTGTGCTTGTCCCACAGCCCTGACTCTATTTCTAGGAAGCCCAGAGACCCCTGTGTTGTTCATGGCTGAGGACTTCTATTAAGCCTTTTGATTTTGGCTTTAGGCCCTGACCCGTAAGGATGGAATGAATGTCATTTGACTTTCAAGGACCTCCAGCTTCCTCCCTTCCCCAAAGAGCCTCTTTGTCACTTTCTGCCAGCTCCACCCGCCCCCTACCCTCACTCCCAAAGCTCCCTTGCTCCCTTTGTGGTGTTGGTGAAGGGTAAATCCATCGCTGGAGGGCAGGGGCCAATGGATTTATTTGGCTCTTGTATGAAGAGAAATAATAATCAAAAGACTTCGCCCCACAGGGACCAAGAAAAATCCTGTGTCTGCCCCACCTCCAGCCAATCCCCCAGACTGGTTCCCATTGCAGGGCCAATAGGCTGAGGCTGGTACTGCATTGTGAAGACCACTTTGGGTCCTAATAGGAAGGAAAAGGGAAAAGGTCTGAGATTTTTCTCAGTGCTTGTTGACTTCGAGTTCTTGGATTCGGCAACCCTTGCTCAGCAGACATTGGAGAGCAGGGACTTTGCCATCCCTGGCTGCTTTGCTTTACTACCCTTCATGTCTAGCAAGCATGTGGTCTTTGACCCCCACTCTGTGAGTTGAATGAGAGGTTCCAGCTTCCTTTAAAAATAGGGAAACTGAGGTTCAAAGAGGCAAGGTGGTTTGCCAAGATCTCCTAGCTGGTGTGCAATGGCCTTCCCCATCAGTTCAGCCCTGGTCCCAAGAGCTGGGTGCTGGGAAGCCTGGAGGGCAGTGGGTAGGTGCCCTGGGTATCTTGACCCTGGATCTCTTGCCCCATCCAAGCTGTCTGGTGGTCAGGAACAAGCCTCCCCTGTGGTCATCCCCAGTGCTAAGCTCTCTGCATGGCACAAATGATGTTTGAAGTGAACCAATGTTGAATTGGTTCAGTGTGCTACATGGACGTCACACAGCTAGGGGCAAGCCCGGGAGACCTTGGAAAGGCCAGGCTGAGCATTCATCAGAGAAGTGGGCATCTCAGAGTCTTTCTTAGCTCTGTGATTATAGATGTCAGGGCCAGGCTGCTGCTGTCTGAGAGTTCAAGAAACAAAGGGAAGCAGGGTCCAAGGAGAGGGACACTTTGGAGCTGCATTGTCCAGTATAGTGGTCATTAGCTGCATCTGGCTATTTAAATTTAATTAGAAGTCAAAGCTAAACATTTATTTCTTCCCTTCCATAAGCCACACACATCTCAAGTCCTCAGAACCACCTGTAGGTAGTAGCAGGTGTAGCTGGTAACACAGATGTAGACTGTTCCACTACACAGGAAGTTCTAGTGCAGATTGCTAGGTTAGACTTTCCGCTGAGGAGGATGAGGCAGACATAGGAGACATAGGAGTGGGAGGATGACCGCTTTGTTGAGGTAGAAACCAGGGTGCAGTCCCCAGAGTCCCCAAAGAGCTCTCAGCCCATGGCCTGGGCTCTGGCTGGCTCTGAGCAGCTTGCATAGTGCAGGTTCAGTGAGTCTAGGTGCTATGCAACCTCCCAGTGGGCAACAGGTGGGGAGCTCTGCCCTGGTGACCCTGATTTCCCTCCCGCCTAGGTGGCTCTCCTACCTCCTTCTCTTCATCCTGGACCTGGTCATCTGCCTCGTCACCTGCCTGGCACTGGCCAAACGCTCCAAGTGTCTCCTGGCCTCGTGAGTCGCCCTTCCTGTGGGCTAGGGACAAAGAACTAACTAGGAGAGAGGCCCTGGGGTGGGGGTGAGGCAACAGCCAGGCTGCCCTTCCTTGCCCCCAGCTGAGGAAGGACAGCGGACAGGGGTTCCCCATACGTTCCTGCCCTAGCTGTTCTCATTCTGGGCCAGCTGAAGGAACATAGGCCCAGTTCTAGCGCATCCAGCCACCAGGCCAACACCTCCTTAGCTGCATGTGCTCACAGCTGGGTCTCCAGCCCAGGAACTCTGCCTTTGGCAAGGGGTTGCGTAGCCTTCTCCCAGCCATTAACAGGCTGATGGCAGGGGAGGGGAGGGGATGGGAAAAGGGTACTGGAAGTGGGTGGCTGACCCCCAGTACAGGGGTCCCCTGCCCACCCACTCTCGGGCCCCACAGTACCTGCCTCTTTCTAGGATGCTGTGCTGTGGGTTGATAGCGCTGCTCCTCAGCTGGGCCTCCCTGGCCGCCGATACCACTGCAGCAGTAGTGAGTAGGGGCCCTGGGGGGGTGGTCTGTCTGGTGACCTGTCCTGTCCTGACCCCTTGGGAAGGGCCAGCTGCTGGCTACTATCTCTCCCTTAGCATCCCAGAATCCTGGAGCCAAAGGGCTTAGCTCACCTTAGCCAGCCCTCACCCTCCAGGTGGGAAGACAGACTCAGAGACAGGACAGGGCTTGCCCAAGGTCATGGGGTATTTAGGGACGGAGCCAAGATGAACATCACTGCTTGTGAGGCATGTGTGGGTGGCCAGATGGCACAAAGAACTAACAGGGTGGGGTCTACAGCCTGGGCTTCAGAAGCTCACTCCTCTGGCCTCCCCACTTACACATACTGTACTGTGCGCGTGTTTCTCCACATGGTGCCTCAAAAGTGAGATTGAAAAGTGGGGGCTTCCTATTAGAATCATTTGGTCCTTAATAGACCTGACCCTGGAGCTGAGCTGTGTGCAAGAGCCTCTGCCAGTCTGTTCAGTGGGAGTTTTGCCACTCAGCAGCACCAGATCCCTTGGGTGCAGCAAGCAGAAGGTTGATGTTTGGTGTTGACAGTCACATCCTGTGGAAGAAAGGCTTGTAGGCAGGTCATTGTGACACAGTGAATCACTGTGCTGAAGTTACAAGCTGGTACGCGTGTGTGTGCATGTACATGTGCAAGATGTGAGTGTGTGCTGGAAGGGGTGCACTTTACCAGGGAATTTCAAGAAACCCCTCCCTGATTCAAAAGCCACAAATCAGGGCCAGGGATTTAGCTCAGTGGCACCACACCTGCCTCACAAGTCCTGAGTTTCATCCCCAGTACAAAAAAAACAAAAAAACACCCCAAAAATCAAAAGCTACAGACCAGCCCCATGGCCTGTATCCATTCTGCCTGAGCTACCCTGGGGTGAAAAATGGAGGTGTCAGGAAGACAGTGTCTCTGGCTAGCTCAGGTCCTTGCTTTAGTGATAATGGAAATGAAAACTGAAGCAAGTTTGAATTTACAGACAATAGCTTTACTTGGAAGAAGGTAAGAGAAGATACAGAGAGGCCTCCGGTTTGGGTAGTACCTGGAGGGGGCACTCAGATGTAGAGGTTCAGACTGGGCCACCCACAAAAGCAGGAGGCCGGCTTTTAAGGGTCGGCTGGTGGGTTAGAGTCCCATTCAACGTTATCTCAGTCCTGCTTGTAGCTCTGGAAGAATCCTCAGGCTAGAGGGGTGATGCTGTTCCCATGAGATGACTGTCTCTGCTTGGGGCGGTCTCAGTCGTGTGAAGCTCTGTTGAAATCCAAAGTAACCATTGTTTAGGGCACTGGAGATTCTGGAAGGGATGAATGTCTCCGGAAATCTCTCATCCTGCTGTCCTGTCTTGAAGGATGTGTAGTCCAGGTAAATTGAGTGCTAATAAGCCTTGTTTTGCCAACTTTAGACAGACACTCCCTGAATGACTAACACACCTCTCCGCTGAGCTGAGAAGGCTTGAACCCAGAGGTTCACAAAATAAACATCAAACTTGGTTCTGCATTTAGTTACCTATTGGGCATTTGTAAAGAGTCAGTATTTTGGGGGTTTTTTAATCTTTTTTTCAGCGAAAACCACTTTTAAGTCCCCTAATGTCTCAGAAGAGAACACAAATCGTGCTTTTGATGAGTAACAGGTTAAAGGGCTCAGGAATTTGTTTGTCCATACAAGTGGCCTCTGAGTGTTAGAAGCTCCCTGCCCAAACTCATGCCTTGGCAAGTGTCTGGGTCTGCCCAGCAGCTCTGGCCTTGGGCACTTGACCTCTATGATGCCCACAGAATGAATGGCCCCTGGTGCCACTTGTGTCCACAGCCTTTGATCAGAAGAGAAAGGAGGTGGACATCTCTTGTCCCCCCATGCAGCATGGCTCCACACTGACCAGTGCAGAAAAGGATAGGGTACAAGCACCTGGCTCATGCTCAAAGTCCTCGTGGCCTCTGGGACTGGAGGGCTATATACAGTGCAGGGAGGGAGCCCAGAGGCTACAGTGATGTGCACAGCTGTCTGGCTGGTGGCCTCTCCTCCCAGCACGAGTACCAGCACTGGGAAGTGTCCTGCAGCTTTCCTGGGGGTAGTCCTGCTTCCTGGCAGCCTCTGACTTCTGGACACATGGTAACTTCCAGCTTGCCACCATGAGCTGCCCCTTGGGAGCGGCTCCCTCCCAGCAGGGGCTCCTCCTCTCACCAGGCTTCCTGTTGAGGAGAGTACAGGCGATTGATTTCAGCTTGCAGTGCCCTGGAATGCCAGGGAGCTGGGAGCAGTGCCATTTCCCTAATTCCCTTTAGTCAGGCCCTTGTGCAGAGAGGGAGGGTGTGCAGCTAGGCTGAAAGGGCCTTTGATAGGGCCAGGGATGCTGTGCATGTTAATAGGAAGAGGGGTGAGGAGGAGCCGGGGCGGGGGGCAGCTGTCAGCAGATTATTGTGCAGAGCTTTTGTGTGGCCTGTGCTGCCCTGCTGCTCTCCCAAGCCTCTCCGCACCTGTCTCCAGAAGGGCCATCGTGGGCAGAGCCCTGTCCCTGAGAATGTGCTCCAGGTGACACTGAGAGAAACGTAGCTGAGGGCCAGGGAGCTGAGGGTGCTCAGAGCCTCCAGGCCTGTGACTCCAACCACACTTGCCCTGGCACCTGTGGGGTCAGCAGTGTGAGCCACAGAAGAGCTCTGGAGGTGTCAGCCGAGGAGCAAAAACACGAGCAAGGGCCCAGGATAGATTGGGTGAGAAGAGTCAATATCCCAGGGCAGCCTGGAACCTCCCTGGGCTACTGGCACCTCCCAGTTGGAGCCACATCTCCCTATACTGTGTCCCAGCAGTGGAAGCTCAGAAAAGTCCCTAAAGTTCTCCGTGCCTCAGTTTCCTCCAGTGTAGAACAGGAGAATAAGAGCACCTGCCTCGAGGGGTTATGGAGCGGAAGAGGTGAGGTGATGAACCCATGGGAGGCACATCTTGGGCTCTCATCCCGTGAGGGTCATGGGTAGCCCTTGGGCCCAGCACCTCTGTCCTCAGAAACTGTTCACAGGCTCAGCCATCACCTGGGCTGGGTTCTGTGCAGCTTCTCCACCTGCCCAGCTGTGTCAGGTACCCCCTTCCTCCAGCTCACTCACCACTGCCTAAGGTACATGCACTCCTACATGTGCACACACAGGCATCCGTCTTCATTAGTAGATGATTTGACTCTGCACTAAGTCACGTGCCCTAAGCCAACCTAACTCCCCTGTCCCAGGAGCTATGAGCTGGGGGTAACTTGGGCTCTGAAATGCGGCCCTGGCCTAAGAGGAAGGCGGGAGGGGGACCACAGCAGCGGGGAGCCTCGGACAGGGCCTCCCCTCTCTCTCCTTGGGGTGAGCCAGCCCAAGATGGTGGCCTTGCTCTTTATTCTTCCCAAAGCTTCCTTGTCCCCCACTCCAGCCACTCCACTTCATGAGCTCTCTGGGCCTGATGGCTCTGCAGCTCTGGTTGGTAGTAATAAGCTGGGCTGACCTAGGCTGTGTGTTAGTGGCTTACGTATGTATAAAGCAACCTTCCCAGGGTCCCGAGTACCCGCCTGTGGTGAGTGTGAGAGTGTGTGCACGTGGAGCTCTGGGGAAGCACCGTGTCTAGTGGGGCCTGTTGCTCCCTCACACCCCTGTTTACATTTTTTAGCCATGACAGAGGCCTCAGCACCCATGCTAGAACCAGGCCTGGTAACTAGCAAGTCCACTTTCTATCTATCCTCTAGATGAATGAGTGGTACCGAGGTGTAAACCCCGAAAGCAGTGGCCCCTAAAGAAGGAAAGGGCCTCTGGCATTGCAGAGCCATCGGGAGAGGTCCCCTGCCCAGGGAGCATGCACTAGTGGGGACAGTGGCTCAGCAGAATGGGCCATAGGACCAGAGTTTACTGGGGCTGCTCTGAAAGGTAGAGGCTGCCTTTTGTCCGTGCCCCACTACACCCCAGGCCTGTGTGGGGTTGAGGAGGGCTGGCTCAGAGGATAGCATCCTTGCTGCCACCTCTCCCAAGGCCTGCTCTGCTCCCACATAGCCACAGGGGCCGTGGGGGTCACCTAGCCTGGCCATCCTGACTCCCAGTCCCACGCTCTTTCTGCACCCCACCCCATCTCAGCAGGGGAAGACCTGCCCCCAAAAGCTGCTAGATGGATTCAGCTCTAACCTCACTCTTTAGCAGAGGATTTATGGGGAACTTTATATTTTGACCGCCAGAGCATGCAGAGCTTAAAACCACCAAGAGGAATACAGTAGAGATGGGCAAATGAGGCCCAGGAGCAGGAAATTCCCCCATGCCCCTGCAACTGCCCCTGGACCTAGGTTCTCTGCCCAGCCCCCAGCATCTGTCCCAGAAGAGGCATTCAGGAATATGAGCCATAATTAACACACCTCTGCCAGTCACTTTCCAGAACACTTTGCATATATTCATTTGTAGGGTCAAAAGTATTATTGCCTCCACATGTCAGATGAGACAGCTGAGGCAACTAAAAGAAGAAATGACTAATTCATGGTAGCAGCTAGGAAAGGGCAGAGCCAGGATTCGAACCCAAGAGGATGCTCCTGACCTGTTCAACCAGGGATGAGCAAGAAGGCGCTGAGGGCTGAGGCAGTGGCACCTGGCTCCTCCCAGGACCCAGGTCTGATCTTCCTCCACTCCTCCCATCTCTCCCTGACTCAGGGCACCAGTGACTTCTGCATGGCCCCTGACATCTTCATCTTGAACAATACGCAGGGCCAGATCAGCACAGGTAACGCACTAGGGCCTCTGCCCGTGGAGCTGCCCCGATGCTCAGGCTAGGCCTGTGCCGCCGGCCAGATGGCGCCTCTCCCTGCCCTCAGACTTTGGGTCTATAGACACTGCCTCCTTTAGGGGCTTGGAGTTGGAGAGGGACACCTGGCTTGGCCACTGAGGGTAGCAGAGGGTCTGGTCCCTCATGAGCCGCCTCACACCCATTCTTTTACCTTTCAGAGGTGACCCGCTACTACCTGTATTGCAGCCAGAGTGTGAGCAGTCCCTTCCAGCAGGTACAGCACCCAGACATACCCTCAACCCAAGGCCACCACCAGTCAGGAAGGTAGTTGGTATCCCTGCTTCACTGTGGTCCTTGCTAAGCTCCTTCTCTGAAGGGACCTGTGTTTTGTTTTGTTTTGTTTGGTACCGGGGATCAAACTCGGGTCCTTGTGCTTTCGCAGCAGGTGGTGAAACCACTGAGCTAAATCCCCGGCCCAGAGACCTGTGTTCTTAGCGTGGTTCAGAGCCGAGTTGCTCACACAATCCCAGATGTGCACCTCCCTGAGGAGCTCGTTATCATGCAGATGTTGAGGTGGGGCCCAAGAGCCTGAATTTCTCATGTGCTCCCAAACAAGACCCATGCTACTGGTCTGAAGACCACATCTGAGAAGCGAGTGGACCATGTAGCTCTTAAGAAACCAGAGGGATGGAGGAAGACTTCCTGCAGGCAGAGAGGAGCATAATCGTGGCCATAGTGGATAGCTTGACCAGAGCAGTGGGACAGCTGGAACTGCCAACCCCATGTGGGTCAGGGTCCCACATTCTAGAACAACTAACCTGATCAGGCCCTCCCAGCAGGTCACCCCACCCAGGCCCCGTCATGCATTTGTAACCAGTGGGTAGTAGGGGGCTGTAGGAGGACAGGCCCCTCAGTAGCTTTGTGGGCTCCTGGGAAACAGAGCCTCAGGGGGCTGTGATCTCTTGGCCCAGGCATTGACCGTCTTCCAGCGCTCGGTGACCTCCATGCAGATCCAGGTCTCGGGGCTGCTGCAGGTCGCTGTGCCCCTCTTCCCCACGGCAGAGGTAAGGCGGCCACCTCCTGCAGCACCTGTTCTGGGACAGGAAAGCCCCGGGTGAACCAGGCAACCTTTTCCCCATCCACACTCCCCCTAGCCCCAGGCCAGCCTATGGCGAGCTGGCTGCTGGCCTGCACCCCACCCCCTGGTGCTTCAGGCCCTTCTTTTGGCTCTGAAAACCACTTTGCTCACCCTGTCTGCAGTTTGATCTGTGAGCCCTCTCCCATTGCTCACACTCTGACTCTGCCCCTCTTCCTGCTGCAGAAAGATCTCCTCGAAATCCAGCTCCTGCTGAACTCCTCAGAGACCAGTCTTCACCAACTAACGGCCATGCTGGATTGCCGTGGGCTGCACAAGGTGTGGGGCTCCCCAGAAAGCCACACAGAAGGAGAAGCTAACAGAGACCTAGGAGAGTGATTGCCTGGGCTCCCTGCAGGCGGTAGAAAGGAGGAAGGGCTGGCTTCTTGTTTCCCTCCAGTGGCTGAAACAGGGAGGCCCAGGGAAAGGAACGGGGGGGAGGGGGCAGGAATAGGCTGAATCAGGTTAGCTCTTGAACACGGAAGGACCCCGACTTGTAAGAGGGAAGCAGCTCCCCACTGTCCACACTCCCAGCCATCTCCGTGGGCTGGAAATGGTGTCCCAACCCCATTGCCAGGGTCCTCTATCTCCCCAGGAGTTTGGGATATCAGACAGGCACGGGAATGCAGTACGACATTACTGCTGGGAGTGTGTGAGCACCCCCACCCGCTAGCAGAGAGCCAGTGTGTGTTGCGTCATCCACATCTGGTGTGGATTTAAGACAGTAGTCAAGATAATGGTCATAGAAGCCTTTTCCTAAGTGTACAGCTCGGTGCTCAGCCCTCAGTGCTTTATATCCAATGTGTATTTAGTCCTCACAGTGACACTCTGCAGGAGTTATTTCATGGGAAATCTTATAAGTCAGGAAACCAAAGGGTGTGTGTAGAGAGATAAATAGACATACATATCTGTACACATGGATGTGTGAACATGTGCAGAAAGTACCTTACTGAAGCTTTTAGGGCTGGCAAGGCAGGGACATGGGTTTTAGATCCTGGCACTCTGATTTCAGAGCTAAGAGGATGAATCACCCTTGTGCCCTCTCTCCCACCTCTGCATCCTGTCCCTCAGCAAGTCCTGGCAACTGTCCTCCCAAATGAATCCTGAATCCGTGCATGTCTGTGTCTGCCCCACCCACTCCCGTGGCTTCCACCATGGTCCAGGCACCGTCCTGCTCCCCTGGGTGACAGCCATGACCTCCTAAACATCCACCTGGGAAGTGAGGGCCCTTCCGCTTCCTCCTGCCCTTCTATCTCCCAAGGCCTTTCCCACATGCAGCCAGAGGGGTCAGTTTTTAAAATGGATCAGATCGTTGGGTGTGGCAGTGCCTGCCTGGAATCCCAACATGCAGGAGGCCAAGGCAGGATTGCCATGCGTTCAAAGCCAGCCTGTGCTCATAGTGAGATTCTGTCTCAGAAAAAAAAGAAAAATAAGATCACATCCTTCTCTCCTCAGACACTGCTGTCTTTCTCTCATTTACAGAAAATCTAGATTCTCCTCCTGCTGGCCTGTCTCTCTTTTTTGGGAGATGGAGTCTCACTGCTTTGTGGTCTCCAACTCAACTCCTGGCCTCGAGCAGTCTTCCCAGCTCAGCCTCCCAAGCAGCTGGGGCTACAGGCTCATGACACCATGTCCAGCTCTTTTCTCTAAACATGAGGAGCCCATCCCCTTTGCCTTGTTTCCTCAAGGCACGCTCCTCCCTGCCATCCTGGCCTGGGTTTATGCCCCCGACCTGGCTACCCACCCCCTGTAGCTTCATCTGCCTGGCTCAGAGCCAGCCCTGCCACCCCTGGCACACAGTGGGTGTGAACCCATGAAGCCCTGTTGTGTTGAGCTCTCTAGTGAAGACCCAGTGGCCATAAAAGGTGCTTGGGGGCTGGGGATTTAGCTCAGTGGTTTTGCTGCAGCTGCGCAAGCGCAAGGACCCGAGTTTAATCCCCAGTACCAAAAAAACAAAAAAATTTTAAAAAAGGTGCTTGGGATGGGGAGCAGCCAGGAGAGTCCAGGTCCAGGCTGCGGGGAGAGGCTTCCCAAAAGACCCAAGGCTGTGGCCCTCATTCCTCCTCAACCGTGGGTCCCGCTCCTCCCAGGACTACCTGGACGCACTCACCGGCATCTGCTATGACGGCATCGAGGGCCTGCTCTTCCTTGGCCTCTCCTCCCTCCTGGCTGCCCTGGCCTTCTCCATGCTGATCTGTGTGGGGCCGCAGGCCTGGAAGCACTTCACCACCAGGTGGGTTCGGGGAAGAGGAGAGGAGCCTCCTACAGCCAGGGTGCTGATCGCCTGGGGCTGGGAGGCCAGCATCGGCCCCAGAAGGCTGCCTGGGTGACTACAGAAGTCTCCCCATGAGTCCCCAAAAAGGTTTCAGGAGCACAGGGCTGAGGATGGTGACAGCCCTGTGCCACCACCTGGGCTCCCTTGCTCCTCTCCCTTGGCAGGACTCGTAGGTGCTGGGAGGGTGCCCCAGGGAGCTCCAAGAAGGATAAATTGGGTCCCTGTTAGGAGGGAACCAGTGTCCCTGTGCAGAGTCGGCTGGTGGGCTACCTGGAAGAGGTGGACAAGGAGTTAGAGTAGGATGGAGTGACTGTGAGAGCAAGGCTCGTGCTTTTGAAGAATCTCCAGAAGATGCATCTGGCCATCAAGAGCACCTTGGGAAGAAAGACTAGGAAGAAGAAGAGGACCCAGTGTCTCGAGCCTCCCTGGCCAAATTTTATGTGTCATTCTAGGGATAGAGACTATGATGACATCGATGACGATGACCCCTTTAACCCCCAAGCACGGCGTATCGCGACGCACAACCCCCCGAGGGGGCAGCTACACAGCTTCTGCAGCTACAGCAGTGGCCTGGGCAGCCAGAGCAGCCTGCAGCCCCCCACCCAGACCATCTCCAATGCCCCTGTCTCCGAGTACATGTATGGCCAGGCCCCCCACATCCACCCTGGGACAGCACAGCCTTTCCCAGCCCTAGAGGGGAGCTGGGTCTGCTAATTTGGTCACAGAGCCACATGTGGGAGGGAGGCACTGAAGCCTAGATGCCCACAGACCACAAGCCCTGCAAGGTCCCAGGCCTGGCCGGCTGCGCTTCATACCGTGTTGCTCCCGGTACCTGACCTCTGCTGCATGTCCCCCGGTCCCTCTAGAGTACCTTGTCCTTTATTTTCCCACCTACACTCCATCCATTCCCACGCTCCCCATATGCTCATCCGTGGGACCCTCCCCCAGACGTCTGCACGCACACCCCACAGCCCTGCACCCTCCTGAGTGCTCCTTTCGGCCCCCAGGAACCAGGCCGTGCTCTTCGGTGGGAACCCTCGCTACGAGAATGTGCCGCTCATTGGGAGAGGCTCCCCTCCGCCCACGGTAAGCAGCCTTCCTTCCCTTACAGAGCCAGCGCTGTGGCCCTGGGCGGGAAGAGAGTCAGAGATAATCCCGCTGTCGGCCCAGTGCATGCTCCCCACAGAGGCAGGACTCTGAGGATGAGGCGGCTTCATTCTTGGATCAGCATTGGACCAGACCACCCTATACATCACAGTCAGTCTGCTGAACCGTCTGCAAAGGCGGAAGGAGATTTCCCCCTTTCATGTGGCCAGGCAGGCACAGCCCACTGTCCTGCTGTCCTCAGGATAAATGTCCTCCGGCAAGTGTGACAGCACCCTCGGTCATGCCAGCCACCCTGAATCCCCTAGTAATTGAGATTGCCATCTTTGTCAGATAATTGCCTTTCTCTAGAGGAAGAAGGAAATTTCTCATGTCTCCGTAACAGTCAGGAGTTGTAATGTAGAGGCTAGTGCCTAAGTTAGGCTCCCACCGAGGAGAAAACCACTGTCTTTCCCTGTGTTAACCTTCCCGACGTCCTTAAGAAGCTGGTTCAGCCTTCTGTGCCCCCGTGCACTGTAATCCTAGCACTCTTGGAAGCTGAGGCAGGAGGATCACAGGTTCATGGCCAGCCTGGGCAATTTCAAGACTTAGTGACACCCTGTCTCAAAACAAAGAATAAAAAGGACTGGGGATGCAGCTCAGTGCAAAGGCCCTGGATTCACTCTCTAGTATTAGAGAGAAAAAGACAGGGCACCAGCTCACTCCTGCACCCACCGTAAGACTGGCAAGAGCCTTATTTGGCCTTTTTAACACTTGATCTTAGCCAAAAGGCTGAGAAGCGATGTTTTGGCCTTTTTAAAAGGTTAAATGCATCTCAAAAGGACAGAGACCCACACATCTGTAATTCCAGGTACTCAGGAGGCTGAGGCAGGAGGATTAAAAGCTTGAGGCCAGCCTGAGCAACCTCCCAAAACCCTGTCTCAAAATATTAAAAAAGCTAGGGATGTAGCTTAGTGGTTGAGCATCCTTGTGTTTGATTCAAGCATCATTTAAAAAAAATTACAGGGCCGGGGATTTAGCTCAGTGGTTTTGCTGCCTGCTGCGCAGGCACAAGGACCTGAGTTCGATCCCTGGTACCAAAAAATAAAAAAAAATTTTTTTAATTCCAGTAAGTTTCTAAAGAAAATACTCCAAAAAGAGAGGGTGTCTTACTTTCTCACTGCTGAGACAACACCCAGGGGCCTTAAGTTAAAGGAGGAGGGGTTTATTTTGGCTCACAGTGTGTGGAGGTTTCAGTCCGTAGTTGCTGGCTCCAAGGCAGGATGACATGGCAGAGGGGAAAGAGTTCATGGTGTGGCAGGCCAGAAGCAGCAGCCTTCCTTCTGCTTCCCCTTTTTATTTCATTCAGGCTACAGGCCCGTTGGTTGGTGCCAGCCGTACCCAGGGTGGGGCTTCCCACTGCAGTAAATCCATCACCCACACCCAGAACCATGGTAAACCCATCGGTGGGCTGAGGGAGTACCACCCACCCATCACCCAGCCACTCCCAGAGCCCCACCTGTGAGCACAGGAGGCTCTGGAGGGACACCTGGATACAAGCAGTCAGAGGCAGTCACTTCATTTTTGCAACAAGGAGAGTGAAGGGAATTTCTCCTTTTTGATTTGTGCTTCCGAGCCAGGGATTTAGCTCAGTGGTTCCATTGCCTGCCCTGCAAGTGCAGGGTCCTGAGTTCAATCTCTGGTACAAAAAAAAAGAAAAGGAAAGAGTTGTGCCTCCGATTAAGCCAGGGTCCCTGCATGGTTCTGATACCAGACGCCATGCTCCTCCACCCCATCAGTGCTCAAAGCCCCTCAGACCGTGTCCTAGGGAGGTCCACGCCTCCTGCCCACCTCATCACCCTCTGCCAGCAGGAGCCTCAGTTGTGAGGGGTAGACCATGATGTCTTCTCCCAGAGAAGGATCTGCAAGTCACAGGACTGCAGCCTGGGGTGGGAAGACCTGCAGAGACAGTACAAACTCCAGGGCAAAGTCCCTGGGCTCAAGTCCTAGCTCATTACTTATGGCCTCTGGGACCTTGGACAACTACTTTGCAGCTCCTTGCCTCAGTTTCCCCATCTATAAGATGGGGATGGTGATAATAGCACCTACCTTGTAGGTGATCTGAGCATTGGAGGAATCAGTTATTGTAAAAGTGTGATATGGGCTGGGGGTGCAGCTCAGCGGTACAGCACTTGTCCCTAGCACTACAAATAGAAATAGCTGTATGTGCAGCACATGGTGCCATGAGACATATAAGACAGTGAGCTGGTTTTTGGGTTTTTTTTAACCAACTTCTGTTACAAGAAAGGGCAAGGTCAGAAGATTGGGAGACATAGGCAGAATTCTTGAGCCAGATGCTCACCTTCACATGACTGGACACAGCATTTTACCTGCCCAGCTAGGGGTTTGCAAAGGGGCTACTGAGCCACTGTGAGAGAGCAGCACTGGGGACCCAGAGACCTGGGAGCTGTGAGGGACCTGAGCCTGCCACCCCGGGAAGCACACTGGTGGAATGTTTAGCAGGATCCCGGCCTCCGCCCACTCCAAAGCCTGCTTGGACCAATCCCATCTCTCCCTCCAATCTCCCCACCCTGCTGTTCTGCCCAGCACACCTTTCCTGCTGTCCTTTTAAGCACCTTCACAGACAGCACCAGACCCAGCCTAATTTCATTCTCTCCCACTCTGGAAAGGGCAGTGGGCTGGGGAAGCCTGTGTGGGAGTCAGCACCTTTTAGACCCCACTCTGGCGTCTCCTAAGTACCTGAAGCCTCCTGTGGATCTCTTTTCTACCCACCAGCTCTGGAACCCAGGAATGCAGATTGACTTGAATAGTATTCTAAGCAAAACGTTAATAGGGAAAATCTGTGAAAACAGAATTACTCAGTGCATTATGATGGTAAATAAAATTGATTTTTGGATCACCTTGTTTTGAAAGATCAGGCCATTCCCTTTTCCATTAGCAGGGGTAAACAACAACTGACCTTACTTGCAAGGCTCAAGGGTCGAATAAACCTTCCCCCCTGTAATTTAGACCTGTGTGGCATCTTCGCTTTGGCATAGTGAACTGCCCAACATCACAAGGCTGAGCCTGCCCTGGGGAAGACCCCCACTCCCTGCCCCTGCAAGGAGCATCAGGAGACCTCTGATGGTGCTGCTGGCCTTCCCCACCTCCCATGCCAGCTTGAGTCTTCATCAGCGCCCTGTGTGAGGTGGATAAGCTCTTCCCTCTGCCCAGCTCCCTCTCTGGGTCAGCCAGGGCTTGTCACTGGGGTGAGATATACCCACTAAGGCAGTCCGGAAAGCGCAATCTGCCCCTTGGCTGGAAATACGTCTTCCTCTACCTCAGCCTTCAAAGAATCCCTTCTGTCCTGTCCTTCCAGGCACTGGTTCCTAGACCCAGTGGCCCAGAGTGATCCAGGGTGAATGTTAAAAATTGTGCCTCAGGACATTACAACAGAGTTACATATCTTCATGGGCTTTGTGATTCTAAAATCAGGCAATACTTCATTCTATAAAGTAGAACCAGTGTCCCAGTGAGCTCAGCAGAGGAGATATTGTTTGTGATTTTTAAATTTATTTTTGTACGTTGCTGGTGCTGGGGGCGGAATCCAGGGCCTCAGACATGCTGAGCACATGCTGTGCCACTGAGCTACACCACCAGCCCCCTGGATGTTGGTTTTATAGACAGTGAAGGACCGAGAAAGCAGAAACAAGGAACAAAAAACGATTCTGGTCATTTTGAAGTCACTCTCCTTGTAAGGGGAGAAGAGGGAATCTGAGCAACAGAGAAATAACCAGTTGATAAACTTCAAATTAGTTCAGATCCCCTCACCCAGGACTGGGGAATGAACCCAGGGCCTTCACACTGAACTACATCCCAAACATTTTTTATTTTCTATGTCCTAACAGCGATCTTCTGTGGTTTTAATTGAATAACACCAACACTAAGAATTCTTTGCAGAGTCACAGAAATAGAATCTCCCAGGGAAAGGGGCCTGGGAGGTTCTAAGTCTAACAACTCTATCAGCAAGTTTGGGAAATACTGCTTTAAGGAAGGGAGTCTCATACCTGCATGTTCATCAGAATCGCCCAAGGGACTTGTTAAAAATACTTGGAAGAAGAAAATAAAATTTTAAAATAAGACATGCACTTGTAGCTGGTCGTGGTAGCACACACTTATCCCAGCCCCCTGGATAAAGAGGAGGATCCCAAGTTCCAGGCCGGCCTGGGCAGCTTAGTGATTTAGCAAGACCGTGCTCTAAAATATGAAAGGGTTAGGGATGTACCTCAGTGTAAAGGCCCTGGTTTGTTGTTTTGGGTTTTTTTGGTACCAGGTATTGAACTCGGTACCTTGCACTTTCGAGGCAGGCGCCGGAACCACTGAGCTAAATCCCCGGCCCTAAGGCCCTGGTTTTGATCCTGGGTACCAGAAAAAAGCAAAGCAAAACAACGCTGCTGAGCCCAACCTGCTTCAGGGTCAGGAAATGTGGCGAGCGCCAGGGAACTCGCACTGCTAGCGTGTGCCTGGGTAAATCTGACACTGCTGGTCTGGGAGCCACACTGGAGAGCAAGTGGCCTCACCCGGTGTCAGCTCTGTGGAGGGGCAGGCTCAGCCTCCGTGGAGACTGTCTGGAGCATTGTGAGCTGTCCAGCAGCATCCCTGATCCCCACCCACCAGGTGCAAATCACATCAGCTCCCTGGTGTGACAAAGAGATCATTCCCAGACATTGTCAGTGTCCTCAGGAGGCAGAGCCACGAGAGACCCCTGGGCTGAACAGTCTCCTGCCCTCCTCCTCCCCTACCCCTCCACTTCCCTCTGGTGCACATGACCCGGGCCTCCAAAACTTTCCTGGGGCCACCGGACAGTCTGCTGCCCCTTGCTTCTCAGGTCAGCAGACCAGCAGCACCCATGGCCAGTTAGTGCTGCAGACTCTCGAGCACTACAGACAAGGTTCCCGGGCGATGTGTGCACAGGGAGTGCTGTGAGAAGCCCCATCTTTGCTTCTAGGAGGCGTAACTAAGGCCTGCTGAGCACACACTTGTGTTAGGTCACAGCCTCTCTGGGGAATTCCCTGAAGACTGCTAAAAGCAATGCTGGTACCATTTTTTGGGGGGGGGGGGAACCAGGGATCGAACTCGGGTCCTTGCGCTTGCGCAGCAGGCAGCGAAACCATTGCGCTAAATCCCTGGCCCTACTGGTACCATTTTAACATGCTTAACTTTTTTTTTCCTTAATATTGAGGATTGAACCCCAGGGCCTTTGCACTGAGCTACATCCCCAGCCCTTTTTTTATTTTGAGGCGGGATCTTGCTAAGTCTCTAAGTTGTCCAGGCTGCCCTCTCAGAGTTCTGGGATTACAGGTGTGCACTGTCACACCCAGCCTAATATGCTTAATTGTATGTGTTTTACCTCAGTAAACAAAAATATCCTGGTCAGATGGCCTAGCCACCAGGACTTTTTAGGGTCCCGGGTGTTTGAAAACTTCTGTGTGAGGTTCATTTCATCCTTTCAGGGTCAGAGCTGAGTGCTCGCAGGTGGGGAGACTGGAGCTAGGGGATGTTGGAGAACCTCAGCCAAGCTCACCAGCCATGTAAACTGCACAGCTGGGATTTGGGCCTGGTTCCCCGGGTCTGTGACCCTGTGCCCTCAGCCTGCTGGCTGCCAACTGCTCCTTGCTGCCCTGTTGCACTTGAACACTGCCCTGGGTGGGGTATAGACCCGGTGCTGGTGGCACTCTCTAGGGTGGGCGCAGTGGAGGGAGGACAGCTGGCCTGTGTGTATGCCCTGACCCATGTGGCGCTGGAGGAGTCGCCAGACATGAGGCCTGCCCTAGCTGCTCTGGTGTCCCAAGCCCCTTGAGGCTTGTGATTAAAACTCGGTGCCCAGCTGCTGCGGCTGGCCCAGCTCCCACTTCGAAGAGTTCCGGCCCTTGGCTAGTGCATCTTGACCGTTTTTAATCCCCCCTTTTTTTTCTGGTACTGGGGATTGAACCCAAAATCTTTGCCCTGAGCAACATTCCCACCCCTTTTAAATTTTTTTATTTTGAGACAGAGTCTCACTAAATTAAATGGCCAAGTAACCCAGGCTGGACTTGAACTTGCCACCTTCCTGCCTCAGCCTCTCATCGTGTTGGGATGACAGGTGTGTGCCACCACTCTCGGATGTATTTTAAAAATATCTTTGGGTCTATAATTGGCTGAATCTGTGGATGGAGAGTGGACTCTGCCCTTGGCTCAGCTGTGCCCGCACTAACTCCCCTTCGGTCTCCCTGCAGTACTCTCCCAGCATGAGGGCCACCTACATGTCCGTGGCAGATGAGCACTTGAGGCACTACAGCGGTGAGTTTCCAGCCTAGAGGACTTCCGGATTCCTGTTGCTGCCTTCCTGTTTGGTTTTTAACAAATGCACACACAAGCGGCGTTGCTCTAGTGGAAACCAAAGGCACCTGGGGACCTCGGACTCCTGTGGCTGCAGAGGCGCAGCTGAGACTCCTGGCCAAACTCCCAGGTGGACAGAAGGCCGAGACCCAGGCCTCTCTCCCGCCCCGTTCTCTATCCCAGGGCGCCCCACCCCGACCCAGTGGAGAATGGCATCAAGAATGAAGCCGCCCAGGCACTGCCAGCCTGAGATCTGTATTCTCTTGCCTCTTGTCAACTCGACCAAAAACCTGGGCAACTCCTCTTGAGTCACCTCTGCGCTCCATTTTTTAGCAGGTGACAGTGGCAAGGGCTTATCAGGAGGCGACTTGAGGGGAGGCAGTGTCCCTGATGAGTCCAGAACCCTGTCCAAATCTGAGTTCCTGGGCCACACAGACTGTGCCTGGGCCCTGGAGACACGGTGCAGGCGGCCTGTGCAGCTGGTGGCCCAGGGAAACGCAGCAGAAAGCCTGCCATGTTCTGCCCATCCTCGAGTCCCCAGCTGATGGTCTCAGGTATGGACAAATACTTCACTCTTTTTCCCAGTGTTTCAAAATAGTTTGATGATCCAAAGAATCTCAACTCAGCACATCCAGTTTTTAACCGTAGATTTGGGGCCCATTCCTTAAGCTGGTTTTTCCACTACTATTATAGGTTTGTTTTTGTTTTTGCTTTTGGTACCAGGGGTCGACTATTACAGGTTTTCCAGCCAGTTCATTACAGGTCAGGAGGAGAGGGGAAGAATGGAGTTTTAAATACAGTAAAGGTTAGAGGGGCATCCTGTCCCCAGCTGCTGTTGCAGTGTGTCTGACTTCATCCTGCCCCAGGAGGGAGGCCTACACGCAGTGGAGTCCTCTGCTCCGGAGAACAGCTGAATGCCCAAGACAACAAGCCCATCCCTTTTCTCTTCAAGCAAGTTTGTCATCAAAGGTTTTAGCAAAGTGATACGATTGCAGCTTGATACAAGGACAGGCCTCCTTGCCACCTCCACTGCCCTGCTGTCCCCATGCCAGTGCCCTGGACCCTGCCCTGCTAGGGGAGAAGTAGCTTGTTGGCCAGGAGGACATAATGACCCCCATCTTGCCCACTTCGGGGCCAGGGTAGGGTCTGTGGTGCTTTCAGCCTCCTGCCAACCTGCCCGTCCTGCACACCATCAAGCCTTGCATTCCAAGCAGTGTGGGCAGTGGCTTGGGACAAAGATTCAGTTTCCATTTTGGAAGAGTCACTTTGCCACCACCTACTGACATCAGAGTCCTCTGTGACAGAATTGGGCCACAGGGCATCCGGGGCTCACCGTCTCACCTTCGCTAACCTGTGCATACCATGAACCGTAAACACCGTCATGCGACCGTGTCACGTGCAAATAGCCCTGTGACATCACCGTATCCCTTCTAACACTTCATTATTGGCAACTTAAGGGTTGTTCTTAATACATGTAAACTGAACTAAAATTGCCCAGGTGTCCCACCAACCTCTGTGTACCCGGAAGAGAAGTAAACCACTTGTACTAAAACACGTGCTCGGTCTCTGACTTCGGCGCAGGGAATAATGGCCACCTCTAGCCCCCTCTGCATTCAAAGCATCACAGTGCATGGGGTTACAAGCAAATTCCAGTAGTGATTTGAGGGAGAGAACTGAAAGGGGACTAAGAATGAATGTCCCAGGCCTCTTGCACGGCCTTTAGCTGCTCTTACAAGACTTAAGGACAGGCCTTTTTTCTTCCGTGCTCGTTCTCTGGGGTTCCCCCTAACCACCATTGCTCTTAAGGTTGCTAATAAGTAGCATTTATTGAGTGCTCTGTGTGCCAGGGACTGTCCTAGGTGAGTGTGTGTGTGTGTGTTTAGGGATTTTGTTCTGTTTTTGTTTTTTGTGGCACCTGGGGCTGAACTCAGGGTTGCTCTTATCACTGAGGCCCCCCTTTTCTGAGATAAGGGTCTTGCTAAGTTACACAGGCTGGGATCCCAACTTGAGATCCTCCTGCCTCGGCCAGCCCCCCCCCCCCCCCGTCCCGTAGCTGGGATTACAGGAATGCACTATGGTGCCCAGCTATATATTAATTTTTAATTAAACCTCACAGTAACCCTGGGAAGCCTTTCATTCTACATGTTCATTGACAGATGCATTAAGGCCAAGGGCCTTGTTGGAGATGAGTGCAGAACCAGGAGTTTCTAGCCCAGAGCTCCAGCCCCAGCCCACTGCTGGGCACCTCCAAATGGTACCCAGGGATGGGTCACACAGTGGTGCCTCCCACATGAAGCTGCCCTCCACTCCTCCACCAGCCTCATGTGCTCCTTGCTGCAGGCTCCCCCCAAACACTTGCCCTCCCTGGGCCGCCTGTCCAGGCAGGAGCCTTGGAGACACAGCACCCTTCCTGCTTGCTTTGCTGAGTCCCTGGGGAAGCAGGGCCAGCCAGGGGTTGGGGCGACTCCAGCTTCAATCTTGAAGCCATAAGCAGCTGATGATGCTTCATTGCTCTCCCCAGGTGGACTGCACTTTAAGGAGCCCCTGGAATGAGTAGCTGAAGCATCCTCAGGGAGCACTTGAGGGGAGATCCAGATAGCCCTGCAGAAGTAGGTGTCAAAATACACCTCCCTTGAGAGCAGTGTTTTCCCAGCCCTCCTCTCTGGTCTCAGGATACCACAAGCAGCAAGGAAATGGCTCAGAGAATGAGGAAACACTTTCCATGGCTAATTTGATGTTTTGAGGGCAGCTGCAGCTCCAGGGCCTAATGAGCCTGGCTTTGGGGCCTTTTATTGTCTCTGATCTGGACCGAACCTAGTTCCAGCAGGGTCCTGAAGCAGGAAGGAGGCCCTGGGAATGCCTGGGCCTAAGGGTGGTTCGGTTATCGCTGTATGTGGCACCTCCCTTCCCACACTGGCCTGCAGCAGTGGAGTGGGGAGAGGGGTCACTGCCACTATCCACCACCCAGGCTCCCCTTGACCATCCTCTGAGCTGCCTGGCTGCAGACTGCAGGGAGATGGGCAGCCAGTTAACCTGGAGAGGAAGAGCGGTGACTGCCAGGCCCTTGCATGCATGTCCAGGCCATCTTTCACCTAACTTGCCATACAGCAGGTCCTTCTCCAAACTTATTTCCCCCTCGTGTTTTCCCAGCTGTGAAGCTTTGCAGCCTCATATGCAGGAGCAGCAGGAAGGTACCCTGCCCTTAGGCCTGGTGTGCTCACTGGCAAACACTCAGGCAAGGAGAATTACTTTCCTCTCCCCTGCTTTCTTTCATTTCATCAAAATGTACTGACTTAATCGCAAGGGCCAGCCAATGACAGCTATGAGCCAAGCCTGAACTCCTGCTTTGTATGGCCTGTGAGTATAGAATCATTTGTGATTTATTTGTAGATAGGGTCTCACTGTGTTGCCCAAGCTGGTCTCAAATTCCTGGGCTCAAGAGATCCCCCTACCTCAGCTTCCCTGGTGCTGGACCTACAGGCGGGTGTACTGTACTTGGCTAGATTTTACGTGTGTGTGTGTGTGTGTGTGTGTGTGTGTGTGTGTGTGTGTTACTGGAGACTGAACCCAGGGCCTTCATACCAAGCTACAGCCCCAATCCATTTTCAGTTTTTGTTTTGAGACAAGATTTCACTAAGTTGCCCAGGTTGGGCTCATATTTGCAATCCTCCTGCCTCAGCCTTCCAGAGTGCTGAGATCACAAGTGTGTTCCACCATGCCTGGCTTACACTTTTTATTTTGTTTGTTTATTTATTTATTTATTTATCGCAGTGCTTGGTATTGAACACAGGGCCTAATATATGCTAGGCAAGCACTCTACCATTAAGCTACATCCTCAGCCCTACTTTTTACATTTTTAAATGGTTAAAAAAAATCAGACATTCGCAACTGATTTTGATGGTAGGAAACACTAACTTTGAACTGCAATTAAGCAAAATGTTATCCTTTCCCAAAGGAACTCCACTCTTCTCATTAGTAAATCTGTATCACAAAAAACTGTAATCAATTATAACTTTTAATTTTACCAATCAAAAAAATGTGGAAATTGGCTTTGTCTTTGGTCATATAAATACTTAAATAGTGTCTTTGATTTCACCTCTTGAACTACAAAGCCTAAGATATTTGCTATCTTTACAGTAGTATAGTTTGGTGACCCTTTGCTTTCTCAAAATTCTGGGACAACAGAAGTATCTAAAGCAAGCATAGTCCTGGACTTTATGGAATTTACAAATAAGCCAGTAACATAATCAACACTGATTTGCTTAGATACAAGTTCAAAGTCTTGTACAGACAAGATTCCTGGTCTTGTGCTTCCTGTTTGGGCTTGTCTCAGGCTTTTTTTGTTTTTGCGGTGTAGAGATGAAACACAAGGCCTAGAGCAGGTTAGGCAAGCACACCACTGCTGAGCTACATCCCCTGCCCATTGTCTGTTTGCTTTAATCTTTTTCTTTTTTCCTGATTACAAGAAGAATATGTAATGCAAACATTCCAAACTTTACAAAAAATGTGAGAAAAAGTCCCCCTAATCCTCAACCCAGAACAAAGCTCCATGAAGTTTGATGTATATTTTCCAAATTTTGTTCTAAAGTATTTGTAGAAATATAACTGCACTACACATACTGTTCTACAGTTGCTTTTTCTATAAGTAAAACATATTCCTATCGTCCTTTAAAAATCTGCTCCCTTTTTAACCACTGACGCGTGCAAGTAGACAATTTCAGATTCAAACTCTGCTAAGGAAGTGCTGTCTTCCTGCCTGGCGGCGATCTGTCAGCTCAGCTGGGTGACTTTGGCAAGCACAAGGCAAAAGCCTTCCCGGGCTCACTCAGCGTAAAAAGCAGCACGCAACGAATGCCTCCTGAACACACAACTGACAGGTGGCGCTTAGGGTCATGGTAGTTACACACGCCTGTCACCCTGTTTCATAGGAATCAGTCAAGAGCCATCCCTAAATCCTAGGTGACAGGTGGGGACCATGGGATAATGGAGAAAGGCCACATGGGGAGGTAAGGACCTTCTTCCTGGTAAGTTGGGGTTAACGGAGTGTTTGCAGCATCTGAACAGCAAGGTTGCGCAGGCAGGTCAAGATCGGGACCAATGCTGATAAAGAGGCCTGGAGACCTAGATCTGAGGGACATGCACACATGCAGTCACCAATGCCATGGAGAGAGGCGGGGCTGTGCAAAAAGGCTGGGAAGCATCCCCAACACTGGTGGAACGCACAGAAGAGAAAGCCAAGGAAACAAAGAAGCAGAAGGCAGACAAGCTGGAGAGGTGAGGAGGGGCAAGCAACACACCTCAGGTAGCAGAAGAACAGGATGGCAGCTAATGAGTCAGGCAGCTGAGAGGTCTTGGCCTTGCTGGTCTTTCAAGGAAGATGATGGTTTTCCCCTTGTGAAAGAGGGAAGGAAGAAGAGCCGACCAGAGAGAAGACTGAAGTGTGTGGTTGATAGACTAACTGCTAGCACAACCTTTCCCTGAACTCCCCCTCTCAAATTCTGAGTGCTTTGTGGGGACCAGCGCCTCAGCTTTGACTCCAACTCCAGCCTCCCTCTCCGGGTCTAGGTGGAGAGAGGAAGACAACCTGACTACACCTGCTGTGTCCTTCCCTGTCAGTCTTCCACCTTCACCATTCCCAGATAATGTAACATCTAACAGTAGCATGTCAGGGCTGCCTTGTCACAGACGCAGTGTCCAGGCCACGTGGCACGTTAAAAGATTTGGTGTCCTCTGAAATGCCTAAAGAGTTTCCACTTTTCCAAAATCTCCTTTTCCAGCTTACCCCAGAGATACACTTGAATATGGCTCCTGCTCTCTTTTCTACTCTCTTCCTTTGTCTTTTTCTACATGAACTGTGAATGACTTTTTTAGTCTGGATTCCCAGTTCCCCAAGAAAAGCCCCATCTGTAGGGACCCCAGTATTGGGAGCAATTCTACATAATTTGGGGGAAAAATCATTTCACAAATTATGATTAGGCCTAGTTTTCCTGCCGACAGGAAAACTATGTCATGTTGAGACATAACTCCATTTTCACCTTCAGTCACAGCTAAAACCTCAATGGTCCCATGATGCTGTGATGCTCCAGGGCAGGATTACATCAGCTGAAGGCATCTTCCTAATCAACATAAGTTCTTTGTGACCTAGGATCTTGATCTGCATAAATTCCTCATTGTCCTAGGATTATCACTGCCCTCTGAGTCATCTGTTACTCCCCACGTACTGAATAAAAGTGTGGCAAGCTTGGGATCCTTCATTTTTTTGCTGCCCAAAGCAACATTGATCAGGCCCAAAGCTCAGCTTCTTCTCTAAGTCTTGTTTCCTGTCTTTATTAATTAATTTTCTTTGCGTTATTGTGGCTCACAGGAGACCAGGACTCACTGCAGAGGTTCTAGTAATGTCCCCTTTCCCTGTCCCCTACACACCAGTCCAAGTGGGATATGTCCCTTGGGCAGAACAGCTGCCTTGGAGTACTCAAATATTATGTGGCTCAGAGCTTTAAACAAAGAGAGGGCTGAAGAGCTAGGAGGACCAGTCTGCATGGGTGACAGTGGGACTAGAGGGGAGAGGGACTCTTACCCTGAGATGACAGGAGAGTTCTTGTCTACGCTATGTGAGAGAGCAATTGATGCTTCTTAACCAGGGGCAAAATGTGGAGTAGGTGGTCTCACCAGGGGTGTGACAGATGCCTTCACAGGAAGCTTTGGCAAACCAAGCACTGCGGCAAGCACTCCGACAACAGTGATGAATGGGCAAGAGTGCCATTTTCCAGGCACTCAGTCCGTGAAGATGACTAGGCACACAGCAACCGTCCTGCCAGATGTGTTACACACACCTTATTCCTGCAATTCAGGACACACCTTGCTTTAAGCATTGGTGAGGAAAGCAGGTGGTGTCTACCAAATGTTATAATATTGCCCATTACTGGCCATGGAACGTTAAGTCTGTTGTAGGAGAATTCCAGATAATGTATGTAGATATTCTGCATTCAAGAAGGTCAAAGGTAACTCCCCACTTTTTTTTCTTTTTGGTGCTGGGAATTGAACCCAAGACTTTTGCACTGAGCTACATCCCCAACCCTTTTCTACTTTTCATTTTGAGATTAAAGTACCCATTTTGCTCAAGCTGGGTTCAAATTTGCAGTCCTCCTGCCTCAGCCTCCCAGAACATTGGGATTACAGAGGTTTACAGGCGTGTGCCACCATCTGCAGCTTCTCCCCATTGGGGAGACATTCATAGCAACTTCCTTCGAAAGCATACAGTAAGGAAGAGGGTGCAGAGTAACTCCAGAGTGGAGAAGCCTGACAAACACTAGGTCAGCCAAGCATGGAGTGACCAGTCACATGGACAGCAGTACCTGGATGTGATGAGAAGGGTACTTTATCTTTGTGGTCACTCTCCCCAAAACCTATAATTCCAGTCTAATCATGAAAAAAAAATCAAGCACATCCCAATCGAGAATCATTCTGCAAACATCAGGACCTGTACGAATCAAAACTGTCAAGGTCATCAAAAACCAGGATGGTCGGAGAAACTGTCATGGCCAGGGGGAACCTGAGAAGACGTGATGACTAAGTGTAATATGAGAAACTAGTGCAGGAGAAAAGCTATTAGGGAGAAATGAAGGGGACATTTGAATCAAGCACGGACTTTAGTTCAGAATAGTGCGAATCAGTATTGGCTCACTAATTTTAAAATTTTTATCCTATTAATGTAAGGTGGTAATTATGGAGGAAACTGGATGTGGGGCACATGTGAACACTCAATACTCTCCATCCAACTTTTCTGTAAATCCAAAACTTTTAAAGTAAAAATTTATTTTATTTTTAAATTTTTTTTTCTGTTCAGCTAGTTTATTTATTATTTTATATTCTGGAAAAATCCAATGGATATCTCTTAGTCAATAAGATTACATTTTAAAAGTTTATTTTAAAAGGGGACAGCAACTATGCTCACTTTCACCATTGGTATTCGACACAGTACTAAAAGCTCTTGCCAAGGCAATTAGAAAAGAGAAAAGTAATAAAAGGCATCTAAGAAGGGAAGAAGTAAAATTACCTCGGTTCACAGATGATATAATCTTATATGTAGAAATCGAAATATTCAGAAACTTGTTGTTGTTAATAGACAAATTTAGCAGGCTGGGGATTTAGCTCAGTGGCACCACACCTGCCTCCCAAGAGCAAGGTCCTGAGTTCGATCCCCAGTACCAAAAATAAAAATAAACAAATTTAGCAAAGTAACTGTATATAGAGTCAACACACCAAAATTAGCTACATTTCCTTACACTAACAATGAAAAATATCAAAAAGTAAATTAAGAAAATAATTTTGTTTACAAAAGCACCAAAAAGAATAAAGTACTTACAAACTAACCAAGGAGAGGAAAGATGTCTACAATAAAAACTGAAAGGGCCGGGGATTTAGCTTAGTGGTTCCGCCACCTGCCTGCAAGTGCAAGGAACCAAGTTTGATCCCTAATACTAAAAGACAAACAAACAAGCAAAAAAAAAAAAAAAAACCCCACAAAACTGAAATATATTGTTGAAAGAAATTAAAGAAGACATAAATGAATGGAAAGATACATATATATATATATTTGTGGATTGGGAGACTTAATATTATTAAGATGTCAGTACTACCTAAAATTATCTACAGAGTCAATGCAATCCCTATCAAAATCCCAATGATTTTTTTAAAGAAATAGAAAAATCCGTCTTGCTGAAGCTGAAGCTCAGTGGTAGAGCACTTGCCTAGCATGTGTGATCCTCAGGGCTTCAAAATCAAAATAATAATAATAATAATAATAATAATAATAATAATAAAAAAGATCTATCCTACAATTCATATGGGATAGCTAAAACACTCTTTATAAAGAACTAAGCTGGAGGACTCACAGTTTCTGATTTTAAAATTTAATAAATGCTATATTCATCAAAAAGTTTAGTATGAGCATAAAGACAGACATATAGACCAATGGAACAGACTAGCATCTAGAAATAAAACTTTGAACACATGGTTAAATCATTTTCAACATGGAGATCCAGACAGTGGAGAAAGGCAGTCTTTTTTTGGCAATGCTAAGGATGGGTCTCATGGCTTTACATATGTGAGGCAAGTGCACTACCACTGAGCTCCACACGAAGCCCCAGAAAGATGGTCTTTTTAACAAATGATGCTGGGAATATTGGATATCCACACACAAAAGAAGGAAGTTGGACCCTTACCTAACATCATGTACAAAAACTAACTCAAAGTGGATTCATGGCCTAAATGTAAGACCTAAAACTACGAAACTCTTAGAAGAAAACACAGGGAAACATTTTTGCAACATTGGATTTGAGAACAATGTCTTGGATATGACAGGAAAGACACAGGCAGCAAAAGAAAAAGTAGACAAACTGAACTTTATAAAATTTTAAAAATGTACGCATCAAAAGATAGGGCCGGGGATTTAGCTCAGTGGTTTCACCGCCTGCTGCACAAGCTTGAGGACCCGAGTTCGATCCCCGGTACTAAAAAACAAAAAAACAAAACAAACAAAAAAAGATCCTATCAAGGGGCCAAGGATTTAGCTCAGTGGTGCCACTGCCTGCTTCGCAAGCGCAAGGTCCCAAGTTCGATGCCTGGTACCAAAAAAAAAGATACTATCAAAAGTTTGGCATGGTGGTGCACAGCTGTAATCCCAGGCAGGAGGATTGCCCTGAGTTCGAGGCCAGCCTGGGCTACACAGTGAGTTCAAGGCCAGCCTGAACTATATAGCAAGACCTTGTCTCAAGAAAAAATTTTTTTTAAAGATATTATCAAGAGAGTAAAAAAGTAACCGGCAAAAAAGGAGAAGATATTTGTAATCTGCTGTGGTATTAATGTTCATAATACACGGACAACTCCTAAGACTCAACAACCAAAAATAACCCAATTCAAAAATAAGCAAAAACTTTTGTTCTGTTTATTTTATAACAATTTTAATAAAATGGAAAAAGAACTGCATGTGGATTATGATGCAGTCTGGGGGATGTCCAGGGACAGGGGCTGATCTCAGCAAAGGATTCTGTTGCCAATTATGCTGTGATTGAGTGGTGAGTCTTGAGAGATACTGCATTTTTTTCCCCTGAGGTCCTGTGAACACTCCTTATTATAACCCTGGGGGCTTCCCGGAGTGGCTGGTGTGGGCCTGCCAGGAGGTTACCAACGAGCAGTTTCTGTTTCCGAAGTAGTTGGCAGCACTCAGGCCTTCTGAGGGTGGGGAGCCTGTAATAAATGGTTGCAATAATAAGAGAAAGGAGGCTGCCATTTGCGTTGAACTTTTCCCATTTCCCCTTTCTTGTCTACCCACCCCTACTTGTGCTTCCAGAGAATAATGCGTCATCAGAGAGTGGTCACTTCCCAGAGCCAGTGGGTCGGGGAATTCCACCCCCAAAGAGCCATCAATACCCCTTTAGGGTGCAGATCCCTCTTCCTCTCTTGCTCACAGCTCCCCCCATCTGGAATGCTCCCCCTACTCGTCCTGCCTCCCTCTGCAGTTCATATCCATTTTCCAGGGCCCAGTTCCAACCCAATTCCCACTTCCTGGATGATTCATTCCCTGCCTGCTCCAGTCCAAATCTCCGTTGTCCACCCCTGAGTCCAGGCTAATCTTAGTCCCTATGCGTCCCTCCTGGCTCTGCCGTCAGCGTGGGGCTGGGCACTCCTCCCAATATCCTCTAAGAGCTGCCACTGTCCCCTCACTTTGCAGATGCAGAAGGTTGAGTCTTAGAAAAGGAAAGTAACTTGCCCAAGGTCATACGATAAGTAAATACCAAGGGTCCACAGCTCCATGAAGCACTCAGGACTTTTCCTGGAGATGGTCTCTGGGACTTTAGATGTGCTTTTCTAACCCCAAATTCCCTTCATTGAGCTCACATTATCTCACTTATTGCCTTAACCTGGCGAGAAGTAAAATACCTGAATACACGTTTGCAATGTGCCAACCACGCAGCTAAGCTGTGGAAACACCCAACCCCTTGCTCTCAAGGAGTTTCTACCCTAGCGGCTTGGTCGGACGTGTTTATTATACAACGTGCGGGGAATACGGGGCGCGGGCGATTGCAGGAAGTAGCAAAATGGCCTGCCAACATTAAAGCAGTTTGCAGAGCTTGCCTTCACCCCCCAGGACTCAGGGCTTCCCAAGCACTGACCGTTTTTCTTGCATTGTCTCGGGACCTTGCCAGATGCCTATCTGTAGACGTGGATAAGCCCCCTGGCGAAGCGCCTACAAATGTTTATTACCACTACCGGTATTTCACTAACTCCGTTAACTTTCCTCCTCCTCCACAGACCTCCGGAAGAGGGAGAAGAGATCGCTACGCTTCAGAGGCGCCCCACAGAGTCACGTGCTCCGGGTCGCCCTCCCAGCCCGGGCCAGGTCCCGCCCACCCCGGCGGGGTTGCTAGGCAACCGGTCAACTGTGCGCTCCTAGCCGTTTGAGGAGCTTCTGAAGCCGAGGACTTGGCTTGGGTATTTGCGGGTTGGCGGAGCTGCAGGAGGAGCCGACCCAGCATAACGGGCGGGCGCCCGGAGGTCGTCCACGCCTGAAGAGGAGCGTGAAGACAGGAGGAGAGAGACTCCCAAGGGTAAAAACCACCAGCGGCACAAGGGTTTTCTTTGGGGATGAATCTGCTGAATGGTGGATCCAAGAGGCCTAGGGTCCTCCACCACGTTGGTCCTGGCTGCCCTGGGAACTCTCCAAGTCACAAGCCTCTATAACCTCTGAACCCCTTGCACCCCTAACCCCATGAGTGTGCATACTGGGGAGGTGGGGTTGAGGGATCTCAACAGGGCTGGGAGTGTGGACCTTTTTTGGTTTTGGTACGGGGAATAGAACTCAGGACCTCATGCTTGCCAGGCAGGCAGGGCGCCACTGAGCTAAATCCCGGCCATGGACCTCTTAAGAGAGCTTTGGATTTGGGGCCGAGGGATTTAGCTCAGTGGTTTCGCCGCCTGCTGCGAAAGCTCAAGGACCCGTGTTCAATCCCTGGTACCAAAAAAAAAAAAGAGAGAGAGAGAGAGCTTTGGATCAGAACTTGCTAGGGGTGTGTACTTCAAATGCATCCTTTCATTTTTTCCTTACCTGGGAGCTGGCATTATTGTGCCCATTAGGTATCACAGTCAACATCAAACCTTTGATTTAGTTCCTCCAAATCCTGTGCACTTCCTCCTGGGAACAAGCTCAGAGATATATCTGTCTCTGTCTCTCAGTACGGGGGATTGAACCCAGGGCTTTTGCCCTGAGCTACATCCCCAGCTTTTTTTTTCTTTTTTTTGAGACAGGATCTTGCTAAATTGCCCAAGTAGAACTCGAATTTGTGACTCTCCTGCCTCAGCCTCCCAGAGTGCTGGAATTACAGGTCTGTAACACCATGCTTGGCTAAATTTTAATCATTGGTGAAGGTTCTGACTCCCTCCACCAGGATTCTAGAGACAGAAGCATTATTTTGGTGTTTGGACTGGAGCATCCTGTTCTCTCTCTCTCTTTTGGGGGGGGGGTACCAGGGATCGAACTCTGGTCCTTGCGCTTGCAAGGCAGGCAGCAGAACCACTGAGCTAAATCCCCAGCCCCCTCTCTTTTTTGTTTGTTTTGTTGAGACAGAATCTTGCTATGTAGCTCAGGCTGTCCTCAAACTCATGGCGATCCTCCCAAATGCTAGATTACAGGTATGTGCCACTATGCCTGGCTGGAGCATCCTGTTTGTGTCTATCTGTGGTACTAACCACTGTGTTCTGCATGGCTCTAGGTCTCTAGGCTCCCATGGCGGGGAGACCCCCCAAATCCCAGGCAGCAGTGACACTGTTCCTGCCCCCCCCACAGACCCCCTGTTCAGGCCCGGCTTGGAGGAGCCCACCCTGTAACACTCCCGAGACCCCTTCAGCTGACCTCACTAATCATCTTGGTCCCCTGCTAGCGTGTGAGAAAAGAACCTGCTCTGGGTCTTTGAAAGAGCTGACTTCTTGTCACCAGGGCACCCTTTAAATGTCCCTCCTGTCTGCCTCTAGACACAAGACAATGCCTCTCTTCTCGCACAGGGCTTGGCCTTGGGAACCACTCAAGGAAGGAGGTGAGCAAAGCAGTTAAAAATCTGATCTAGGCTGGAGAAGCCTTTTTGACTTCCTGGAGTTTCCTCATTCTCTTACACCTCCTCAGTTGGCCTAGGCATCAGCGGGCTGTCACAGCACTTGTCAGAGGGATGGGGGAGCAGCCCTTATTGGCTGGGTCCAGCAGCCCAGTCCAGGAGGCACAGGTGCTTCTCAGTGTGGTGGGAGAGGTAGAGAACGGAAGTAAATTTGCAGTGTTTCCCCCAAGGCCCCCTCTTGGTTCATGAGGAGTAAACACATCAGGGCCCCCTGCCCAGGAGAGAGAGAGAGAGAGAGAGAGAGAGAGAGAGAGAGAGAGAGAGAGAGAGGTCATTTCTGAAGCACTTTCTGCAAGAATGTGGTTCAGCTTGGGTTGTTCTGGGGTGGGAATGATTTGGGGTTGTGCTGTCTTCCAGGAACAGTTTATGTGGATGCAAAGAGACAAGAGTTAACGCTGTCACTTCCTTCTCCCTCACTGCTACTGAGGAGGCTCGGGGCTGTCTTTAGTTACTTTCTCAGTCCTGAGACACAATACCTAACACCCCAAACTTAAAGAGGGAAAGGTTTATTTTGGTTCACAGTTTGTACAACTTGTATTCCATAGTTAGCTAGCTCCCAAGCGGGTTGTCATGGCAGAGGAGAAACAGCCCATGACATGGCGGGAGAAGCACAGCAGAGATCAAGGGAGGAGGAGGGATATATATATATATGTATATGTATACCCTTCCAGGCCACGCCCACCGTGACCCACGGCTTCCCATCATACTTCACCTTCCAACATCACACCCAGATCTAAGCCCTCAGTGGACTAATCCAAGATCACACACCCATGGTCCAGTCACCTCCCAAAAGCCCCACCTGTGAGCACATGAGGCTTTGGGGTGACATCTAGATATGAACCATAACAGGCCAAATCCACCCCAGACATCTGCTTCTAGATCATCACCCAGCTCCGGGCCCTGCATCTCAGGGGTCAGCAGCCAGTCCCACTGGACAGGTTCCTTACAGCCCTGAGGTTGGGGAAGTAGGTTGGGCACACGTCTGGTCATAATGTTCCTTTGGATGACTATGGACAACAGAAATTTCTAGGCCCTACCCCAGCATATAGTTCAGCATTTGAATCGGTCTTGAACCAGGCTGGCCTCAAACTCATGGTGATGCCCCTGCCTCAGCCTTCTGAGTGCTGGGATTACAAGTATGCATAACCATGCCCATCTTATTATTATTACTTTTTTTGGCAGTGCAAGGGATCCAACCCGGGGTGTCACACATGCTAGGCAAGAGCTCTACCACTGAGCCACACAATCCTGTCCTATGAACTACATTTTTAGTATATGTGCTGCCAAAGCAAGCACATGAACTACATTTTTGACACCATGTGTTAGTCAGCTTTCTTTTCATTGTACTGACAAAATTCCTGAGAAAATCAAGGGAGGAAAGGCTTATTCTGGCTCACAGTTTCAGAGGTCTCAGTCCATGGTCACCTGGCTCTGTTCCTTTGGGGCCTGGTAAGGCAGAGCATATTGGCAGGGAGTAGGTGGTAGAACAAAGTAGCTCATTTCATGGTGGACAGAGGCAGAGAGCGCAAGAAGAGGGACTGGGGACACAGCATACCCTTCAAAGACGTGTCCCCATGATCTACCTCCTCCAGCCAGGCCCCACCTCCTTGAGTTTCCACCACCTCCCAAAAGCACTACAGCCAGGCACCACACTTTCAAGTTTTAGGGGGAACATTTAAAATTTTGTTTTTGAGCTTTTACAATTGCAGTTTCATAGACCATTTCTGAAATAGTGATGACTTGCTTTATTCATACATAAGCCAAAGCATTTAATTCTTTAAAGGCACTATGCATTGTATTATTTGATGCTCTTTGAAGGAAATGACAGTCAGAAATTCCTCAGGGAAATTCCCACTCCAACTCCATTGTTATATCTTTGGAGAGAGAGGCATCCCTATTTCTTGGTTTGGCATAGGGAAAAAACAAAAGGTTGTGCACTTCTACTGCTCACAGGATACGCCATTCTTTCAAGCCACTGCCTTGACACGATTGCTGATGGAAGTGATGAGAACAGTCCAACAGTTGATCACACTGTATGTGTTTTAAATAACACTGAGATCAAGAAGCTCTTCCCAGGTTGCAGATTGCCTGCAATGATCCCACTAAGAGCTTGGTTTTCTTGCTTGTTTTCTTGGTTTTCTTCAGGGTGCTTAAATGGGGCAGAAAAGAGAAGGGGCATCCTTCCCAACTGCAGCAGAGCTCCAGGGGACCAGCTAGGAGATGAAGCATAGTAACAACGTCTGTCCTCCCTCCCCAGGAATTCTCACATTTCCAGACTCCATCCTCACTGGCAATTGTTGAACCACTAGTTTCCAAGGTCCTCCTGGGAGCTCATTACTCCAGCTTCTAGTCATTCATTCAGATATGCAAGCTCTTTTTCAGCACATGCTTTTTGAGGACAGCTCTGGCAACAGTCATGATTTCAGGGCTTCTGGTGGTGGCCAGGAAGCAAAAGAGGGGGGGCTGCATTTAAGAGTCAAACCATAAAATGTCATGCAGTCTTTACTATATCTATGAATTCTTTGAAAATTCTAAGTTTTATAGTTTTAGCTCTTATATTTAGAACACTAGTCCATTTTGAGATAATTTTTGTGTATGGTGTGAGGTAGGGATCTATAGTCACTTTTTTGCTTGAGAATGTTCATTTGTTCCAGCACTGTTTGCTGAAAAGACCATCCTTTTCCCATGGCACTGCCTTGGGACCTTTGTCAAAGATCAGTTGACTATAAATATAAAGGTTTCTTTTTGACCTTTCAGTTCCATTCCACTGATCTTTGTGTCTCTCTTCATCCTAGCACTACACTGTCTTGATTACTCACAGTCAGTTTTAAGAAATGTTTGTTGAATGAGTAAGTGAAGTAATGGGAACTATAATTAGAGTGACTATAATGCTCGCATGGGCTCGAGATGTGGCTTATTGCTTTGGCACTTGCTTGGTATGTGTAAGTGCCGGGGTTCAATCCCCAGTATCACCACCAAAAAAAAAAAAAAAGATAAAGCATACAGTTTTACATTTGTAAAACCTGTACTTCTCTACAAAAATCTATGCTTTTTTTTTTTTTAAATAGAGTAGGGCCAGGGATTTAGCTTAGTGGTTCTGCCACCTGCCTTGCAAGCACAAGGTCCAGAGTTCAATCCCTGGTACCAAAAAAAAAAAAAGAGTAATTTGGGATGTCTCAGAGGGAATTATTGGTCAAAAACCCCAGTATAAAGATGCTTGGTCAAGTAAATTACTACTCTAGCATTTCTGTTACACAGTATTTTTTTTTTTTTTTGGTACCGGGGATTGAACTCAGGTCCTTCCACTTGCGAGGCAGGCAGCGGAACCACTGAGCTAAATCCCCAGCCCTGTTACATAGTATTTTTAAAAATCTATTGCCTGGGTTTGGATATTTGTCTAAGGGTTTTGCTTAGTGCGGGAGATAGGCCCATTGATCATTTTCCTACCAGGTTCCCCTTTCATTCAAAGGCAGCAACACCTCCTCACAGACAAGAGCCGAAACCACTGGGAGTTGAAAGGCTTGGGTTGTAAATCCTGCCATGGTAAGCATACAGTTTATCTCCCGGAAACCACCCGCAGCCACCCATTCAGCTGTTTTTCTCCATGTCTGTGTGCAGCCACAGTCTCAGCTCTCAGGCACTTGCCACCAATGGCACAATCTCTGAGAGTTGGGGTGGTCACTGATGTCCATAGGGTAATGTCACATGGAGCCCTCCAGATGGTCAGCCACCTGTTGCAGAGAAGCACTCAGCTCTTGTAGAACCTATGGATGTCATGGGGCTCAGAGGGTCAAGGTCTCTTGGGATGAGTGAAGGGCGATCTGTAGGAAGTGTACTGTATTTGAGCACCAGCTCTGCAGCTGTTGGGGCATTTCATTCCTCCTCTGGGCATCCTGTGGGGAAGGGGGTGGGGGTCAGCTCTTCTAGGACCGAGTGTCCCAGCCAAGGTCTTGTAGCTGGCAAGGGCAGGGCCAGAACTTGAGGTCAGGGCTTTCCCCAGCCTGCTTTCCAATTCCTGCTTTTCAAGTCCAGTAGCACAAAGCAGAGGTTTTCCTAATGGCCTGGCTATTCTGCCAGCTGAGGAAGCTGCCCAGCTTTGTCCCTTCTCAGGGTGACTCTTACCTCTGTCTGACAGAGTGGTAGAGAGAGGAGAGATTTCTAGAGGGCTCTACAGAGAATGATGGGGGATGGAGTTGGGTAGCCTAGAATCCTGGCATGGATGAACCTTTTGGACAGTGAGTGGTTGGGTGGAGGGTTCCAGAAGAGGCCTGGAGCTTTTTGTCTGTGTTCTGTGTGGCTCAGGTCTGGAGTATGGTGGGGAATTTAGCCCAACATAATTTCCATCAATATTTTTTCATGCCTCCCAAGAAACACGGATTCATCAGAAACTGTATCTGATGGGTAAGAGCTCTGGAGTTAGGCAGGCCACTTATCAGCTCCATGATGCCGGATACGTCACTGAGGGAACCTCTGAATAGCAAATTCCTTTGAGTAAAATGGTGATTTTATTGCCCACCCCATGGGGCAAGTGTAGGAGCCAAGCAAGGTAATTTCATGCTGAGCTCATAGTCAACACTTTTATGAGTTTTTAAAGTGCAGGTGCAGCGTCTGGACAAATCCCCCGGGACTCCCTATCCCCACTTTCGAAAGGCAGATTGAGAACCTAGAGCTTCCCGGATGAGACCTGTGGAGAGGGGACAGTGCCAGGGGGGCCTGTCACCCCACATGCTACCTCTGCCCTGCAGCTGCTGTCACCATGGAGATCGTGTACGTGTACCTCAAGAAGCGCAGTGAGTTTGGGAAGCAGTGCAACTTCTCAGACCGCCCAGCTGACCTGAACATCGATATCCCGCCCAACCCCGAGCTGGCCGCACAGTACGTGGAACGGAACCCAGTGGACATGGGCATCCAGTGCTCAGTCAGCATGTCAGAACACGAGGTGGGTGCCAGCTGGCCCAGGTGTGGCAGGGCCGGTGGCCAGCACGGACACGTAACAGGCCTGGGTGCCCTGTCCACCTGGAAGCCAGCTGGGCGGACCAGCCAGTGCTGGAACTTAGGGGGGGGGACTCACCCGAGGTCCACTGCAGTGCCAAGCTCGGGAGAAGACACAGCACCAAACCAAGGGTTCTAGCCCCACGCCTGAGACTCCTACTAGAGTCGTGTGGGGCCTTTAGAACACCAGGGAGAGGTACAAGGAGTGATTGAAAATACACTGAATTGTTGCATTTTAAAAATTTATTACAGTAAAAAATGCATTATCATTAGCCCCCCCTTGCTGTGAAACGTGCTTATCCCATTATTCGTGCCATTTCTTTTTTTTTCTCTTTTGTTTGTTGTTATTTGTTTTTGCTTTTGGTTTCTGGTGTTTTGAAACAGTGTCTCGCTATGTAGTTCAGACTGACCTTGAACTCACTATATAGCCCAGGCTGGCCTCAAGCTCCAGTGATCCTTCTGCCTCAGCCTCCCAAATGCTGGGCTTACAGGCACCACACCCAGCTTTTACCACTTCTGACGAAGTTCTGGAAGTTCTCTTTCATGAATGTGTTTATGAAGCGTGATAAAAAAAAAAAAACCTCCGGTGAATGCTGCTCCCCAGAGCCATACGACAAAAAGGCACCACCGTGTGTCCTCCTCCACCTACCGCCAGACCTGTGCAACTTCCGGCTATTCTCCAAAGTCAAAATGACCACGAAAGGTCAACGTCTTGAATTGACTGAGGACATCAAGAAAACCAGGACAGCACAACTAAAAACATGAAAGAGGATTCCAGAACTACTTCAGAAAGAGCCTCAAACGATGGGATAAGTGTGTTCAAAGCGAGGGGGAGTATTTTGAGAGGGATTATGGTGATCTGTCTTTTACTGTAATAAATTTTTTTTTAAAATTTAACATTCACCCTTTTTTTTCAATCACACCTCGTATTTGAGGAGAGCAAGGATTTATCTCTCCAGGCAACTTCCCAGCTAGAGAAAGGACAGCATCCCCTGGAAAGTTTTGCATTTCATGAGGAGGCTCCAGGATAAAACAAGTGAGGGCTGTGTCTGTGTGAACCAGGGACATAGGCCCCAGTCAGGGTAAGAACCTCTGAAAGAAAATTTGATGGAATCAGATAGTGCATTTTATCATACCCTGATTGCTGGTATCAACTGTAGAGCAGCTAGCTCCACAGGGCGGTGCGCTGAGGCCACCTGTGACCACCCGAGGACCAAAAATTCCTTGCTTTGCGGCCCAGGCCAGGGCACTTCACCAGCCTATCCTGGTTTGCAGAAGTGGCTGGGCGCTTACACAAGGGCAGATATTTTCTCACCCATGTTGCTCTGTTTAGGCCAACACAGAGCGGTTCGAGATGGAGACGCGGGGTGTTAACCACGTGGAGGGGGGCTGGCCCAAGGACGTGAACTCCCTGGAGCTGGAGCAGACAATCCGCTTCCGGAAGAAAGTGGAGAAGGATGAGAACTACATCAATGCTATCGTGCAGCTTGGCTCGGTGAGTCTCCCTCCCGCTCCACCTGTTGGAGCCTCCCTCTCACTCCAGGTCGCCAAGGGTGCGCCATACCCTAGCTGGCCCAGTGTGGGCTCCTCAGGATACTAGGGAGAAGAAGATCGGCTGCAACCACACAGGTCCATAGCTGAACACGACTTAGTCCAAGTCTAAAGAGTAGAAAACCTCTTGGGCAAAAGAAACCCCAAAAGAATCGTTACTCAGCAGCCAACAGTGACCGTTCATGCATTCACATTTGGATTTAGGGCCAGGTGTCTGCCAGGGACCCTAGAGGCTGTAACAGTGAGTCTCACATACATCCTGTCCCAAAGAGTTTACGACTCATTGCAAGTCAAAGACAAATGCTAAGATGTGACCACATCACAGGAAAAGAAAGAAACACTGTAAGAAAAGGGGGACTTGCCATTTCTTCTCATGAGAAGAGTGTATCTCCTGGTGAAGAGGTCAGGGAAGACTTCCGGGAAGAGATGCCCCTGGGCTTGGCCTTTCCTTGCTGCATCTGAAATAACAGGGAAGGCATTCAGTCTGCAGGTGCCAGGGTCTACGGGCAGGAAGCAGGTGCCAGGGGCCATAATCTGCAGGGATTAATAATTCTGCTTGACTCCAGCAACATTTCTTCAGCCTTTTTTTCATTATTTCCCCTCCCAAACAGCCTTTATAAACATTTTTCCTAGTCATGAAGTCTTAATCTCACAAGTACAGTACATCTGTTTTTGTGCTGTATATGTAACTAGGCTTTGTATACAATATTATCTCACTTTCAAAACTCAGTTGAAAGTATGAACCGGGAGTGTAGCTCAGTGGTGGGATGCTTGCCTAGCCTGTGCAAGGCCCTGAGTTCCGTCGCAAGAAAGGAAGGAAATGCATGGCTTATATAGAATGAGAGACGCCCACTAGGTATCCCCTTGTCCCTCCCAGACCCCATCCAAGCCCTGCTCAGCCTGGAGGACCTCTCTTTGCTCCCAAGAGCTTTCAGTGTCTCATCTCCCCCAGATCATGGAGCACTGCATCAAGCAGAACAATGCCATAGACATCTACCAGGAGTATTTCAACGATGAGGAAGAAGTGGAGGTGACCGATGAGGCCTCTTCAGCTAAAACCATCAATGTTTTCAGGTAGTTCCATAGTGAGCAGGTGTCTGGCCAACTGTCACCCACTAAACGGGCTTCTTGCTCATCACTCCAGGCGGGGAGGGCTACGCCCTCTGTGTCCTTGACAAGGGGCAGAGTAAGAACTTGGTGCCCAGCAAAGAGGGCTCTACTCCCTCAGGGTGTCCAGATTCCAGGGATGAGACTGGGAGTGATCCCCAGGTATGCACAGTGGGGTCCGTTCCTGCAGGGTAGGGTCAGTACAGCATGGCAAACATGGAGACCCAGTGTAACAGTAGGCACACAGGGTACCGTCCTATACTCTTGGCAGGGGATCTGGGCTAATCTTCCCCCTCCCCTTTTCAACACTAACAGACTAGTTTTTAAGGTAGCTTTAGGCTCGCAGCAAAATTGAGCAGAAAGTACAGGGAGTTCCTCATGTCCCTCCCCTTCTCCCACTCCAGCACACAGACCCCCATTATGAGCATTCCCACCAGATAGACCTGGACACATCCTCACCTCCCGGACACCATAGTTTCCATTAGGGTCACCATTAGGGTGGTACAGTGTGTGGTTAGGACAAATGCGTCATGACAAGTGTTTCACTGCCTTAAAAATCCTCTCTGCTCTTGCTGTTCCTCCCTCCCCCCAACCCCTGGCAATGGCTGATCTTTTTACCGTTTCCAGTTTTATCTTTTCCAGATGTCATATAGCTGGAATACTACAGCACATGGCCTTTTCTGTCTGGCTTCTTTCACTTAGTAATAGGCACTTAAGTTTCCTTGTGTCTTTTCACGGCTTGAAAGCTGGTGTCTTTTAATGGTGAATGACAATCTATTATCTGGATGTACCCAGACTTATCCACTCAGCTACTGAAGGGTGTCTTGGTTGCTTTCAGGTTTGGGCAATTATGAATAAACCTACTATAAATATTCAGGTACCGGGTTTTGTGTGGACAAATGTTTTTAAACCATCCAGCAAATAAGGAGGCCAGTGGCTGGTTCCCATCACCTTTTTATTCTAATCTTCACAGAAGATCAAGTGCTGGCTCAAAACTTTCCTTTTTTCTTTTTCTTTTTTTTTTTTTTTGGTATCGGAGATCAAACTCAGGACCTTGCGCTTTCGAGGGAGGTGGCAGAAACACTGAGCTAAATCCCCGGCCCAGCCCTTTTTTTATTTTTTATGGTGCTGAGAATTGAAGCCAGGGCCTTTACACTGAGCTACACATCCTAGCCCTTTTTAATTTTTTAAAATATAATTTAATTTTCTTATTGGTATGTATTTGCAGTACATAATGATTACGTACATTATTGGTCATAAGTTGGTACATACATATAACACATCTTAATTCTTCTGAAAAGTTTTGTTCTGAGACAGGCCCTCAGTAAGTCACTGAATTCCCCAGCCTGGGCTGAAACTTGCAATCCTGACTCAGCCTCCCAGAGTATTGGCATCACAGGCCTGCGCCACCACACCCAGCTTCAAAACTTTCAGCAAGTGAAAGTGATGAACTAGAATTTAATTTGTTGTTTCCATTGTCTTAATTATTATTATTATCTTCTATTTATGGCTGGTGAGACTGGTTTTTCATTTATGGGAGTCTTGTCAACTTTGTTTTCAAAGTAGATTTCCCTGAGTGAAGGTGATTCCTTAGATGCATTTGAATATTTTAAAGACAAAAACCTACTGAATAAGGAATTAGGGGAGTCCCACCCTCCAGTCTCCTGCCTCCCTTGCTTTCTCCTTAAAGAGATCCCCAGGAGATCAAACGGACGGCCACACACCTCTCCTGGCACCCTGATGGCAACCGGAAGTTGGCAGTGGCATATTCTTGTTTGGATTTTCAGCGGGCACCTGCAGGCATGAGCCATGAGTCATACATCTGGGACCTGGGTGAGAAGCAGAGGGGTCCTGCTGGCCACAGAGGGCTGAGGAGCCGAGCAGAGGCAGGAAATTCCAGATTCTCCTTTCTTTCCTCCCTCCCTTTCTCTCTCTCTCTTCTCTCCTGTCTGCCTGCAGTACTGGGGATCAAACCCAGGGCCTCACACGTGCTCGCCAGTTGTTCTATTGGTACACCCCAGCCCCCCAATTCCTGATTCTTAATCTGGAGCATTAAGACCAGACCCTGTGGGATGCCAATTCTTGGGCCCTAAAAACCATATCAGAATGATGCCCAGCAGACTGAGAAGGGGCCCAAGCAGGAGGGAAGGGAACTCATGCCCTAGCCCACCTTTCCTGTCACTTGCCCTTAACCTGTGGCTAGCAGGGGCAGTGTGTCCACCTGTGGGCCCAGACCAATGTCCAGGGCTTGCTCTGAGGGCAGGAGCCTAGCCGGGGGGCCGCTCTCAGCCTCCCCTCCACTGCCACATTGTTACAGGAAGTGGGCGGCACTAGCTTGGCACACACAGCTCGGCGCGTCCTTAGAGCAGCCCCCCGGGGTGGAGGCCAGTAGGACTCCCAGGCCACAGACTTGGGGTGAGGAAGCTGGGGAAGAGCTGACTTATGTAAAAACCTTTGGGTCAAAACCTCCTTTCACACCAAACCCAGGAAGTGGACTAGAACTGGAATTAAACATGCACAGGCACCCCACTCCCAGTCCCCCCAAATAAAGCCATGGCCAGGATTCAGGCTTAGGGACCTGGAGAAGCAGCTCGGAGAAGGACCAGAGCGCTTCCACCCCTCCCTGCCTGTAGGAGGTAAACTGATGATTGACCCTGTCTTTTTCTGTCCAGGCCTGATGAAGTCATTTTTTCCCCTGCTTTATAGAAAACCCCAATAGGCCTGAAATGGCCCTGAAGCCATCTTCTCCACTGGTGACCTTGGAGTACAACCCCAAAGATTCTCACGTGATCCTGGGGGGCTGCTACAATGGGCAGATAGGTAAGGGGGAACCCAGCCCTCATCCAGCTGCCAGACCAAAGGGGTGAGCCTTCGGTTGCAGACCACCCAGGTGCTTGTGAGTCGGTTTCTGCTGACACTGGGTAAGGGCACCAGCTCTAATGGTTCAAGCAAATCTGACATTAGTTCAAATTAAACAGTTCCTGAAAACTCAAGTTCAAGTAGAACCAAGGAACATGCAACTAGGAACAGCCATAGAGAGAAGAGACCCCTGTGGAGTTCCGTGTTGGGAGAGGCATGGGGGAAACCTACATGGTAATGGGAGTGGTGATACTGGCCTCATAGAAGGAGTTGGGGAGAGCCCCCCTTTCTGTTCTTTTGCAAGAATTTGCATTAATTGTTTCAGTGTTTGGGAGAATTCACCAGCAAACCCATCTGATCCCAGGCCTATTTTTTTCAGTACTAGGGATTGAACCCAAGGGTGCTGTATCCCTGAGACATATCCCCAGCCCTTTCAATTTATTATCTTCAGTCAGAATCTCACGAATGCCCAGGCTGGCCTCACACTTCCCATCCTCCTGCCTCAGCCTCCTGCATAGCTGGGTGTACATATCACTATGCCTGGCCTGGGCTTTTCTTTGTGGCAAGTTTTAGAATTACCAATTCAATTTTTTCATTCACTATAGATCTCTTCAGATTTTCTGTTTCTCCTGGATTTATTTTGGTAGTTTCTGCCTTTCTAGGGACTTTTCCATTTCATCCAGATTATGTCATTTGTTTTTTTGCTTTTGTTTTTTTTTTTTGCTACCGGGGATTGAACTCAGATGTCATTTGTTGATGTATAATTGTTCACAGTATTCCTTTATAATCATTTTCATTTCTGCAAAGCTGGTGGTCATCTCTTCTATTTTGTTCCTGGTTTTAGTAATTTGAGCCTTCTCTTTCTTCCCCACTTCATCAGTCTAGCTAGATGTTTTGTCAATTTTGTTTCAAGAACCAGCTTTTGGCTTTATTGATTTTCTCAGACTATGAAAAATTTTCAGTTTCATTTATTTTTCACTGTAATCTTTAATATTTCCTTCCTTCTGTATGTTTGGGTTTTCATTTTCTCTTTTTCTCATTTCTTAAGGTGAAAGTTTAGGATAGTTTTTGTTTGATTTGGTTTTTCATTTTTGCAGAGCCAAGGATCAAACCCCAGGCCTCATACATACAAGCCAAGAGCTCTGTGACCGGCTGCAGCCCAGCCCTTTTTGCTTGTTTGTCTTTGTTTTGTTTAATGTATGCATTCACAGCCCTGAGTTTTCCCTCTGTGCACTGCTTGAGCTGCACCCATACCTTCTGGTTGGCCGTGTTTTCGTGTTCGTTTATGTCAACGTATTTCTGGATTCCCTTCTGCTTTCTTCTTTGACCCATTGGTTCTTCAGAGTGTGTTTGTTTGTTTTCCAGCTCTCTGGGAACTTTTCAGTTTTCCGAGATTTATTACATGTTAGAAAAGCTACTTGTCATGATTTCAATCTTCTTACATTTATCAGGGCTTCTTTTACGGCTCAGCACTCTGTCCCTCCTGGAGAATGTCCCTCTTGTCCCTCCTGAGAACGTAGACTACGTGCTGCTTGCTGTCAGGTGGAGCAGCCCATAGCTGCTCTCTCCTGAGTGTGACTGAGTTTTGGGCAATGACATCACCGTCCCAGGTATGTGGCCTCAGGTGCCCAGGTTCTCAAGGCTGCTGTGGACGTCTGGTGCTCCAGCTTTTCCCTTGAAGCTTTCTGGCCAGGCTGCTGTTTGCCCCACCTGTTATCCACAGCCTCAGTTTCCACAGCTGTGCTCTAAGGAAAAGACTTTTGCACTGAACAGACTCTGAGTCAAGTCATATAGACAACATTCCAAGATGGATGCTCTGGGGAGCCACCGGACAGGCCAAGTCATGGCAGGCTTTGGGTCATGGACCTTGAAAGAGCTCATCCAGCCCACTCTGCTTCTTCCTGCGGCCGCCAGGCCATATTGGCAGTGCAGGTGGTTACTTTTCTTTTCAGTGCTTTTTCTTTTTTAGTACTAGAGATCAAGCCCAGGGTCTTCACACTGAACTACATCCTCAGCCTTTTAAATTTTATTTATGTAGCTATTTTTGTTTTTTTGAGACAGGATCTCATTATGTAGTTCAGGTTGGCCTTGAACCTAACTATGTGACCCAAGCTGGCCTTGAGCTCGTGGTGATCCTCCTACCTAGGGCTGCTGAGTGCTAGAGTTATTGGCCTGTGCTACCATGCCGGGTTCAGCCCTTTTATTTTTTTATTTTGAGACAGGGTCTTACTAAGTCACTGAATTACCCAGGCTAGACTCAAACTTGCAGTTCTCCTGCCTCCCAGACTGCTGGGATTACAGGTGTGCACCATTGTGCCAGGCTGGGATGTTGCTTGTCTAGCTACCATGGAACTGGGAAGCATATATCTTAGCTAGGGCTAGTTGAGATGCCACAAGAGTCATTGTTGTTACCAAGATTCAACTATTTTTCTTGAATAACTCTCCAGATTGCTGTAAGCTTTTGGCTAATTTACAAAATTCTGAAAAAATTGATTCTGACCATTTTTGCCAGTTTTTAAATTGTTTTTGTGGAAAAGCTGGAGAAGTCCGTACTCTACTATTTTTGTTGATGGCCCACCTGGAAAGCTTATTTTAAAAAATTCCTATCAAGGCTGGGCATGGTGGTATGTGCCTGTAATCCTAGCAAGCAGGAAGCTGAGGCAGGGGGATCACTGTAAGTTCAAGCCCAGCCTGGGCTACACAGTGAGATCCTGTTTCAACCAAAACAAAAACAAAACTCCAAGGAAATCAGAAGAAATTGGCCTGCCCTCTATTCTCAGCCCCGACATAGCAGGCTCCCAGTCCTCATAACACTACAACACCTTAGGAATTGTGTCAGTCACCTTTCTGTTTCTGGGACAAAATACCTGACACACATAACTTAAAGGAGGAAAGGTTTGTTTTTGGCCCATGGTTGCCTGGCTCCAAGGCAGCAACATCACTGCAAAGCTGCTCAATCCTTTGCATCCAGGAAGCAGAGAGAGAGGGAAGAGACAGAGGGGAAGGGGTCAGGGCCAGATATGGTCCCCGAGGTCATGCCCCCAAGCCCCACCAGCCACATGCAAAAGTGTACTTTACTAATCTCCTCAGAATTTCTCAAGCCAACCAAGTTTAACACAGATCAACTGTCACAGGTATGAAAGGGGCTTCCCATCCCGTCTACCCTCACTTGCTCTACTACTGTCCCTTCGTCTTCAGGAATAGGAGCCGGAACAGCTGAGAATGTCTCAGAAGCCCTCTGTGGCCAGCTGCCCCGGGCCTTCTCAGGCCTCATCTCCCTCCCAGACCTGCTGCCTCCTCCCAGGAGAGTGCGCAGGCAGTGGAATAGACACCGGCTCCCTGCATTTCCCTGCCAGATTACCCAGGTGCCAGCTCGCTCAAGACTGCCCCAAGTGCCTTTGCCATGATTTATTCAGGAGCCCACCACACTCATTATTCATAATGCCTTTTGGTGGCTTTTCACGAGGCTCCAAGCAGCTGGGGCTCTTGACCCTGCTGCTGTACGAAGGGGGACCCAGAAGGGGCATCTGGGACCCGTGAGTCCACGCTGGAGCACGCTTCACCAAGCCGAGCAAGTTGAGCGAAGAAAACACAAGAAGATGCCTTGGATTTGAAGGATGTTAAGTCAAAGCGTGTGAACCAAGTACTTCTGTTGTTTCACAAGACCAACCTTCCTGGAAAGAGCCTGTGCACCGGAGGGCAGGCCCTGCTCCTACACCCAGGGGAAGGGAAATGACAGCGCTCAGCACAGAAAGCTGAGAAGCTTCACATCTTTCTTTGGCAAGCACTCAGCAGATTGCAGGAGAGGGTCAGGCTCCTCCTGGGCATCTTTCTGGAGCCAGCAAAGGTGCAGAGGAGAAAAGGGAGGGGAGTTGATGTAGCAGGAAAATTTGCCTCAAGGGACCTCTCAAGGTTTTTCCCTGGAACGGAGATTCAACTGTCCCCTCTGCCTGGCTCACGGCACCTCGAGGCTCAGCCGCAGCTGAGTCCCTGTCACCTCCCCTCTGCAGTAGCAATCACAGGCCAGGCTGTACTTGCTAGCCCCCTCCAGCCTTCCTCCCAGTGGACAGCCTGCCCCGTTCCCACAGCTTCCCCAGGACCCAGGGCGACACTCAGCATGGGGTAGGACTGTAATGGAAGAATGAAGCTTGCGCTTTGGGGGTCTCCCTGGAGATTTCTTGGGGGCTGGTGTAAATTTAACCCTACTATAAAAACCCGCACACCTACCAAACCCGGAGAAGCAGCACCCCTCCATCCCTGTTCCCTTCTCGGAGGAAGGAAGCCCTGCCTCCCTTTACCTCCCCTTGTCTCCTTCCTCATCAGCCTGCTGGGACACCCGGAAGGGCAGCCTGGTGGCAGAGCTGTCCACCATTGAGTTCAGCCATCGAGACCCTGTGTACGGCTCCATCTGGCTGCAGTCAAAGACGGGCACAGAGTGCTTCTCGGCATCCACAGATGGGCAGGTACCACCTGGCCAGGCCCCCGAGGGCAGAGGGCTTGTGTATCCCCTGGTTCCCATCAGGATTCCTGTGGGAAGGTTTCTTTTTACATTTCTTTTTTTTTTAATTTGTACTGGGGATTGAACTCAGGACCTTGCGGTTTTGAGGCAGGTGTGGTGCCACTGAGCTAAATCCCTGGCCCTACATTTCATTTTTAAAATTAACAGTGGATAAAACATGCACATGGAGCAAAATCTCAAAGGTCCAAAAGAGCAGACAGCGAAATGCCTTCCTCTCTTGTCTATCCAACCTCCCTGCTTCTACCTGAAGCGTGGGGTTAGTTTCCTACCTCCACCCTCAGATAGTCTCTGCCTGTTCTGACTCTTTCTGCACACTTTTGAGTGTCCTGCACGTGATGTGTTCATTTAGCACATCTCAGAGATAGTTTCACGTTCTGCAAACCACTGCCCTGTGCCTGCTAAGGACTGGAGTGTATGGGCATATCATAATTTATTTAAATAGATTTTATATTTAGTTGTTACCATAAAAAGCATAGCAAGAGTGTATTTGTGCCTAGATTATTCCACAGGCAGGAACATCTACAGCTCATGCTCCCAGCAGCCGGACCCTTAGGTTAAAGTGTAAGTCCATTTTTCACATTGCTAGATATTTCTACATGCAGAGAACTGAAAGAATCCAGACTCTTGGGATGGTGCCTGATGATCTTGATTCAGTAACATTGGAGTGAGGCCCTGGCATCTGGACTTTAGGCAGTTTTGCCAGTGATGCTGATGATCAGCCGGGTGTGGGACCCATGGCCTCCAGCAGCGGTTCTCAAAATATGTTCATTCTCATAGGTGGGTTAAGGACAGAAGCCAGGGGAACTGAGGGACCTTGAGGTCTCAGAGTCACCCCTGCCTCCTACTAGGTCATGTGGTGGGACATCCGCAAGATAAGCGAGCCCACCGAGGTGGTGATCCTGGACATCACCAAGAAGGAACAGCTAGAAAATGCCTTGGGGGCCATCTCCCTGGAGTTTGAGTCTACCTTGGTGAGTGTTCCTTGCTCTCCCTTCCCCGACTTTCCTTGCCAGGGTAAGGACAGGCCATGGCTAGTATAGCAGATGTTTGTGGCTCCAGCCCAGCCCCAGACAAGCCCTTCCTCCACCTGTGTGGTATTTACAATAGCCCTCCAGCAGGGGGCAGCAGAGCTCCTTAAGGAAGGAAGCCATTCTAGTCCCCAGCCAGTCAGTTTGGCCAGTGACCCTGATGAAGAGGAAGACAGATTTAACAGGACAGAACTCAGTGGGAGAGCCCTGACCAGGACCCAGGCTGCCCTTGCTTCACATAGGGGCCAGGGCTGGTCACTTCCCTTCCGATGGGGAAGAAAGAATGTAGTGCGGAGGGAAAGGAGATCTGAGGGAGCTCCTTGGAAAACCAGGGCACAGACATGAACTCAGTGACAAAGAAGGAACAAGAAAGGAATCTCCAAGCTGAGCAATAATGTTAAGGCAAGCTTCTAGAAGCAGCAAATGAAAACTCCCTATGGATCTTACCGGGGATTTACCTCAGTGGTTCTGTCACCTTCCTCGCAAGCACAAGGTCCCAAGTTCAATCCCTGGTACCAAAAAAAAAAAAAAATTTAGAGGATTAACACTTCCTCTGTAATGCAAGACAAGAAAATGACTTTTCCAGCTGCTTCTTGGCTTGGGCTGGATCCTGGTTTATATCTTATTGACGCTGAGGCCAGGTCCCCAATTGGAGGTATCACTCGTTGCCTTAAGGTCATGTGACATCACTGCTAGGAGACTGGGAGCTCTAGCCTCACACCTGCCCTGAGTATCCCCACTGAAGGCTGGGGAGTGAATGCTGGTGGGATGAGATGCAAGATAATTCAGCTGACCCCCAACCTTGGTCAAGGCACTGGATGGAGACCCAGAAAAACATTCTGACCTGCACGCTATCCCAGGCCGTGTGGTGGATGTAATGACCACACCATGACAAGCCCTCACTACTCCATGCATGTCCCTTACTGAGTGCACACAGTATGCTGGACACTTGTAGATACCACAGTGTGAGCCTGTGTAACCATCCATACCCACCACTTGAGGTAATGTTATTGGCCCTACTTTCCAGATAATGAGGATGAGTGCCAGTGAGGCTAAGTTACATCCCCCATCACAGGGTGAAGCTGAACTCAAACCCACGCCCCTCTATAAAGCCCGAAGCCAGAGGTGTTCCCTGCCTTGTGGGCCTGGATGGCCCTCCTCCCGGAAAAGCTTGGTACAGGCACCAAGGGGCTCGCCTGATGACTCACCTCTCAGGACCTCTCAAGTCTGGTCTCTTCATTTTTCTTTGACACACAACTTTGATTGTTTGTTTGTTTGTTTTATTGAGTTTATTGGTACATTTTAGGGATAATTATGGTCACATTCGTCATTAGGAATTTGTACCTGCACATGACATCTCTTGATTTTTTTTCTCATTCCCCTGCCCTCCCTTCAACCCCTCCACCCCACCCTATTTACATAAGCTTTGTTTCCATTTTTTCCTTTTTTTCATATTTTTCTTTCCCTTCTTTCCTTTCCCCTACCCCTCCTCCCTAGTTCTCCTTCCCCTTTGAACATTTTCTTCTTACTTTACAATATCTATTATACATCTTACCCCTCATTTATGCTTTCAGTTTCTCACACCAGAGAAACAATTTGGTATTTACACATGTGTGTCCTATTTATTTCACTTAAGAGTATGGCCTCAAGGTGCATCCATTTAGCTATAAATATCGATAGTTGGGCTAGGGATTTAGCTCAGTGGTGCTGTTGCCTGCCTCACAAGGGCAGGGTCCCGAGTTCAATCTCTGTTACCAAAAAAAGTCTCTAGTTTATCTTTCTTTATGGCTGAGTAGTACTCCATTTTATTTTTTTAAAACCCACATCTTTTTTTTAATAACTTTATTATCAAACACACACACATACAAAAAATTAAAACCACTCAAAGAAAAACAATGCAAGGGGAAAAAAACTCCAATAATATTCAAATACAGTAGAACTCAACCAAAACAAAACTGAAAAGCACTTAAACATTTTTCCATATAAGTTAAAAAAGCATCTCAAGCACCAACAAGACACCAGAGGATGTGATTTGTTTCAGAAAGGTCCCCAAAACCAACATTGAACAAATAATGATCCGGAAAAAAAGCTCCAGTTAGTTAAACCCAGATCTTTTTTTCTTTTTTTCCTGTTTGACCAGTGATGACCAGCGATGTTGAACATTTTTTTCATATGTTTATTTGCTGCTTTTACTTCTTCATCTGTTCATTTCATTTCAGCTGCCCATTTTTGGAGTGGGTCTTTAAATCTGGGAGGTCTGATTTTTTTAAGTTCTTTATATACTCTAGATAGTAGTCCTTTGTCTGAGGAACAGCTGGTAAAAATTTTTCCCACATTGTAGATTGTCTCTTAGCTCTGTTGGTGGTTTCACTTTCTGTGCAGAAGCTTTTTAATAAGATGAGATCCCAGTTGTTGATCCTTTGTGCTGGGTCCTGTGCGACTGAGATTTTGTTCATAAAGTCTTCCTACGCCAAATGACGCAAAACTTTGCAGTTTATGTGGGGACTTCCTTCCTTCCCTCCCTCCCTCCCTCGTTTCCTTCCTTCCTTCCTTCCTTCCCTCCGTGTGTGTGGGGGGCTGGATGGGACCCAGGGCCTGTGCATGCTCAGTAAGTGCTTTACCACTGAGCTGCAACTCTGGCTTGTGTATGTTTTTCAAATTGTGGTTAAAGAAAAACACATAAAATTTACCATTTTAACAAAGTGTCCAATTCAGTAGTGTTAAGTATATTCACATTGTTGTCCAACCATCACCATTCCTTGCCCTTTTTTATTTTTATTTGGAGACGGTCTCGCTAAACCACGCTGGGCTCAAACTTGCAAACCCTCTTTCTTGCCCTGGAGTTCTGGGATCATAGGTGTGCTCCTCTATGCCTGACTCCGAACATTTTTCGTCTTGCAAAACTGAATCTCTGCACCCATTGAACAACTTCCCACTTCCCTCCACCCTCGCCCCTGGCAACCACCATTCTACTTTCTGTGTTTTTAAATTTGGCTGTTTTAGGAACCTCTTATAACTGGAATTATAAAATATTTGTCCTTTTTATGACTGGTTTAGTGCACTTTGTATAATGCCCTTAAGGTTCATCCATGCTAGAGCATGTGTCAGAATTCTCTGCCTTTTGAAGGCTGAATTATATTCCCTCCTACGTATGGACCGGTTGTGTTTATCCGTTCATCTTCCCAGGGACACTTGGGTTGCTTCCACCTTTTGGCTATCATGACAAATTGTGCTAGGGACATGGGTGCACATTGTCACCCAGTTCTGCAGGGACTTTTGGAAGGACTGCGGCACTCCTGGGCTGCTGTTCTCAAGGCCCCCTCCCAGAGAGGAGTGGATTGTGGGGGAGGCACATGGGCCTGGGATGGGGACTCTTCTCAGGCCACATTTCAAGTTATTCACAAATATCTTTCAAGCCCCTGCTCACACCAGCCACTATTCCAAGAGGCAAATGTCCCTGCCCTCAAGGAGCTTGTGGGACACATAGAAAACAAAGGAAATACTTCAGCCAGAAGGTGGTGGGGGTCTGTGGGGACAGAAATGGAGAGCAGAGTAAGGCGGCTTGGGAGTGGTGGCTTGGTTGAGGGGGGGCAGTGTAAATATGAAACCGAGCGGCCTGGGGAGGTGAGATGTGAGCAAAGCCCCCAAAGCAGTGAGAACTCACTGAGCAGACGACTGAGGGGAAAGTGTCCCAGGCGAGGGGAACAGCCACAGCAAATCCCCCGAGGCAGCAGTATACCTGTGTGCTTAAAGACAATGAAGATACCACAAGGTGCCAGAGGCTGAGGGTACCCCGGTACCTTCTGGGATAACTACCGTACATCTAATCTTTCTTACTACGGGCCTCATCTTGAGCAGCCCTTCCACTTGGCCCCAGGTGGCTTCCTGAGTGTTGGGTGGCCACCCGCTCTGAGTTCTCAGTAGACAGTGCTAGGGCACTGTCACTATTGCTCCAGATTAGACACTGCCTGCCTTCTAAATGACCCAGTCCACACTGCATCCCAATCTGGGCTGGGCTCGCCTACTCTGTCTGTAAACATTCAGGATCTTTAGGGCAAATTCGTAGTGGATGCCTCATGAAGGGTGCTCCTGGTATCTTCCAGTGATCAGAAGATCCAGGAAGGGCTTCATTAAGCAAGTTCCCCAAAGCGGGAGTCTTTGGAGGGGACAGGTCTTTTGTGGGAGGCACAGTCTGAGCGGAGCTTAAAACAAGGTGTCTGCTAGCACTGCCAACCCCGGGCCGGCTAGCCCCTGCCAGCCAAGCCTAGAGTTGATGCTTCATGGCCCCTTCCACTGCTGTCACCCCCTCCACAGCCAACCAAGTTCATGGTGGGCACTGAGCAGGGCATTGTCATCTCCTGCAACCGCAAGGCCAAGACGTCGGCGGAGAAGATTGTGTGTACTTTCTCAGGCCACCATGGCCCCATCTACGCCCTCCAGAGAAACCCCTTCTACCCAAAGAACTTCCTGACGGTCGGGGACTGGACAGCCCGCATTTGGTCTGAAGACAGCCGGGAGTCATCCATCATGTGGACCAAGTAAGGGAGGGACAGGGGGCTGGGACAGGAGGGAAAGCCACAGAGGGGGCCACCTCAGAGCCTCTGTAAGTCCATCTGTAAAATTTAGCAAAGAAAAATACAGGCTCCCTAGTTAAATTTGAATTTCAGAAAAAATAATGATTTTTTTTTTTTTTTAGTATAAGTATGTCCCATACAATATCTGGGATATACTTGTAGTAAAAATTATTTATTGTTGTCAAAAATCTCTAGAGTTCTTTGGTATTGCTCATTTCTCCCACCCTAGCTTAACTGTCCACCCAGTTGCAAAGGAGGCTGGGAAATGTAGTCTCTGGTGTGGCCACCATGGCTATAATTGTAGCACTACAGGGTAAAGGAGGATGGGATCTAGTGGAAAATTCAGTCCCTACTGTGTGGGTGTGTACATGCATGGCTACAGTTGCTCACACACACATGTGCAGGTGTGTATGTGTGTGTGTGTGTGTGTGTGTGTCTGTGTGTGTTTAATGTTTGATAGAAAATGTTAGAAAATCTGAACCAAACTAAGTAGGAAGTTTACCCCTCCCTGATATCAGAGTTATGAACTTTCCTGGACATGACCTTCCTCTGACTGCTTCCGTGTGTCCAGGGGCTGGGCCTGTGGGAAGCACCATATCCAGGGCCCTGCAAAGAGCAGCCTGGGAGGCTGGCAAGGCTGGAAGCTAAACACAAGGCAGAATGTGACATGAGGAACTGGCTCCCGCAGGTACCACATGGCTCATCTCACGGATGGTGCCTGGAGCCCTGTGAGGCCAGCAGTGTTCTTCACTACCAAGACGGATGGGACCCTGGACATCTGGGACTTTGTGTTCAAGCAGTCTGACCCTGCCCTCAGCCTGAAGGTCACGCGAATCCCCCTGTGAATGCCTCTAGGCCCTTCCTCTACAGGCGTGGGTCTAGGTGTGAGTGTGGCATGGTGTAAGCATGTGTGCTCCACTGTGCATGGCCAGGTGTGTCTGTGTAAGGGCCTCTCTAGGTTATTCATGCACTGGTTCACTACAGAGTTAGGGGGACTTGGCACCCTGGTGACATGGCAGAATCACCCTGAGGAAATTAAAACAGAAAAGAAAGCAGATGCCCCACCACCCCTGCCCCAAGCTGTATCCTTTTAGGCCCTTGGACAGGTCTCTGGGCAGCTGGCCCTTCAAACCTGAGCTCCTATTAGCAAAGCCATGGTGGGGGCTGTGGGAGGCTATGAGGGTTCCATAAGTTGGATGGGACTGGACTCAAAGGGGTGATGAGGCAGGAGCCACAGGCCTAGACAGCTAGTCTCTGAGTTTGCACCTCACCTTGTGGGGTAAGGGGTGTCATGGAGGGTGTCTGATCAGGGCGAAGGAGCTAAGCCTTCCCAGGTGCCATTAATCAAACAAACATGGCTTTGCCCTGCCCCCCGGGTCTGCTTGGACCCTCCAACAGGTGTGTGACGAGGCCCTCTACTGCCTCCGGGTACAGGACAACGGCTGTCTCATTGCTTGTGGCTCCCAGCAGGGGACGACCACCCTGCTGGAAGTCTCCAGTGGGCTCTCCACAGTCCAGAGGAATGAGAAGAACATAGCTTTTTCTGTAAGTACTGGCACTCAGCAGGGTCCACACTGTGCATGTCCTGACCTGGCCCCAACTCAGAGTAGCACAGTCAGAGAGAAACATGTCCCCTCCTGTCCACCTCCTGGGAATAGGTGCACGAGTTTGATGGGGCCACTGGGTGTCCTAAAGTGAACTCTGTGTTTGGGCTTTAGCAGGGTTCACCTGCCCTTGCTCAATACTCTGCAGCTCAGTGGCCCCAGGCAAATCACTTTGTCTCCACAGGCTTTGGTTTTCCTGCTGCAAATCAAATGGTTTAACTGGGTCCCTTGGTCCAGTTTCACACAACACAATTTTTTGCAGCAGAATCATTCAAAGACACCAGCAGAGAGGACAGGTGGAAGGGCACCTGCCCTGGAGTAGGGACATGGAGGCCCACGTCCGTATCCTACTGCCCTCACCCAGCAGCCCTGGCACACACTCCCCGGTGCCCTGGTGCACACCGTGGAAGGGAAAGCCCTGATGCAGAGGTCTGGGAGAGCTTCCTGGCTCTGCCTGAGCTGGGGGAGTCTCACCCCTGAACTGGTCCTTTGTTGGGCCCACAGCCACCATGGTGTATAACCAACCCCATAGGAGGTTCTCCACCATTGGCATGTGGACTCGGTGCTCCTCAGAGGGGAGTAACTTGGCATCCTGGCTCCAGCCTCTGATGCCAATATTCAGCCCTCCATTCTTGACACCAGCCCTGCGTGCAGAACTCTTTGAGTAGGGCAGGGAGACCTGAGGAGCAGCCCAGCCTGGCCCGGTGCTGGAGTAGCTTGCTGCCCACCCCTTCCACTGGCCTCTGTCCCACTGTGGCCCAGATATTTGAGCGAGAGACCCGGCGGGAGAAGATCCTGGAGGCCAGGCAGAAGGAGATGCGGCTGAAGGAGAAAGGCAAGACAGAGGGCAAGGATGATGACCAGAAGGACAAGGAGCTGGCCACAAACCTGGAGGAGATGGTCGCCAAGGCCGAGCAGGAGTTCTTCGACATCATCTTCACGGAGCTGAAGAAGAAGGAGGCAGAGGCCATGGAGAAGAAAGCAAAACCTGTAGGGGCCTCGGCAGGGCCCGGGTGGGCTGAGGGCTGGGAGCTGGGAGAGCACATGGAGCCAGGCGTCGCCTGCTGGCTGACCTCGCCCCGATGTCCTTATTTGAGTGGGAGGACGTACTCGCTTCCTCGCGGGCAGGCACTGTGACCCGTGCCTCCTGGGGTGCTGCCATCCCGTCCATGGCAGGCGCCTCTGAGCACGCGTGGTACCATCTGGATGAGGGCCCTGGGAACCAGTGAGTGGTGCAAGGAGCCAGCGCCTTGACATCCGGGGAGGACAGGGCTACGGTGTTCCCCTGTGTGCCTCACTCTTGGTACCCAGCCTGGTGTCAGGAGTATGACTTTGATTAGCCCCTCTGCCCGTGGCCCTGGTTCTAAAGCACTTTCTAGCTATACCGACCAGGCTGGTACCCTTCTCTTCTCAGTTCCTCATGTCCTGTCTGGAAAGTGAGGAGAGGAAGCTGTGATGATGGTGCCCTGTCACCGTCTGGGTCCTTTTCCACGCCAAAGGGCAGAGGAAGGAAAAGGCCTGGTCCCTCTGTGTCACTGTCCTTAGGGGCCCACAGATAAGATGCCAAGATGGAGCAGGGTGTGGTGGCACCTGCCTGTCAACCCAGCACTTTAGGAGGTGGAAGCAGGAGGATTGCAACTCAGAGCCTAGCCTGGGCAACTTACTGAGACCCTGTCTCGTTATAAAATTTAAAAAGGGATGGGGATGTAGCTTCAAGTCCACCATGGCAGAGAAATGACCAAGCCAGGATCCAGTTTTATAAGCAAGACTGGCTGCAGAATGAGGAGGGGGTACAAAATAAAATGTGAGGCTCTTTTTTAAAACTTAGAATTCCAAGATGATGACAGCATAGCTTGCATCAAGCTCGGGCCCTTCTAAGCACTGGCCCTGAGTGGCTGCCGGGGACACTCCCCCAGGGAGCCAGCCCCACTTTGGGCATGAGCAGCAGGGCCAGTTCTTGGTCACTGATGGGAGAGGGGACAGAGGAGGTCACTGATTCCCCTGCTGATGCCTCCCTCCTCCACCTCCCTCTGGCCCTGAGGACAGGGTGTGGGTTTGTGGTGCATATAAGGATATGAGTGCCCTTATTCCCACACTCTCTGAGCAATGCCAGTGGTGCAGAGGCGACCAGAGTCCTGGCCCTCCCAGCAGCCCAGGGTTCCTCCCACCCATCACCTCAAGCCCGGTCAGCCCTTCAGAGGTCGAAGGTGACCTTGATCGCCTTGTGTGTCATGATGTGGCCAATGGGCTCTGCGCTTGGTGCCCTGGCTCCCAAAATGTGGTGATCACAACAGCATGGACTTTTCCATAATTTTGCTTATTTTGCAGTGCTGGGAATGGATCCCAGGGCCTTGCACATGGTAGGCAAGTGCTGTAGCTACGGCTGAGGTACATCAGCTCAAACATTCTAAATGAGGAAGTTGAGCCTCGGAAGATCGGGCCCCTGCTGTCTGCCACATACCTCCTCCTCCCCTCTGCAGCTGATCTGAAAGCACTGCCCAGGGCCTAGGCTCTCCCTTTATCCCCACACTGTGTCTCTAATCCTAGCCCAGTCCTGCCACAGGCCATATCTGCCTTATGGGTAAAGGTGCCGGGAGCCCAGGAAGAGCTGACCCAAGGTCACCCAGGCTGCACACAGCAGACGCAGGACTGCAATTCTCCAGCATCCTCTAGGCCCTTGCCCATATAGAGCTGGCACCATCGGGGTATTTGGCTCTCCACGCTTCAGGCAGCTGGCTGCTTTCAGCCTCATGGGGTTCACATCTGGAGGATGGGGAAGACCTGCCCCTCACCAACATTCCTCCTGTTTTTTCCCAGCAGAAGAAACAAAGTTTGGAGATGGATGAGGAGGTGGAGGAAGACAATACCGGGGAAGAAGAAGGAGGGGATGAAGAGAAGTCAGCCTAGGTTGGCCTTGGCTGCAGCGCTGTCCCTGCGTGTCCCTCCCGTGCCTTCTTGGTACTGCCCTGGTCTTACCTTACAAGTAGGGAGCTGAGCTTTTCCCTAAAGCATGATTATGAAGGCCACATGGGGCACTGACCACCTCCACCCTACAAATCACTGGCCCACACTGGAGCCCAGTCCTGTGCCACCCTCATAGAGAGGAAAGCGGCAGGGCTGGCACCACCAAGAGGCCCACTCCACTGTGGGCGCATGCAGCCTTCAGGTCTGGTCCTGGTGTCCCCTTGACCCCCACTTCCTTCGGGAGCTTGCAGCCTCAACCCAGGCTTTCCCTGGCCACGACGGCCTCAGGAAGCCCTGCGGAGGGGAAAGGGTTTTTCCTCTTCTCTCCCCACCCTCCTCATCCACCTGCAAATGGGGAACTGCAAGAGCCTTTCCACACTGCCACATTAGAGGCTTCCAAGCCTGTGCGAGCCTGCTGCCCTCGAGTGCCTGGGAGGGGAGAACTTATTCACATGCACCCGCATGCTTTCTGTTTCCTTCATTCTGGTACCATTAAATTAATAGCAACAATGCCAGCAGTTGGTGCTAGCTAAGAGGTCCTTGTGTTATCGCCTTCATGTCACTCTTCACAAAGTCGCTGGAAGTTTCCTGCTGACCGTCCTTATTCTACAGAGCAGGATACAGAAGTTCAGGAGAGGTATGCAGACTTGCCCAGGTCACAGAGCTGGGGAGGGACAGGGCAGGGAGGGAGCCCACATAGCTCACTTCCTGTCCTGCATAGCAGTTGACTGTGGCTCCTGGGACAGTGGGGGCTGCACAGGACCCTCAGGATCTCTGAGGTGGGCTGCCGCTTCAGGAGGTGTCCTGAAGCCATAGCTCAACAGAACAGCTCATAGGCATGAGGGCACCTTAGGGCCAACTTTGTTCCAGAAATCCCTGTCATTGATTCTAGGACTGTCAGGTGATTCAAAGTGCCCTTTAAAAAAGCTTTTGTCGCTGGGCATGGAGGTACATGTCTGCCATCTCAGTACTCTGGGAAGCTAAGGCAGGAGGACTGTAAGTTTGAGCAACTTAGTGACTTAGCACGACCCTGCCTTAAAATAAAAAATTTTAAAAAGGGCTGGGGCTGTAGCTCAGTGGGACACTCAAAAGTCAATCCCTAGGGCCGCAAAACAAAAACAAACCTTAAGGATTTTGTTGAGAAAGGACTCAGAGGCATCCCTTGTGCCCATGGTTTGGGGTGGGGAGAAGCAATGAGTTGCAGACTTTGGCTAGACTTTGATTAAAGCAGTACTCACCGGTCACATTTATTGGTGCTTGACTGTCACAGAGTCCAGGAATGAGCTTGCTATTCTGGAGAGTGGGAGGGAGGCACTTTCTGGGTCTCATGGGAGCAGGTGACAGGGCTGAGGGTCCGGCCCAGGGGCTGCTCCTGCAGTTGATGCCCTAGCCCGCACTCCCAGGTCCCCCAGTGTGGGCAGCAGGCTCTGCTGGGTCTCTGCCCCCTGAGGGTACTTGGGAGCAGCAGGTTCACTGTGCCAGAACACGGGGAGCCCGTGCTTCCTTCCCTTGGGGACTCTTCTTAGAGCACCGATTCTCTGCTAGGGATGATTTTGTCCCCAGTGGGACCTTGGCAATATCGGGGGACATTTTGGATTGATAAAACTGGTAAGGGGACTGCTCCTGACGTCTAGTGTGTAGAGGCCAGGGATGCCGCTCGGCATCCTCTGATGCGCTGGACAGTCCCCACCTCACAGAATGGTCCTGTCCAGAACATCACTAGGGTCACGGTGGAGAAACCCCAACTTGGGAGAGAAGTCTGTCCAAATGAAGCACTCCACGAGGAAGTCCAAGCTCCATGTTGACCTGGCAGCCCTGACAGACCCGCAGTGAGGAGCTGGCACCATCCACTCCAAGGCAGGAGTGCATTCTTTTGCTGTTCTCAAATTTTGACCTTTGGGCCTGCAAAAGGAGGCTATCTGCTGGGGCCTGCCAGTCTTTCTCCCTGTGCACAGAGGGTGCTACTGTGGCAGGATGGAGTTAGAGAACGGGATGTAGCAGAGAGGAGAACGCAGACGGAAGTGATGAAAGGATGTGCGACCCTTGTGCATGCCCACCCGGTAGCAATGACCTTCACCAGCCTCACACACCACCCTCACCAGGCGCCTGCTGTTCATTCCCTTCCAAAAGGGAGCAAAACAAAATCACAGTGCATCAGCGAAGAACCAGAAGCATCAGGAAAATCCCACAGCCGTGGGTGGGGAATGTGCACTGGGAAATGCCAACATGGGCCGGGCAGGGGACTATTCATGGACCTGGTTGACAAACATGCTTCTTAATGGATGATGCTTTGGCTGCGGCCCCTGGGAGAATCACTGCCACCATCTCTTCTGTGTAGTAACTGGGTACTGTGCCCCAGGGGAGGATTCTGAGGAAAGACCCTGTTTTTGGTAGCATAATAAAATGCTCCCTGAGCTCCAGAGGGCCCTGGGATGGCCCTGATGCCCATGAAGGGGCAAAGGTGATGCTAAAAGGCCTACCAGAGTCAGCTCTGGATCCTGAGCCCGAGGGGCAAGCACTTCTGGGTGCCCAGGGCCTGATGGCTGACACAACAGCATTGTTTGGATCTTACAGGCAGGGCAAGAAAGGATCCAGCCAAGCATGACGGTGCATGTTTGTAATCCCAGCACTTGGAAGGGTGAGGCAGGAGGATCACACGTTTGAATCCAGCTGGGGAAGTCTAGTGAGAACCTGTCTCATAAAAGCAATCAATCAATCAATCAACCAACCAGCCAACCAATCAAAGAACCCGGTTTGGGTGCTTGCTGCCTAGATAGCATGGCCTTCACACAACCCTGTGCCAAGTACCAGCCATGGGGCAGCAAAGAAAGCAGATGCAGGCCTGCCCTGCTGGACCCTGCGTGCTGATGGGAGACACGGGAGGCTAACCTACACACACACATACACACAGGTAGCTACAAAATGACAGTTGTGCACAGTGACAGTGTAAGGGATACTACAGAGCACTACGAGAGGGATAAAAGGAGGGACCAGCTGGGACTGTGGGGATGAGGAGCTGTCACGGGGCCTCAGCGAGTTTGACGAAGAAACGAAGAAACGGAGACTGAGCAGGAACGTGAAGCTGGAGGTGGTGCATGTGCAGGACATGCACGTACACCTGTGATTATTGGCTTGACTGCGGAGGAGCCACTCCAAGCAGGGGAAGCAACACACAGCATGCCCCGGGGGTGGGGAGGAATTGGTGGGGCAGGGCCCTGACTTTCAGGGTTTTGGCCTTTCTCCTGGGATGACAGATAAGCAAGGAGAAGCTGGATCACACATCTAGGCTGGAGGGAGATAGCTGAGGCCAGGCGAGAGGAGAGCATGGGGTCAGAGGACAGAGATGGCAGCTTGGAGTGGAGCATTGGCTGCAGCATGCTTACCTCTCTGTGCCTCTGTTACCTGGATTACGAGGGAGAGTAAATGCAATAACACATAGCCACTGGGCTCAAAGTCAGTGCTTGATAAATGTCCACCACCTTCTTCCCTAGGAAGCATCAGATGGCCCCCAGCAGCCTTCATGCTTGATCCCAAGACCCAGGTCAGTACAAGGAGCTACAAGATGATGTTTCCCAGGGTCCCTTCAGCATCAGAGCCCCAAACCTACTAGAGCGGATGCTGAGGCTTCTTCAGAGAAAAATCTCAGTAAATGGTTTGTTTTCTCAATAATTCTCTTCCATCTCTACTCCCAAGCTCTAAGTGGGGAGTCAAGCCCATGCATAGCTAGGCTCTGCTGTCAAGTAAGTGAGACGTTGGTCCCTGGAGCCCTAGAGGGTCAGAGAGCTTTAGAAAGTGCTCAGGGCTCATGGAAGCCAGTAGTTGCCATATGAAGGTGGGCTTGCAGGAGATGGAGTGGCTTTTTCAGTAGAAAAGGAGGCTTGGAAGGTAAATGAAAATTTCAGTCAGTGCAGACAATGAGCCCAAGTAGGCTGTTAGTGAACTTTGATACAAGCAGTTTGACCACCATCTGCAGATAGATCCTCAAGTTCCCTGAGTCGAAGGACCCAGCTTAATGTGAAGCTTGATGCGACATTGCAGGCTCAGCACCCAGCGTGGCCTCTGGCAGGTGGCAGGTGCTCACTAGATCTTAGTGTCTGGGGCTGAGGAGGAGCAGTGTGGATGACACCAGAGCCTGTAAGTCCTGTGACTTAAGAGGTGCCGGCTGTTTGCAAGGATTTTAAATGTCTGGGTGGGCAAAGCAGCTGTGGCTTGGCTGGATTTGCCCTGTTGATTCCCCACTCATTCACTGACTGAATCCTCACTGGGCACTGTAATAGAAATATCAGTTTAGCACCCATCCCCAGCACCAGGACAAATGGGCAAATGATTCTGATCTTTGGTGGTGAGTGTCATTAGAAAGAAGCACAGAGAAAGAGGGGCTAGTCTGGATTCCTTGGGATTTGTTGTTGTTGTTGTTGTTGTTGTTGTTGTTAAATGTTTAGAAAGCTACTCAAACTAGTTAAAGTCAATAGCTGGGAATGGTGGCACACACCTGTAATCTCAGCCCTTGGAGAGGTGAGATGGGAGAATCGTAAGTTTGAATTTGGTCTCCACAACTTAGCAAGACTACCTCAAAATACAGCAGATTTTTTAAAAGGGCTGGGGATGTAGCCCAGCATGAAATCCCTGCATTTAATCCCTAATGCTGCAAAACAAACAAACAAAAATCTAATAATCAGAAAAGGATTTTTTTATGTATAATAGGTAATGTGAAATAGGAAGAAAAGGGGCAAAGGGGAAGGAAGTGGGAGGGGTAGGGGAAAGGATAGAAGGGAATGGGATTAATATGAGAAAATGGAAAAATAGGAACAAAGTCTTTGTAAATAGGGAGGAATGGAGGGGTTGAAGGGAAGGCTGGGCAAGGGTGAAAAATAAGAACCAAGAGAGACTATGTAAAGGTGCAAATTTCCCATGATGAATGTCATTATATTGTATACCTAAAATGTACCAATGATTAGAATGAATAATCGATAATGCAAAATAGGAAGAAAAGGTCCAAAGGGGTAGGGGTAGTGGGAGGGGCAGGGGAAAGGAAAGAAAGGAAAGGAAAAATGCTGAGAAATGGAAAAAATGGAAGTAAAGTCTTTGTAAATAGGGAAGGGTGGAGGGCGTGAAGGGAGGGCTAGGAATGGGGAAAAAATAAGAACCAAGATGCATCATGGAAAGGTACAATTCCCAATGAGAAATGTAAGTGTGTTGTATACCTACAATGTACCAATAAAAGAATTTAATACAAAAAAAAAGAAAGAAAGGATTTTTAAATTTTTTTGGCTCAAGAAGCTCAGAAGACAAGCTTAGCTGGTCTCAGGTATGGCTAGATCCAGCTCCTCAGGTGGTACCGTCTATTTCTCTCTGTGTGCAGCTTCTTTGCTGGAGTTTCTCTCATGCTCCTGTGATAGTGCAGCCCTTTTCTTTGGGGGTGGGGTGGTTAGGCATGGTCCCAGCCTCTGCAGCCGTCACTTATCTCAGCAGTCATACTGAAGGTGGAACAGAGCTCTGCCCTCCCAGTGCAGCAGCCTCCCAGGAAAAGGCCAAGTCTCAGCTGCATCCATCTTCTGGGGCTGATCACTGTGACCAAGGCGATGGCGGGGTTGCAGGCCTCCTGCCATGGCTGGGGTGAGACGGATGCTGTGATGAGCCCCACCAGATCACATCGGGGAATGGCATGGACTAGAGGACAGGCAGCTCTCCAAAGGAAAGGGGAGGTGGCACATAAGATGAGTTGTGAAGCACTTGCCAGGCAAGTCCAGAAAAGGGAGGCTCCAGGACAGAGCAGCAGGAGCAAAGCCTGAGGATGAGAGAAAGGAGCTGCTCAGCCAGGGGATGCGTGCGGTTGGCCTGACCTCAGCAGGGCTGAAAGGAGAGGACAAGACAAGACGAAGCAGGAAAGGCCACAGCTCAAGGCTGACTCCATTAGGAAGGCAGTGGGGGCCATGGCAGGATTTCAAGTAAGGTAATGACAGTGATCTGTCTTAGTGTGGGTGTGGAAAGTGGACTGGAACAGAGTAAAACAGGAGATAAAGAAACTGTAAAGTCCAAGCCTGCACAAAATGACAGTGGGGATGGAGAGAAGGGATGGGAGCAACGTGATAGAATCAGCTTCCAGGACAGAGCTCCAGAGGGGAGACCATGTGTTCGGAACTCACAAGCCCAGGTCCCTTCCTCCTGGAGCTTATCGTGGCTCTGTAAGGACTTGGGAGTTTCATGGACAATGGGAAGAGAGTCTGATACAGAGAATGAAGAGAAATCTGACAGGAGAAGGTAGAGGGTGAGGGAGAGGAGGAGGCAAAAATGACTTAAAGATGTATGTGTGTGGGGAATGATGGTTTCATTGGTTAAAATCATAAAAGTCAAGCAGAGGTAAATGTTTGGGAGTAGAAATGGGCTGAGAGCTGCTGCTAGAAGCTTCTTATTTTCCCCATCAATCACAATGGACTCTTCTATGCATATAGAAGAATAGAAAAGACAAAGAAATCAGCCAGAGCACAATTGACCGGGGGGCCTCCATGGTTCATCCTGCTAGATTCAAGGCTATAAAATAAGCACAGGGTGTCCTCAGGATGCACTTAATTCTCACTGCAGGTCCAACCCACCAGCCTTGGGGCAGCCTGGGCAGAGAATGGGACAAAACCCAAGACTTCTGCGGGAGAGTTTGGTTCCTACCAAGCTTTCCAGGGTTTATATATTTATCAAATCCAACGCTGCCCGCTGCTTCCTGCCACTGTTTATTAATAACTATCCCCAACACGAGCTCCTCAGGGGCAGCTTGGAAAGCCAGTCCCAGGGCTCCAGCTGGCATCACCCTCTGTTTCTGGGCATGTGCCAGGCGTCTGAGACAGCCCCGAGGGATGTGAGCACTACCTTTCCCAGCGCCTTCCATGGGTCATGAACCCCACCAGGGCTCTCTCCCTGGGACTCTGCAGGGGTCCTAGGCTCAGCTTCAGTGGGAGCAGAGAACACAAAAGACGGGTCCCAGGATCAGGGAGAGCTCCAACACCATTCAGGAAACCGAGGCCCAGGGAGCAGGAAAACTCTGCTCCAGGTGGTTGGCAAGTTAGAGGCAGAGCTGGGAAGAGAATCCTGTTCCCCGGGGCCTCCTGGGGCCAGGAACCTTTTCCACCACTGTGCTCCTGACTGCAGCATCACATAATCATTGCTATTGTAATCAAGAATGGAGGCCACAGCTGCGTTTTGTTTTGTTTGTTTTTAATGAGGCACTAGAAATTGAACCCAGGGTCTTTGCACTGAACTACATCCCCAGCCTTTTAATTTTTCTTTTTAAATTTTGAGATAGTGTCTCATTAAGTCACTAAAATGTCCAGGCTGGGCATCAACTGTCGACCCTCTTGCCTCATCCTTTTGGAGTGCTGGGAACACTGATGTGCACCACCCCGCAGGCCCACGAGACTGCACCTTTTTTTTTTTTTTTAACTTACACTTTCCCGCACAGTAGACCCCTCAGGTAGTTGGGCCAGTCCATCCTGAGCTACATTCTGGGTTTAGGGACAGGACTTCCTTTGTTAGTGGGGAACACTGAGGTGTCCCCTTCTATAACACATTCCAGCTAATCCAGACACTCCCCCTGCATCACTTGGGTAGGCAGCCAGGGCAGAGGAACAACTCGTTACCCATCCTCCCAAACCCTCTGCCACTGGGCACTGGGCACAGACATCCACCCCAGAAGCCGCAGCCACAGCCGCGATGCCCTCAGGGCCCATGGAAACGCGAGGCTGCCAGCCGCCGCCCTGGAGACGCAGAGAGAGCAAGTCCAGGAAGTGGCGGCCAGACCAGCCGTGGGTGCAGGGGGCGGGGCGGGCCAGGCCCCGCCCTCCAGGCCCCGCCTCCTGGTCAGCCCCGGGGCTGGGCGCGTTGTTGGTTTCGGGTTGTCAGGCAGCAGAGGCAGCAGCAGCCTCGAAAAGACAGCAGCGACCCGAGGAGCCTGTGGTGGGAGTGGGCTCGGCTCTGCCCGAGTCCCTGCACCTGCTGCAAGCATGAAGGACAGTGGGGACTCCAAGGACCAGCAACTCATGGTGAGACTCCTTGGAGCTCTGCCTCGCCCCTCCACGACCCCTGGAACCCGACTACCTCAGTCAGCCTCCAACAGTGTCCACTAAGAGGACAGCAAGGGACAGGGGCTGAGTTAGTCCAGAGCAGCTTTGCCCAAGTCCTAGGGAACAGGTGTCCGGAAAGTACATGGCCTTCTTTTTAGTCTGGAAAGTTAGCCTGACTTCAACCTATACCCCTGGGGACCCCACCCCAAAGCCTGAGTAGCGTCTGCCTGGACCCTGCTGTCTGATCGCTGGAGATCTGACCTAATGCCCTGAGAAAGTGTTTGAAAGGAGCAGAGGACAACCACAGGGGAACAGGGGAGCCAGCATAGGCTTGGAAGTGGGTGGGCGATTGACCGCCATGCTGCCACCTCCATGACCCCAAGGGCCCCCGGGGCCTGGGACAGAGGAGGAAGTGGGAAGGGCAGAGCAGGGGGAGGCTGAAGGTGGAGATTCCTGGTCACCAGTAGAGCCAGGCTGGAACAATGAGGGAGAGACTCAGTGATCCCCAAGGCCTCTGCTAGGTCTGGGTAGGTGGGTGGGGATCTTTCTCTCCCAGCCCCTAATTTCTGAGACCGGGAATGGGTCTTTGGCAGTAGCAAGTGGTGGTGCCCGTGACTGGAGCATTACGGCTCCCCACACCCCACCTCCACAGGGTGCTCTTGCTTCTCCAAAGGGCAGCCTTGGACCCAGCCCCCAGGCAAGCCCCAGGCTCTGGAATATGCTCTCAGGCAGTGGGAGTGGGCTTCTCTGAAAACATTTTGCAGCAGTGTGGTGGTGCATACCTGCAATCCCAGCTCCTTGGAATGCTGATCACAAGCTTGAGGCCAGTTTGGGCAGCTTAGCAAGACCCTAGCTCAAAATAAATAAAAAAGGCTGGGGATATAGCTCACTGGTAGAGCACCCCTGGGTTCAATCCCTAGTACCACCAAAAAGAAAAACTGATTTGCTCCAAATAAATGGTGTGCCAATGCACAGCCTGATGGCCACCAAGCCAGGGCCCCTCTCCTCCTGCTCGGGGTTCAGACAGAGGTGATGTGACAGACACAGAAAGTGAAGGGTGGGCCCCTTGGTGCTACCCACACACCCAGCAGGTGTGTCATTTTAGTCAGCCTAAGACTCCTCCTCCTCCCCTAGTCCATTCTTGGGGAGCCTTAGCCCAGGAGGAAGACCCACTGTCTCGCTGGGTGGGGAATAGACAGAGGGGGAAGCTCCAGTGAAGCTCCCCTGGGGCAGGCATGTAGTCACCCACTGTTAGGATGAGGAAGGGAAGATACCTGCACTTCTGTCCTCACTGCCAGGCCCCACTTCACAGCCCCCAGCCCTGTGCCGTGTCTTCAGCTGCAGCGCATGGTTCACTGAGGTACCCACAGGCTGCTCCAATGGCCGGGGCTCTGAGTTCCAGCCCAAGGGAGCTTCAGGTGTTCAATTTGGGTGTGTGAGTGATGCTGCCTGAGCAGACGTTCTCTCCCCTGGTGCTGTCCCTGAGGCACGGGTTCCTGGGGAGATTCATAGACTCAGAGCCAGACACCCTGTGGACTTGCAGCCTTCTGACCTAGCCAGTCACTGTGACTCCTTTGGAGCAAGGAGTCCGGCATGGCTGGACAATGGAGAAGGCAGGGGCCTGTGTGGAGGCAGAGTCCTGAGGCCCTTGAGGGCTTCTCTCTGAGTCTCGCATGGCGCTCTCCTCACCCCGGGGGCTGGTCTTCCCTCCCAGGTGGCGCTCAGGGTCCGGCCCATCAGTGTGGCAGAGCTGGAGGAAGGAGCCACCATCATTGCCCACAAGTTGGACGAGCAGGTATGTGAGGCTGCAGCCAGGAGCTGCCGGACAGAGACCTGCTCTGATTGCTCAGGCACCTGGATGGGCTGTCACAGCGCCGTCCTTCTCTCCTCTCTGCACTCTTCACCGTACCATTGCCAGCATCAAAGAAGCTGGGGACCCTTTCAGAAAACGCTTCTAGATTGGTCCAAGGAAAGCTGAGAGCTTCCATAGCCTGGGTGGGTCCTGGTCACTTAACTCCCAGATGTCCATGGCTTCCCCACCTTACTATGTCTGCTGCCCAAAAAGCACGTATTTGTATGGTCACAGCTACAGGTCATCTCCAGCGTGTTCAGGTTTGGTAAAGTCCTTGGCTGGCTGTTCTCTCAGTCCTTGTGTCACTGTGGTGAAAGGGGAAGGCAGTACATATTTATCAAGTGCCCATCACGTACGGGGACCAGGCTAGGAGCTAGGAAACTACAGGGAACAGAAAAAAGAAAAAACAACCTTGTCCTCCTCCATTACCTGTAGTCCAGCATGGGAAAATGTGGTATAATAAGAACTGAATAAAAGAGAGTTTGCAACTAACAAGGGCTTCAAAGAAATGTAGAGAAGTGCCAGGAGAGTAAGGGGGGTCTTGAACTAGTTCTGGAGATCAGGAGGGCTCCTTCAAGAGTTGGTGCTCGAGGCTGGGGATTTAGCTCAGTGGCACTGTGCCTGCCTTGCAAGTGTAAGGTCCTAAGTTCGATCCCTGGAACGGGCGGGGGAGGGGGGGCAGAGCATTGGTCCTTGAGCTGAAATAAAGTGTAAAGAAGAGGTAATTAGGAGAGTGTATGAGTAAAGATACTTGACCAGAGAATGTTGTGTGTGCAAAGGCCCTGTGGTGAGAAGGATGGTGAGGCAACTGACTGACTGAGAGAAGGCCAGTGTGGCTCAAGCAAGGGGCAAGAGATGTGGGATGAGTTAGAGACATAGGCAAGGGTCAAACCACATACTCTGTAGGCACAGCCAGGGTATTTGTTTGGGTAGGCAGTAGCGGACTCAAGTACCAAAGTGGACACTGGTAGGGGGAGCAGAGAGAGCTTTGGTGCCCAGGTGGGAGCATCACAGTGGTAGGCCGATATGACAGCCTGACAGTGAGTGGTCCCTGGCCTCCATGGCTGCTGGGCTGGCTGCTCCCAAGTGCCAGGGCCTGTGGAGTGGTGGGATGTGCTCGTGGGACAGGGAAGTCAGAGCAGCGTCATGCAGTGCAAGGAAAGGCACATAAATAGCAGCAAAGTGGCTTCTGCATTTGCCTGTGGTGCAGCCTGGGAAAAAAGTTTCTTGTTGTTCAGCTGCCTCTTCGGTAAGTGGGGACAGCAGTGGTGACGCTTTCTGTAGAGGCTCTTTGAGGGCTAACATATGTGTGTGCTCCATGAGCTGTGGAGATGTTAGTTATCCACATCTGTTTGGGACTGAAGTTCCCCGGGGATGCTGGACTGGCTGAGGGGGGGGGCCTGCCCAGCACAACCAGACAGCTCAGAGGAGAAACCTCCTTCCAGTTTTCCCCTAGGAAGGGTATCGGGTGCTCAGGCTGGGATAACAATCTCTCTCTCTGCTCTGGCTTCCAGCCGGCACGGAGGCTGCTAAACATTAACTGATGGGAACACCCCCCATCTAGGGTCCAGCCCTTTGTGTGCCCACACTGGGCAGACACTGGCTCCATTCTGTCCCTGCAGGGCAGAGGAGGGGGGCCACCCTGCATCTGGCCTGATCCTTGAGCTACTCCTCTGGCTGGGCAGGGGTGAGCCACGCTGCCAGGGCCGCTCTTGTGTCAGTGGAGAGGTGCAGAGTGTCGCCTCTGACCTGAGCTCTTTTGGTCCCCAGTGGGTTCAAAGATGGGTGTGCCCTGCACCCTTCTGACCAAGGCCTGCAGTTTGAGAGTGGCTATAGGACAGCCAGGTTGAGAGGCTAAAAAACCAAGCAGACAAATAGACCATGGCAACAAGGAGGTTAAAACATACCAACCCAAGGACCAAGATGGGCAGTCTATTTTCCTTGCTTCCCACTCTGACCAGTCCTCCCCAGCAACCCTGCGTTCACCTCCAGCGGTGGCCCTGAAGGAGCCTGAGGCTCCAGGCCTGCTGCACTGAGGGCCCAGCCGGCCAGTGCAATGCCTCCTCCTTCCCCTAAGACCTGAGGCCCAGTGCTCAGTGGGGTGTGTTTGAGAGCGTGGCCGGGACAACAGGGCTGTAGTATCTCTGCCCAGCCAAGGTGTGGCTGGGCCCAAGCAGCCAGAGCAGGGCCCCACCTCCTCTAAGACATTGGCTTGGGCTATGGACCTGCTTCCCACTGCTCTCTTGGTGATGGCTGTCATGGCCTGTGTGGCCCACCCTTGGGGAGGAGGCTCCCCTAGCCTGGTTCCTCTTGCTTCCTGTTTCCCATTGATGATGAGGGGGTCATTTTCCTCTGCTGATGTTGTCTTAGGCCCGAGGGTGGGAATCCCTGAGCAATGCAGCCCAGAGCTTACTACCAAGGCTTTGGCCCCTTGGTGGGCAGCAGGGACTAGGGGCTGCCCCAGCCCAGTTCTCCATGGGGAAGACTTGAGAGAGGGGACTCAGTCACCCTCTAGCTTGGACCACCATGAGGGGTCCTATGACAGCCTTCTTTAGGACTAGGAATTGTTCTGCGGGGCCTTCTGGAATTGGGCCAAGGTGGGCACTCCTGTAGCAAAGTGTCCTATTCTAGACCCGATTTGGGGGAAGCTGGAGTTGGGGTTTGGATTTATAAAGGGGCTGGTCAGGTGGCTTGTGGGCCTGGGGTCCCATGGCCCCAGTTCAGTTCTGGACAGGAACTAGGATGCCTTAGTTAGATAGTCCTTCCAGAGAGGGTTCATGGATATGCAGCGCTTAACACTGTGCCTGTGCACTGTGCAGCACATGTTAAGCTCTAGTGTTGGAAAACAGGATGGTTTCAGAGTTAAGTAAAGCCCAGCCTCCCTCCTCCTTCATCACAGCCCTTGGGTACCATCCCCACACAGCCATCTCCCCACGGACAGGCTCCTGCACAACTGTTAGGAGCTCCTTGCTCAGCCGCATTTGGGTGGGGCTGAAGCCAGACCCCCGGGAGGCCAAGGGGAAGAAAGGGCCCCTGGGGGTGGGGCCTCCAGGCTGGGGAAGAAGCTCCAAGATGAACCCCCAACTTGGTCCCCAAACCAGGCCTGCTGACCCTCCTCTCAGCTTTCCAGGTGGTGTTTGTCTGCAGGATTTAAATCAACGGACAATGTGTATAATCCCATAATTAGCATTTATCTGCTGACAGCCTAACACCACCCCCGTGCTCCTGGGGTCCTGTGGAGCCAGGCAGGGGCCTTCCAGGAGGCCTGTTGGGGGGGACCAGGCCTGCAGGGCAGGGGGTGAGCACGGGAGAGGAAAGAGGAGCCAAGGCAGGTGTGATGTGGGAGGCAGAAGGAACGAGGAGAGGAAGAGACCCCTGGTTCCCATTGAACAAAGACTTATGGCCTCAGGCCCGGATCTGGAGGACCCCACCTTGCCAGGTCCTGGCTGGGTGCCCCTGTGCAGGCTGGAGGTCCTGCCTGGGTCTCTGTTTCTTCATCAGAAGATGGGAGGCGAAGCACCTGCTCCACCTACGCCCAGAACTGTGGAAAGGATTAAGGGAGCTGATGTAAGGGGACCTGTGTCCACGCAAATGTGAGGCTGTTGTGAAAGATAAATAAAGCATAAGGTGACAGGTGCCAGAGCCAGAGACAGTGAGCGCTGGGGGCTCCCTGTAAACCAGGCCTCCGGGGGCTCCCTGGCCTTGTTGCCCTCAAAAGCTGTGCATGGTGGAAAATGACCAGGAGGAGCAAGGCGTGGTGGTGCACGCCTGTAACTGCAGCACTCAGGAGGGAGACTGAGGTAGGAGGATCACCACGAGTTCAAGCCCAGCCTGGGCTACATATCGAGACCCAGTCTCCAAAACAGAAAAAAGAAAATGACCAAGGGAGAGTGCAAGGACCCTTTACCTTGCTCCCTTAGCCATCTGTCCATCTTCTCCATCCCTTCCCAGATCCAGGAAAAACCACTTTCCATCCATCTATGATCCATTCTGGACATTTAATGTCATGAGATCATACCATATGGGTCCTTTATGTCTGGCTTCTTTCCCTTGGGGTCATGTCTTTGAGCTTTACCCACATTAGAGCTTGTATCAGAACTTCTTATCTTTTCAAGGCTGAATAATTCTCCATGGTGTGGATATACCACACATTGTTTAGCCATTCATCGGTTGATGGGCATTTGGGTTGTTTCCACTTTGAACTATTGTCCACAGTACTTCAAGGATACAAGGATTCTTACCACTTAACCGCTGGATGGGTATGAGGAGAAGGTGCAGATCTGTTAAAAATGCACATTTGTGGGTCCACATTTCCAGACAGTCTGATTGTGTGAATCTGAGTGATGCCTGGGAATCTGCATTTTACAAGCACCACTCCCTGGGGGACTCTGATAAAGGCATCTGCAACCCCCTCAAGAGACATGCCCTGGAGCAGTGGTGGGGAACCTATGGCATTCGTACTGCAGAGGCTTCTTTGTATCATTGAAAGCTCTAAAAGGTTCGACATCACTGCCCTGGACTGTCTTTTAAGTCATGCCTCCTGTCATCCTGAGCCTCAGGGTCCTCAGTCCTGCAGCCAGTGGTTACACACCTGGGACATCAGCCAGGCATTGCTCTGTCCTGAGCAGGTGGCTGGGCCCTAGCTCTATGAGCTCAGTAGGTTGTATTCTGGGCTCCTCTATCCAGCCTTAACACTATGCCTGCCCTCCCTGGGTTGTGGCTACCCCACCTTTACAGGGCAGGGGGACCCACCTTGGTGGGTACATTATTTTGCAAGGCAGCTATAACAAAGTCCCACAGGCCAGGTGGCTCAATAGAGATGTTTATAATCTCATAGCAATGGTGGCCAGAAGTCTGAAATTAAGGTGGTTGCATGCATGGTCTGGTCCAGGCCCTCTCCTTAGCTTGCAGATGGCTGTCTTCTTATCTTCCCACATCACCTTCCCTTTGTGCCCCTCTGTGTCCAGCCTTCCCTTTCTGTATGGCACTGGTCATATTGGATCAAGGGCCAACCCCACTCTGGTATGACCTCATCCTCATCCTCACTAGTTACCCCTACACCTACTGTACTTCCAAGTAAGGTCACCGACTAAGGCGCTGGAGTTAGGACTTCAGCATGCAAACCTGGGGTGGAAGGGGAAACAGAGTGCAGCCTCTCTACGTAGGCATTCATCCAGCCAGGCAGCATTTGTGACCTCACTCGTTCACTTGGAGAGGCAGGGGATGGTGGGTGGGTGGTGAGGAGCCTAGGTTCTGAAACCAAATCTTTGAATCGAACCAAATCTGTACTTCGCAGTGTGGCGTTTAGTGCATGACTTACCTGGTCTGAGTCTTCATCTACAGTCCAGTTATAGTAATAAGGGTGCCTAAGCCCGGCATGCTGGTGCATGTTTGTAAGCCCAGCACTGTGGGACACTGAGCCAGGAAGATTGGAAGTTCAAGCCCAACCTGGGCAATTTAGCAACTTGACAAGATCCTATCTCAAAATAAATAAATTTAAAAAACTATAAAAGGGCTGGGGATATAGCTCACTGCAAAAGCCCTGGGTTCAATTCCCAATTTTGGGGGAAAAAAGTGCCCAGTCATAACTTGTCAGAAAACGCATGCCAACCCTTTGTGCAGTGCCTGGCATACTCAAAGCTCCCCATAAAAGGCAGCTTTATTCAGTAAATATCCCTTGAGCTATGCTATGTGCCAGCCAGGGTGACATTTAGAGGGAGCGCTGAAGAACGCAGAGGAGGGTGCTAGAGTGGAGGCTGTCATGTGCCCTCGGGGCTCCCTGGGGAAGGGGGATGGTGGCTGCCTCAGCAGATGCCCTGTGAGTTCCTGACCCAAGTTCTAGAGGTTTCTGCAGGGAGGACGGACGGTGAGACTCCACTCTCTCCAACTCCACACTTAGAGCCAAGAGCTACTGCCAGGTCTGCCTTTCACCTCTTTGCCTCGCTTACCACCTTCTCTAGAATATTCTCCACTTTCACCTCGCCCAGCCACCTGCTGCTCATCCTTTTAGAATGAATGCTGGTGCTACCTCTTCCAGGGAGCCTTCTCACCTCACCTGGTATGGCTGGAGTAGGCGTCTCCACCTATGCACTTGCACTCCCCTGGTTATGAATGACCCAGGAGTGTCTGAAGGCAAGACACCTGGCCTCGGTCTTCTCGATGCTCAGCAAATGTGTAGACTGCTCTCCTTGGCACCACTCCCTACCCATCCCCCAGCTCAGCTCTGGTTCACCTGGTCAGGGGCACAAGGGCTCCATTGTGTGCCAGAGTGGACAGGTATGGGGGTGATGCTCTGGAGGGTGGAGTGGGAGCTGAGGCTCAGGCAGATGGCACGCAGACACAGCCCTCTTTCAGTGGAGATTGTGGCAGCTGTGCTGACAACTTGCTCATGCAGGAGCTTTCATATATCAACGAACGAGATGTCCAGGGTGCCATGAAACAGGCAGCGCCTGGAGGTCATGTGAAGGTGACTGTTGAGGGGTGGACATCAGTACATGCTGCTCACCCGCCCTAGCAATGACGGTCCCTCGAGGGCCCTGCCTGTATCCAGGGCCACACTGGTGAGAGCTGGTACGGCTAGTCAGGCTCCTGGTGCATCCCAGGGGACACATGCTGGGGGACTCAGGGCCAGTTTTTATCTTCAGTGGGGTCTGAAACTTGAGCAGGGCTCATGCTGCTGGCAGCCTGGGACAGGGACCAGATCCCAGAAGAGGCTTAGAGGGCACAGAGACTGAGGCCCTGAGGAGGTGGCCAGTGGCTGGAGACAGGGAGGTTCTTGCCCTGCTCTTAGCTCACTGTGACCACCAGCCTTTGGCCAGCTGGGAGGGGGCCCAACTTGGTGGCCTTCTATCCCTACACAAAGCCTCCTGCCCAGCCTGTCCAGAGTCCTCCCCTCTAACTGTAGGCTTACCTACAATCTCAGCCGACTGGTTAAGACTTTTGCCTCCTGAAGCATCACCTCACCTGGAGAAGTGCAGATGGGCCTTCCCAGCTCCAGGGCCAGCAATGGGCAGAGATGTGTGCCCGCCCCAGGAGCCATGTAGTGAGGGAGAGGGGCTTGATCTCAGGACAGACACAGAATGCTCAGGGAAGCATGGTGGGTGTCCCGAGGTCATTTTCCTCCTGGGACTGGACCTCCTAAATCCTGCAGAGGTCCTCCTGGGCCACTGAGGTCAGCTGCACTTCCAGGTTGTCCTCCTGCCACCTCACTGTCACCCTTGTCTGCCCCCTCCAAGCGGCTCCTCCCCCTGCTGCATTTGTTCACAAGCCCTGCCTTCCCTGCTGACCCAGGGAGAGAGCACAGCTACCATCTCTGCCCTCTTGGGCACTGGCCCACTGCTTGGCCCTGGTAGGACTCAGTTTACCTCCTTGCACAGTGTCTTATTGTTCAGGGCCTGTGAACGTCCAGGGATGCTGTGCACAGTGTATGTGGGCCTCCCTCGGATGATGGTGACTTCTGAGGGACCCGGCCACAGGCCCCTGAGGGAGCAGGGAGGGCTGAGAGGACATTCAGAGGAGGCACAGGTGCCAATCCAACATGTCAGGCCTCGACCCTGCAACTCCGTGCCTCGGTTTCCCCATCTAAGAATAATCATGAATTCACATTGCAGGGTTGTAAAGATCAGCTATTGCTAGTGCACAGGGAGCGAAGGCTGCGCCCACCCTCAGAGAGAGGGACTGAGGGGGCCCACTGGGCTCTGATCAGCACCCTGGCCCCGGGGGAGCAGGTCCCGCTTCATCAGCAGGAAAGGCCAGTATGGTGCAGCAGGCCAGGGGAAAGGAGGACTGATGACCTTCTCTGTGGTGAGGATGGGACCAACACTCTCTCAACTTGTCTTTTTTGTCCTTTTATCTTAGTTTTTAATTATGTCTTCTTGTTGTGTTGCTCTTTTATTTTATTTTATTTTAGGTACCGGGGATGGAACTCAGGACCTTGTGCTTGTGAGGCAGTGTTGCTCTTTTATTTTTACCATTCTAGACATGATGACAGAGTCTCGATGCAAGGAACTGGTGACCTTCCAGTCCCCAGCTCTACCCCTTCTCTCCCTCTTAACAGTCCCCAAGCTGGGAGGCTGAGGCAGGAGGATCACAAGTTTGAATTCAGCCTGGGCAACGTAGTGAAGTAGCAAGATTCAGTCTCAAAATACAAAATAGAAAGGGTAGGGATGTAACTCAGTGCGAAGGCCTTGGTTCAGTTCCCAGTACTGAGGAAGAGAGAGAAAGGGAGAGAGACTGAGGGCGGGGAGGGGAGGAAAGAAAAGAGCTCCCTAAGGAGAACCTCTGAGCACTTAGCAGGTGTTACACACATTGTCTCCTGGGTGTACACAGCCCTGCAGGGACACAATACTGCTGTCCCATCTGGCAGAGGGGGAGATCTAGGCTCAGGCAGGTCACAGTGCTTGAGAGGCAGGACTAGGATTCAGAGTCTGCCCTCACTGTCCTCTTTGGCCCCTGCTCCCCTCCTCCTACAACCCACAAACGCAAGCCCTTCCCTGAGTCTTTGAGTGTCTTCTGTCATTTCTGGGAGCACCAACTTCCCCACCTGTCCCTAGGCTGGGACCCCCATGAAGATCCTGCCCCTTACTCTGCATTTCCACATGGAACCCAGAACAAACCTTGGCACTCTGCGGACATGGGCAGAGCAGGGTGGCCTCAGAGATCGTTCTAGAAAATGAGTCTGCAGGCTTTGAAGCCAGGTCCCAGCTTTTGAGCCCCAGGTCCTCCACTGGCTGCTGTGTGACCTGGACTCTGGACCCTGCGCTCCTTAGCTGTCCAGTAGCAGAAACAATTGCTTCAGGCAGTAAAGCCTTGCTGTTGTTTCTCTATCGGGGAATAGCTCGGCAGGTAAAGCGATGGACCGGCCTCTCAGGCTTGATGGGTTTGGGGCACCCCTTCAGCGCTCTCCGCTCCCTTGGGACTGCACCACCCTTACAGGGCCTGCGCTCAAGGCCAAGCATCTAGACCTGACTCCTGGGGAGTAGATGGGCACAGAAGTGAGCCCCGGGATCTGGGCACCCCAGGTGACTGTGGCCTTCCCTTGGGGACCTTTGCAGATGGTGGTTCTCATGGACCCAATGGAGGATCCTGATGACATTCTTCGGGCGCACCGCTCCCGGGAGAAGTCCTACCTGTTTGATGTGGCCTTTGACTTCACTTCCACCCAGGTGGGGAAGGACCTGGGCCTGGGACGTGAAAGAGCCCCTTGGCACCCTGTGGTCTACCTGGCAGGAGCACTCAGGGACCCTGCCATTGACCCTCACCTTCTCTTCAGAGTGTTCCTCACTTGGGGAGTCTGCACGTGCCTGCCTGGTACCTTCGCTTGTACACCTGTGTGGCGCGTACACTTGGCCTGCCTGGACATACTTGGGTTAGCGCATACACACACACACACACACACACACACACACACACACCCCACCTGCCTAGGATGGCCACATGCAACACGCCATGGCTGGCCCATATCCAAGCTGGAGGCAGGAGATTGAAGTCCATCTGGTGTGGAGAGGGCAGCCAGAGGAATCTCAGGGAAGCTGACACTCTCCCATCTTCAGGATGATCCCAGGAGCAGATGTAATGCGTCCTTAGGGCTGGAGGCTAGGAGCCAGCTGCAGGGGGAAGTGTCTCAGGTATCCTGAGCTCTCTTGCACCCTGGTGTCCCCCCATGGGGTGTAAGTGGAGACATCCCCTCCTACAGTTGCCACACCCTTCTCCCCAGCCTGGGGTTCCAGGGACAGGAAACTCTCCAGGGCCAGCATTGCCCGTAGGCATCTGTGCTCTGCCCAGCCTGTGTCCCAGGCCCTGGATGAGTCTCCTGTTCTCTGCAGGAGATGGTGTACCAGGCCACCACCAAGGGCCTCATAGAAGGCGTCATCTCAGGCTACAATGCCACTGTCTTTGCCTATGGCCCTACAGGTGAGGCAGAAGCCCAGACCAGAACACCCCTGTCGTCCCACCCTTAAGAACCAAGCCCCATTGTCCTCCACTGACCTCAGCTGGGCAGGAATCAAGGTTATGGGTGATCCAAACCTCAACCTTACCCAGGGCCCTCCAACTCCAAAATGCCATCCCCACCAACCCCTCTGCCCCTCACCACCAACCTGGCCATCTGGGGACCCAGCCTTGGGGACAGACCAAGGGTTTCCAGGAGCACCTGCCCAGCAAGGCCTCACTCTGTTCCCCCATCACCCTGCTCTGCTCCAGGCTGTGGGAAAACTTACACCATGCTGGGTACTGACCATGAGCCGGGCATCTACGTTCGGACCCTCAATGACCTCTTCCGTGCAATCGAAGAGACCAGCAATGACATGGAATATGAGGTGTCCATGTCCTACCTGGAGGTGAGCCCCCACCCAGGCCCGAGTAAGAGGCACACAGGACAGGCCCACTTCCCTGAAGCTCATCACCGGGTGGTTTCCTGTGTGCTCATCATGACTGCTCTCCCACAAGCATGTTGTTAGTCCCACCTTCCAAAAAAGGAGGCTCAGAGAGGTTAGGCAAGGAGATCCATGACACACAGTCAGTGAGTGATCAAGGATTCAGACTCAGGACCTGGTGGTTTTAAAGCCGAGCATGGCCTGTTGCCCCACACTCCAGAGTCACCTTGTCAGTGAGCACAGAGCTCCGTAGTCCTCCCACCCCGCTCTCCTCCTCAGTATGCTCCTGGTCCCGCTCCTAGAGCACACCTTGTCTGAACTGAGTGTGGAAGAGGCAGGAGACCTGGCCAGCAGGCAGGACTCCATCTGGCTCCTCTGGGAGCTGATCATCTCTCGGGTGACAGCCCAGGAGGAGCAGCGAGGTGGGGCTGCCAGCGGTGTTGACTAAGCCAGCAAGGCTCACCTTGCTGTGCGTGGGGAGCACTTGGAAGTAGCCTAAGGTTGCCTAGCACTGAGCAAGGCTTCCCGATCTGTTCCAGCCTTCGGTCTGGTCCCCACACTGTGGCCAGCACCCAGTCTGCAAAGGAAGCCCTGCTTGTTTCTAGACCTTCCAGTAATGTCAGCTCTGGAGACGGGCATTTTTCTGTAGTTACTGAAAACTCCCACCAAAAAGCAGGGCCTTGCCCCAGCCAGGGAGTCTCTCGAGGAGTCTGGGGCCCAGAAAGCATAGGCCCCTGGCCCTTGCGTGCTTGCGGCGGGGGGGGGGGGGGGTTTTCCTTGCCTGGACCTCCTGACCTCAGCCTCCCTTCTCCACTCCCTCTCCAACTGGTCCCATCAGATCTACAATGAGATGATCCGGGACCTGCTGAACCCCACCCTGGGCTACCTGGAGCTGAGGGAGGACTCCAAAGGAGTGATCCAGGTTGCCGGAATCACTGAGGTCTCCACCATCAATGCCAACGAGGCAAGTCTGGTGTGGCTAGTCAGGGGCTGTGGAGGGGACACTCAAGAGGGAACAGGAAGTGGGGCACTAAAGCCAGGAAGCCACTGGTGCTCAGTGGGGGCTGGGACAAACAGAATCCTGAGTGGTAGCAAGAGGGGGACTCACACCTGCTGTCACAACCCAACCTCGCTGACCCTGGGGAGGCTGTGCAGGAGGCCCTCCTGCCAGGGAGCTGATGCACCTGCTCAGGCCCCTCAGGATGTGGACGCCAGGTCACCCCAGCTGCCCTTTCCCAGCCACGCAGATGCAGGCGCCCCCTCCCACCTGGCCTGGGCTCCTCCTCCTGCAGGATGTCTCCATTAGTCCCCAAGACCTCTGTCTCTCCTTTCTTTCCTCCCCCCTCCCTCTCAGGTCATGCAGTTGCTGATAAAGGGGAACCAGCAGAGGACCCAGGAGCCCACGGCTGCCAACCAGACGTCCTCGCGCTCCCATGCCGTGCTGCAGGTGGCTGTGCGCCAGCGCAGCCGGATCAAGAGTATCATGCAGGAGGTGCGGCTGGGCCGCCTGTTCATGATCGACCTGGCCGGCTCTGAGCGCGCCTCCCAGGTGAGGCTGGCTCTGGGGGACAGGGCAGGGCTGGCTGTCCCAGAGGGGAAGAGGGCCAGGGAAAGTGCTCTCCTAGGTGGGGCTGGCTTTCCAGGGCTGGGAGGGGAGAAGATCTGAGAGAGGTGGAAGGAAGAGCGAGGCCCAGGGTGAGTGGGCGTCCCAGAGGATGGCGGGTACAGATGGGCTGGCGCATCCTGGGAAGAGCCGAGAGGCTGCTTGGGGCGGGGGGAGGCCAGGAAGACAATGACTGGGGCCAGCTGAGGGGCTTGGTAGTGGGGAGAAAAGCCCCTGAGGGACCTGGGGAGAGCCTGGGAGAGGGCCCAGTCACATCACGGCCCTGTCACCGTTTCTCGAAGCGGCTTTGTTCCCCATCATGAACCCCTGCTTGCCTGAATCGGTGGCATTGGGCGACCACACCACCCAGCAGACCTAGACCCTGGCTTTCCTGTGGGCTGGCTCGGGGTGCACAGTCACCAGACAGAGGAAGCTGTGTGAGGTCACGGTGTTAGCGCTGCAGCAGCTGCAGGCCAAAGGACCTCATGGGGGAATGAACAAGGTTTCATGTTTGAACATGTGGGGCTGGATTAGAACAGGCTGAGGTTCAACAAACTCTTCCCTCCCAACAAGTAAATTCTGGAGGCCTTCCTGAAGGGACTGGGAGCCTGGGAGGAGAAGGTATGCTGCGCCTGAGCCAGCCCGCCCTGCCTTCTCCAGGACAGCCGAGGTGGCTTCTGGCAGGTGGCAGAGGCCCTGCTACCCTGATGCCCCCTGCAGGTCAAGAGAAGAGGACTTCTATTCTCGTTCCTCTCTCCCTCCCTCCCTCCCTCTCTCTCTCTCCCTCTCCCTCTCCCCATCTCTCCCTCTTTCTCTCTCCCTCCCTCCCTCCCTCTCTCCCTCTCCCTCTCCCTCTCCTCATCTCTCCCTCTTTCTCTCTCCCTCCCTCCACATTCCCTTACACATCTCTCCTTGCTCCCTGAAGCCTGTGGCATTCTCTGGAGCCAAGTCCCATGGTGGAGGCAGCTCATGCTCCAGGCTCCTGGGAAGCCACCTGGTGGGCCACAAGGCTTTATTGTCACATCAAGGATACATTTAAAGGCCCTGAGGAAGGAAGTGGGATTTATCACAAGGATCATCTGGGCATTTTGGGGATGGCAGAGGTGAAGCCCCATCCCTTGCCCCCAAAAGTCAGTTATGTTCTTTGCCACCCACCCCCAGACACAGAACCGTGGACAGCGCATGAAAGAGGGGGCCCACATCAACCGCTCCCTGCTGGCCCTGGGCAACTGCATCAATGCACTGAGTGACAAAGGCAGCAACAAGTATGTCAACTATCGGGACAGCAAGCTCACCCGGCTCCTCAAGGTACCGCACAGCTGGGCCCAGATACTGGGCACCAAAGGTCAGGCTGCCAGATGTATAAATACTATCCCAAGGCACCCAGCTGAATCTGAATTTCAGATAAGGCACAAAATTTATTTTAGTGTAAGTGTGCCCCAGGCAGTATCTGGGATATGCTCATACTAAAGAAATCCATTCATTGGTTATCTGAAATTTGCATGCAACTGGGTGTCCTAAATTTTGTCCAGCAACTCTAACCTAGGAGTGGGCAGCGAAGAGGGAGGGAGCTACACCTGAGCCCTCCGAGGGGTGTGAATTTGTGGAACCAAAAGTCATCTAGATGTGAGGTTCAGTGCATAGCCACATGGACCCTTTGTCCAGGGCAGCCTTAAGTGGGAGACATCACTGAGTGCCTGCTCCCAACTGGCTCTGGGTTCAGTTCTTCACCCTACTAGTCCTTTAGACTTTTGTTGTTTTTTTTTTTTGGAGGAGAGGATAATTGATTTATTTAAAAAAAAATTTTTATTAGTACATGTTTGCAGTACATAACGATTACATTCGTTTTAGGGAATTTACATGTACATAACACATCTCAATTCTTTTATTCCTTCTTCACCTCCACCCCTTTTTACAATTTTTTTCTTTTTTGCCAGCATCAATTTGTTTATTTTGTAATTCTTTATCAAGTTAATTATCATAAACATAAACTAACAGCTAGACAGACCAAAAAACATAGAAAGCACATAAAACAATTACAATAAATCAAGGTACACCTTTAGATAAATTGACCATGCTGGATTACAATAGCTTTTTCCCCTCTTTTTTCCTATTGTCTGTCTTTTATTTTGCACTTTAACTATGTATTGGGCTTCTCATATAAGAGAAATCATGTGATATGTAAGCTTGTGTGTGTGATTTACTTCACTTAAAATTATGGTCTCAAGGTGTATCCATTTTCCTACAAATGACTCAAATTTACTCTTTATGGCAAAGTAGTACTCCATTGTGTGTAAATATCACATTATCTTTATCTATTCATCTGTTGATGGGCATATAGGCTGCTCCCAAGATTTTACTATTATAAATTGTGCTGCTATAAATATGGGTATGCATATATCTCTGTAACATGATTACTTTAACTCTTTTAGGACAATATCTAGAAGGGGAATAGCTGAGTCAGATGGAATTTTTAGTTTTAGATTTTGGAAACTCCATACTGATTTCCATAGTGGTTGCACCAGTTTACATTCCCACCAATGGTGAAGAGGGGCTCCTTTTCCCTCACAGCCTCTGCAGCACTTTTTATTGTTTTATTTCTTGAAGATGTCCATTCATTCTGAAGTAAGCTGGAATTTTAATTTGCAGTTGTTATTTTAATTTGCGTTTCTCAAATGGCCAGTGATGTCAAACATTTTTTCATGTATTTATTGACCTTTTGCACTTCTTCATCTGAGAAGTATCAATTCATTTCAGATCCTCATTTTTTATCGTGTCTTTAAATTGGGGGACCTATTTTTTTGAGCTCTTTATATATTTTAGATATTAGTCCTTTGTCTGAGGAGTAACTGGAAAAAAATTTTCCTGTTCTGTAGGTTTCTCTTCACTCTGTGGTGGTTTTCTTTGCTGTGGAGCTTTTTAATTTGATGTGATCCCATTTGTCACTTCTTGGTACTATTTTTTGTGCAAGTGGGGTACTATTCAAAAAGTCTTTGGCTACATCTATGTCTTTGAGAGTTTTAACTATTTTTTTTCCAGCAGATTAAGTGTTTATGTTTTAATATTCAGATCTTTGATCCATTTTGATTTTAGTTTAGTGCATGGTGCAAAATATGGGTCTAGCTTCAACCTTCAGCACATAAGAAGCCAGTTTTCTCAGCACCATTTGTTAAAGAGGCCATCTTTCCTCCAGCAAAAGGATTTGGCCCCTTTGTCAAAGATAAGGTAGCTAAGTGTGCCCAGAATTATTTCTACATCCTCTGTTCTGTTCCATTGATCCACAAATCTGTTTTTTTGCCAATACCATGCTGTTTTTACCACTGTAGCTTTGTAGTATAACTTGAAGTCTGGGATTGTGATGCCCTTGTTGCCCAGGGTTGCTTTTGCCATTCTAGGTCTCTTGTGGTTGCAAATGAATTTTAGGATTGCTTTCTCCAGTTCTGTGAGGAATGCTATTGTTATTTTTATTGTGATTCTATTAGATATGCATAGCAGTTTTGGAAGTATGGCCACTTTGACTATACTAGTTCTGCCTATCCAGGGACAGAGGATATCTTTCCATTTTCTGATGTCCTCTTTGATCTCCTTTTTCAGAGTACTGTAGTTTTCATTGTAGAGGTCTTTCACTTCCTTCATTAGGTTAATTCCTAAATATTTCATTTTTCTTCATGCTGTTATGAATGATACCATTTTCCTAATTTCTTTCTTGGTGAGTTTATTATTGGTATATTGATTTTTGGGTGTTGACTTTGTGTCCTGCTATGCTACTGAATTTGTTATTAATTCTAGGTGTCTTTTGGCAGAGTTTGGGGGGTCTTCTGTGTAGAGGATCATGCCATCTGCAAATAATAATAATTTAACTTCTTCCTTTTCAATCCACATCTCTTTTATTTTTTTCTCTTCCCTAATTGCTCTGACTATTGTTTTGAGAACTATATTGAACAGGAGTGGTGACAGTGGACATCCTCATTTTGTTCCTGATTTTAGAGGGGAAGCTTTCAGCTTCTCTCTATTTAATATGATATTAGCCATTGGTTTGTCATAGATGGACTTTATCAGATTGAGATAATGACCTTCTATACCTATTTTTTTCATTTTTATCATAAATGGATGCTGAATTTTGTCAAATGCTTTTTCTGCACCTGTGGAGATGATCATGTGAGTTTTGTCCTTGCTTCTGTTTATGTGATGTATTACATTTATTGATTTGTGTATATTGAATCATTTCTGCAATCCTGGAATGAATACTACTTGGTCATGTTATATGATCTTTTTTTGTGTGTGTGTGCCAAGGATCGAACTTGGACCCTTGTGCTTGCGAGACAGGTGCCAGAATCACTGAGCTAAATCCCTGGCCCCGATATATGATCTTTTAGATGAACTGCTGCATTCTGCTTCCTACTATTTTATTGAGGATTTTTTCATCTATGTCCATTAAAGAGTTTGGCCTATAGTTCTTTTTTTTGGTTGGGTCTTTTTCTGGTTGTGGAATTGGTGTAATGCTTGTTTCTAGAAATGACTTGGCAGTACTGGTTCCCTTTTGATTTCATTAGAGTTTGAGGAGTATTGGTGTTAGATCTCCAAAGTTCTTATAGAATTCACAGTAAATCTGTCAGGACCTGATTTTTTTTTAATTACTTCTTCAGTTTCATTGAGTGATAATGTATTATGCAGTATTTTTATATATTCTTGGTTCAGCTTCGGCAATTCATACGTATCTAGGAATCTATCCATTTCTTCCGTATTTTCCATTTTGTTGGGGTTCAGGTTCTCAAAGGAGTCACCAATCATCTTCTGGATTTCAGCAGAAGCTGCTGTGATTTTGCTTTTTCCATTTCTAATAACATGGATTTGGGTCTTTTCTTTCCTTATTTTCTTAAGATAGGTTGAAGGTTTTTCTATTTTGTTTATTCTTTCAAAGAACCAACTCTTTGATTCCTTGTACTGTTTGTAGGTCTCCTTTTTTGGGGGGCGGGGTACCGGGGATTGAACTCGGGTCCTTGCACTTGTGCAGCAGGTGGCAAAACCACCGAGCTAAATCACCAGTCTCCTCCTTGTACTGTTTGTTTAGTCTCAATTTCACTAATTTCTGCTCTGATCTTTATAATCTCCTTCCTTGTACTAGCTTTGGGTTTGGATTGTTCTTGGTTTTAGGGCCTTGAGGTGCACATTATGTTCTTTATTTGAGCTTGCTCTGTTTTTCTAGTGTGGAAATTCACTGCTATAAACTTCCCTCTCGGGATTGCTTTCACTGTGTCCTAAATGTCTGGAATGTCATACTGGCATTATCATTTGATTATAAACACTGTCTAATTTCTTCCTTAATTTTATCTGTGACCTATGAATTCTTCACGAGGGCATTGTATAATTTGCATGCTTTTGCATAGTTTCTGTGGTTTCTTTTGCCATTGATTTCATAGTTTCATTGTATGATCTGATAACATGCATGGACTAATTTTGATATATTGGCATTTTCTAAGCATGTGTTATGGGCTAATATGTGGTCTATTTTGGAGAAAGTCCCATGTTCTGCAGAAAAGAAATGTGTATTCTGTTGTCGGGGTGGAACACTGTGTAGATATCCAGAGTAAGTCCCCATCATATGAACAAATTCCATTCTGGGAGAATGTTCATAAGATGTATTCATTCTCAAGCCCGACAAAGGGAGTCTTATTAAACACCTTGACACATATATACAATCTAAAGCATAAAAAAATCAAACACACACACAAATACTATAAATAAGCTATTTTTACTTTTACAGTGTCCTTAAAGTGTTGTTACAGGGCTGGGGATGTAGCTCAGCTGGGCAGCACCTGACTGGCAAGCATGAGGCCCTGAGTTCGAGTCCCAAAAAAGAAAAAAGAAAAAAAAAGTGGTGTTATAGCACAGTACAACAAATGTAAATAGTGTATTGCTTTGTGCTTCCTAGCAGACCCCTCCACTGCTTGTGCTCTTGCTTCTGGACACCTTGGGCTCTGACTGAGCACTGCATAGCTGTACACTATTGCATTGTACAATAAGCACACAGCAGCACAACTGTGACAATGTCCGGCAGACACACGAGCTCCTTTCCTGATTTGTTCATATCTATGAATGCTCATAATGTGAGGTCCATTTGTATCTGTGAAAGTTTGCAACTCAAATGTTCACAAGTCAGGGACTTACCGTATTAAATCCATTTGTTTGAAGGTTTGGTTCAACTCTGATATTTCTTTGTTGATTTTTTCGCCTAATTGATCTGTGCATTTCTGACACTGAGGCGTTGAGGTCCTCACTACAATTGTACTGGTGTTTATCTGATTTTTACTGTCCATTACTGTTTGTCTTATGAAGTTGGGTGCACCAGTGTGTTCATAACTGTTATCCTTTCCTGTTGAATTGTTCCCTTAACCAAAATGTAATGACCCTCTTTGTTTCTTCTGATCCATTTTGGCTTGAAATCCACTTTGTCTGAAATTAGGATAGCTACTCCTGCTTTTTTCTGGGTTCCCATTGCATGGGATCTTGTTTTCCATCCTTTGATTTTTAATATGTGAATTTCTTTTTTAATTAAATGTGTTTCTTGCATGCTGAATATCATTGGATTTTGTTTCTTGATTCAGTCTGCCAATCTTTGTCTTTTTTTGTTTTGTTTTTGGTAGCAGGGATCAAACTCAGGACCTTGCTCTTGTGAGGCAGGTGGCAGCACCACTGAGCCAAATCCCTGGCCTTATCTTTGTCTTTTGATTGCAGAATTGAGACCTTGTACATTAAGTTATTACTGAAAAGTATTGACTTACTCCTGCCATTGCATTATTTTTCTGTTGGTGATTTCCTTGTTTTTTGGGCCCCCCCCTTTTGCTTAGCTGCTCATACTGCCAGGTATATTCATTCTTTTTTTTTTTTTCCTACTGACATTGTTGGCTTCACTGTTTCTTTCTAGCATATCCTTGAGACTTTTTCTGTAACCCTGTTTGGGTGGTCATGAATTTCTTGAGGTGCTCCTTGTTATGGAAATACCTTATTTCTATGTCAATTTTAAAGGAAAGTTTTGCAAGGTATATAAGCCAGGGTAGGAAGTTATTATTTTCTAGGACTTGAAACACTTCACTCCAAGCCCTCCTGGCCTTTAAGGTTTGTGTTGAAAAGTCTGCTGTAATTCTAATGGGTTTACTTTTTTATATGATTAGGTGCCTTAGATTTTTGTCCCTGTGATGGACTTTTAGTACCTTGAGTATAATGTGGTATGGAGAGGTTCTCTTTTGGTCATGGCTATTTGGGATTCTATATGCATCATTTATCTGTACGTTTATTTCTTTCCCTATACTTGGGAAGTTTTCTGCATTATTTCTGTGAACAGGTTTTCTATGCCATTTGTGTTGTCTTCTGATTTTTCACTTGTTCTAATTACTCTGAGGTTAGTCTTCTTTGCATCATCTAGTAGCTGTTGGGTCCACTTTTCACATTCTCCTTTTGCTTTTAAGGTGTCTTTGAGCAGTTGGTCTTTGAAGGCATCATTATCTTCTAGTTCTGAAATCCTGCCCTCACACTGGTCTCTTCTGCTGCCCATACTTTCAATATAATTTTTAATCTCCTGGATTCCTGATTGAAACCTTTTCATGGGCTCCAATTTTTTGCTAAAAAATTCATGTTTTGTATAGTTTTGTTTAGCTCAGTTAGCTTTTTATTAGTGTTTTCTGAAAGTCCTGGATCATTTTGATTACTACTTTAATTATCTGTTTAGTTATATCTTCGGTGATCTTGTTGAGTACCTCTTTGATTTATTTTCTAACCTCCTCTGTTATCTTTTTGAGTAATTTGGGTGTATGATTTATGCTGTCCCCCCCACCCCCGATCATCCCTGGATTGGCTTTGGAGGAGTTGGGAGTTTTGGGAAGCATTGTTTTGCCTTATCTTTTCATGTTTCTATTGGGTTTGTTGATTTGTATGCTTTTTTGTGTGTGCTAAGGTCTGTGGATGCTTATAGGGTAAAGACTTTGTTGCTCATATAGAGATCTCTTTAGTCACTTTTCAGTGATGTACTTTAGTTAAATATAGTCCTTTGTCTCAGCTCCAAGATATAACCACCTTAGTTATTTTGGAAGGGGAGGATGCGGTGTCATTGGCCCAACACTGAGTTCTCTGGGAATGTACTCTTGTATTGTTTATGTCACAAAGGGAATCTGAGTGTTAGCTTACAGAGAAAACTCATTAATAGCAACAATTATGCAACCCTGGAAATAGCAAGCAAATCAGCTACAATAGTGTTGCCCAAGACAAATGGGGTATTAACATACCATAAGAACCAATTATACACCACCCTTAACCCTAGTAAAGAAATCCACAATTATGATGTGAACATTAAAATAATCCAGGCATTATCTTTCAGCTACTATGTACTAAATGTGATAGTTATATCTCAGCTAGTGGTAGAAAAGAATTCAACAGTAATTTTATAGTTAACTATCTAAAGATTAATAAAGCTTTATGATTATACTATTAAAGACATTGGGGGCCGGGGATTTAGCTCATTGGTTTCGCTGCCTGCTGCGCAAGTGCAAGGACCCGAGTTCGATCCCCGGTACCAAAAAAAAAAAGTCATTGGGGGTTGGGAACTGGGAAATATAAGAGAAAAAATTTGAAACTTTAAACTATACAATATGAGAAGGAAGAGAGGGAAGTGGTACAAAGGATCCTATTGGAGAGTAGAAGGATGTTTATAGAATTAGGCAAAGATTAAAGAAAAAACTGATAAGAAATAGAAGATAAAAGAAAGATGAAAGAAGAAATTATATGAGGCATAAAAATAAAAGAAAAAATTAAAGGGAGAAAAATTAAAAGGGAGAAGAGGACAAAATAAAGCAAAAAAGATAAGAAGCAAGGAAAAAGGAGAAAGGGAAATTCCCCAAAACTCAATAAACTGGTGGAGAAGAAAGGAGGAAAGGAAAGGAGAAAAAATTCATATACAAAAAAAATTCTCCGTGATTTGAAATATGTGGCTTTCTTCTGAGGTCTACCATTTGAGGGTAGTGTCCAATTCAAGGCATGTCCCTGGTCACACTGGTACATAGAGAAGGCAGTCAGATCCCAGATCTGTGCTGGATGCAGGCTCCAGCAGACAGTAGGATTAGGGTGAGGGTCCCAATTCCATGACTTTCAAATCCAGAGTAACTCAGGCTTGAGCCTGGCCTCTGGCCATGGAGGGAAGCCCTGTGTCCTTTACCTCAGACCCCTCAAGGGGTTTCTTTCCAGCCTGCTCCCCAACCATGGCTGGTCTCTCACCCAGTCATTGTGGAAATGTAACACTGGGAGCCCTGAAGTGAAGCTGTCTGCACCGCTCTATGGCCTGGGTTAAAACAATCAACCCTTCCCTGGAATGACCTCCAACCAAGCCCTTCCCCAGGGCTATGGCAGCTGCTTGGACTAGAGTCATTCACCAGCTGTTGCAGGTCAAAGGATTCGTGTGGGAGCCAAATCCCACACCCTTATTGCAGCTCACAGCACCCAGTGGTCTGTCCCACCATCAAGTTTCTCCCTGAAGCCCTCTGGAGTCCCTGGCTTTCACTTTGTCTCTGCAGATTTCATCTCCCTTTCCTGGAAGCCATGATCTAGGAGCTAGGGAGAAAATGTAGATTGCCCCTTCCCTTCTCTGCATTGTCTCTTCAATTTCTCTGTAGGTTTTAATTTGCTTGTCAGATCCTTCCAGGTTTCCAGGGATCTACTTCTCTTTTTTCTTCCCCAAGTTATTATGTTTTAGTGTCTGGATTCCGGATCTCAGAAAGGCTGAGTTGTTGCTGCTTACCACTTTGCCATTTTCTCTCAGTCCTTTGGTCTTGTCAGTGACTCTATGAGTTACGGGAGTTCCATTTGCAGATGAGGAGTTTGTGCAAAAAGTTTAAGGAATTTTTCTGAGAGCTCATGCTAATCAGTGCTAGAAACAGGGTCCCAACTGAGGTCTCCATGGTCGAATGTCATAGCAGCAGCCAACTTACGTGATCCCTGAATCAGCCTGCCCTGGTGGCAGCCAGAGAAGTGCAGGTAGGGAGAAAATGGTGGTCATATTCCAAAGTGAGGGAGCTGAGGATGAGAGATGAAGTAGTTAGTGGTTCTCCTAGCTGGCTGAGGTTTCCTTCCTCCCATGCTGTTTGCACTGTGGAGCGTAGGTGTGTGTATGAAAAGGAGGGGTACAGGGAAAGAGAGAACACATATATACCAGGACGGGGTCAGGAACAGCCTGGCAGGAGGCTGTCTTAGCTGACTACATTCCTTGTCTCCTTCTGCCCAGGACTCACTGGGAGGAAATAGCCACACTGTGATGATTGCCCACATCAGCCCAGCAAGCACAGCCTTTGAGGAGTCCCGAAACACCCTGACCTATGCCGGCCGGGCCAAGAACATTAAGACAAGGGTGAGGCCACCTGGAATGTCCATCTGGGCACACTTTCCTGGGTCCGGATTCGAGCTCCTGGACTGATTCCTTCCACCCACCACCCCATTCTCTCTAGACCCAGCCACCACTGCACTAGCCCCAATCAAACATCCCCTCCAAGCCCTTTCCCTGTACCTCCAGCCCCTGCATGTCTACCCTAAAGCTCTCATTTGCCTCTCATTCTGGGCTACCCCCACTCCAGCCCAGCCCCTCCATCTCCCCTTCCTCTTCAGAGATCCATTTAGATCTCTACATTTTCAAAGCACCTCCTCATAGTAATCATAATATTAGGGGGCCTCGGGGGTGGATCTTCCAGTGCTGAACCAACACTGCCATCTCTATAATAAAACCACTTTCTACATACTGAAAACCACTGCATCCTGCCAGATCTGACTTCTAATAGTTTGTTTTGTTAAACAAATTTCTATCTATGTTCATACTTTTTTCTTCTATTATCTTTATCCAGTTTTAGGATTAGCACAATGTTGATTTCCTAAAATGAGGGGAGAAGTGTCCCTTCTTTTTTCTGCTTTAAATGTGTGATATAATTTATCAGTTAAAATGTATATGAGCCTGCTGTTGTCATATAGGGAGGTTTTCAAGCTAGGAATATACTTTCTTTAATAGGTGCTATTCAAATTTTATATTTCCTCCAGTTAGTTTCATTAATTTGTCTTCCAAGTTACTTCTTAGAAGTTGTCAAATTAATTTCAAAAAAGATTTTTTAATATGCTTTCGATATTCTTTTAAATTCTGTAAAATCTGTGGTAATGTCTCCTAGATCTTGATATTGTAATTTTAAAAATGTATAATTGATATTGTGTAATAGGAAGAAAAGGTCTAAAATAGTAGGGGAAGTGGGAGGGGTAGGGGAAAGGAAAGAAGGGGAAAGAAAAACTATGAGAAAAGGAAAAAAATGGAAACAAAGTCTTTGCAAATAGGGAAGGGTGGAGGGGGTGAAGGGAGGGCAGGGGAAGGGGAAAAAAATAAGAACCAAGATACCCATGTAAAGGTACAAGAGCCCAATGATGAATGTAACTGTATTTTTTTTTTTTTTTTTTTTGGTACCGGGGATCGAACTCGGGTCCTTGCTCTTGCGCAGCAGGCGGCAAAACCACTGAACTAAATCTCCGGCCCTGTAACTGTATTTTATACCTAAAATGTACCAATAAATTTAATGGGAAAAAAAATAATAGGTGGCCTTTGTTGAGCCCCTACTCTGAGCTCTTTGATGTAGTATCACATCTGATTTCAAAACCAGGCAAGTGTTACTGCTTCCCTATGATACAGTTTAGACAGTGAGGCTTAAGGATTTAAGTGATTTCCCAGCTGGTCAGTGATGGCTTAGAGACCAGAAGTGGGTCTGTCTGGTTCCCAAGTTCATGTTCCTACTTCTCTGGTGAACATGGTGGGACCCTGACATCTAGTATGAAGTCTCTTTTGGACTGAGTGCTTGAAGTTGAATTCTGACCCTCCAGGAAGTTCATGGGGTAGAGGAGACATAACGTTGACTAGTTTGTTGGTAGCTGAAACAGTTGCTAGGTAGATGATGCCCTTGGGGGTGGGGGTGGGGGAGACTGAGTAGTATTGTGATGTATGAGGAAAATATTCTAGAAGGTGGGAAGTGGTAAAGTTCTAAAGCTGAGAGGGAGTTAGTGGTTTTGAGCAGGGAGGAGCGTTTCTTGAGTACAGAGCAGATTATTTGTTCCAGAGCAGTAAAACTCAGAGAATGGTGAGCCTTCAACACCAGTTAAGGAAGTAGGGCATTCCATCTAGGCAGGAGGGAGCCACTGAAAGTGGATGAGCAGAAGCAGAACTTTAGGACTATAGATCTAGTAGAGACATGTTAGATGTGACCGGAAGAGGTAGAGCTGGAGGCAGTGAGGGCTTACTGTCATCAGAAGGACTGGGGAGGCAGAAGGGAAGGAGAAAGGAAGGCCCCACTGGAAAGACCAGGCAGTGGATGGAGGCGGCCCTAGCTCCTGGTGTTCTCCCCCACCCTGTTCTCCCTGCAGGTGAAACAGAACTTACTAACTGTTTCCTATCACATCGCCCAGTACACTCATATTATCCAGGACATGCGCAGTGAGATCCAGCAGCTCAAGGGCAAGATCCAACAACAGGCTAGGCGGGGCCTGGCCCTGGGCCGGCTAGATCGAGGTGACATCCGCCACATTCAAGGTGTGTGAGTGGGCAAGGTAGTACTGAGCCGGGCTGTCTTGGGCTGGGTAGCCTTAGGCTGGTCGCTCAACTGCTCTGAGCCTTCCAACCGACCCTTGGAAAATGGGATCTTGATCTGTACCGGGGGACCTGGAGACCAGGTGGGATCCCGTACCACAGGGCATATTCAGCTGTGCGGGGTTCACACTGCGGGCTGCCTTGCAGGACGCTGGGACCACCACCTTTTAGTTGTTGGCACGAGGTGCTGTAAGGGCGGGGGACTCGGTCATATGGAGGACCTGGTACTACCTTTGGGGTACAGCCTGAGACACCATGCGGGGGCGGGGGTGAGAGAAGGTCATTCTGGAGGAAGTGCTTGGACCGGAAGTGGGCGTGACGGTTTAGGAAGAAAGATGGTGAAGGTGGGCCTAGAATCCTTAGCTGGAGCCTGGACTGACCCCCTTCCCCACCCCCGGCAGCCGAAGTGCAGCTGCAGGCCGAAATGAGGGCGCTGCATGAGCAGCTCACCGGAACTTTTCAGCAGGAGATGGATGCGCGCAGGCGCCTGGTGGAGCTGGAGAAGCAGGCCACGGAGATCGAACTTGAGATCGACACCGTCAGCCGCTTGCTCAGCACCTCTGGGTAAGCAGCTCCCCTTCACTCTGGGTCCCACACAGGCCCAGGACACAAGAGCTGGGCCCCAATCTCGTATCTCCCTGGGGTGGGGCAGTTGGAAGCACAAGAAATCCCGAAAAGGCCTGAAGGGTCAAGAGGAGCGGAGGAAGAAGGAGAAAGAGTCCGATGTGGGCAGTGACATCCTAGAGCCACCCGAGGTGGCCTCAGCCCGGGACAGCATCACTGCCCTGCTGGAGGAGCAGAAGAGGCTCCACAAGGAGAAGGTGCCCAGGGCTTGGAGGGCATGGGGGGTGAGAAGGGGCAGAACAGTTGGGGTCCAGGGGAGGAGGGCAACTGGGAATGCAGGCTACCAACTTTGGGTGACCTTGCCAGATTCTAACCCTCTCCGTGTCTCAATTTCTCATCTGTAAAATGGGAGCCGTCATGGTGCAGCCTTCATGGGGTCTTTGGAGAGATTAATGCCTGGCACATGCCCAGGGTTCAGGACATAGTAGCTAACATGATGGGGTTTTCTGGATAACAGATCCTTCCCTTCTGATGAGGCATGCTCAAACCAGAAGGGCTTCAGAGTATCACAGGGCTGGGGTTGACCCGATGTCCACAGAGCTGGTTCTAGTGGTGAGTGCTAGTCAGGGTGGTAAGAAAGTGGGCAAAGGGAGGCCACCTTAAAACAGACCCTGGTTACAAGATCCAAGATACAGCTTCAAGGGTTGGCATGGAGTGCCTGCTGGACACCGAGAGTCCAGGATCTGGAAGGAGGACAGGCACAGCAGGGGGGCAACTGCTTGGTGCTGACCTGGCATCCTCTACAGTTGGTGCTGCAGCAGCGCTGCCAGCAGGAGCTGCACACACGGTGCCAGGACCTGCAGGAGATGCTGCTTCGGCTCATCAGCTCTGAGGAGCAGCAGGAGGTGCTCAGTTTGCTGTGCCAGCTACACAGATTTGAGATGGAAAACACTGAGGTGCAGTCTCATGCACTGCTCCACATCTGTGACAAGATCATCTGGGGCCAGAAGCAGATTATTGATGGTAGGGCCCAAGCCCCACTAGACCAAACTGCTCAGGAGGGGCCGTGGGCCCATGCTGAGCCGTGCCCCTGCCCCCTCACAGATCACAACCTGCCGGTCCCCCAGCACCTAGAGAACCTCTACACAATGTACCACCGTGAGCAGGAGGAGGTCAGCCTGGAGCAGGCCACCATCACAGACCTGGTGGGCTCCAGGGCCCAGAAGGTAGGTGTGTTTGAGGGGGGGCATATGCGCATATGCTAGGGAGGGGCCACCACCCACAGTGGGATGGGACTGGCTAGCTGGCTGGCACCCCTGGGAGTTGCTTTTGTTTCCTTCTTACCCCATCCCACACCTTGCCAAGCGGGAGTACGGAGTACGGTCCACATCCCTAGGCATTCCTCACTGGTTCTTGTCCCCACCCTGGATCTGAGGGTCAGGATTGGCCATCTGAGTTCTCACAAATGGTCCCAGATGACCTCCCAGGAGACTGGGGCATTTGGCAATGCCACTGAGGCTGCCTAGCAAACTGCAGCTTCCTCCTGGGGATCCAGGACCCATCCCACTGCCCTTCCAGGGCTTCCAGCCCTTGTCACTCTGTGTGCCTTTGTCACCCTCGGTAGTCACCTGGTCCAGGACCAAGCCTTCTGACTGTCCACTCCTATTCTCCCCTCCCTAGGAGGGTTTCCTGCCCAAGATCACCCCAGCGGAAGTCACACTAACCCCAGATTCTGACCCGGAGAGCGTGAATTCTGAAGCTAAGGACCTGCAAAACACTACCTTACCCTGCCTCACCACAGAGAGGTGAGGCCACTTCCTTCAGTCCTCTCTCCTACCCTGTGGGGGAGGGAGGGCAGTGTAACCAGATCAAGGGTCAACAGGGACGGCGGGGACTTAACAAAAGGGAGTCCCGGAGCCTCCCTTCCCACCAACAGCTTCTTCCCTAGGGGGCCGGACCTCAGTGGCACCAGCCTGGTCAATAGCCACTCATCTTCTTCTGCCATCATCACCAAAGCCTACCTTGCACACACAGCCAGACCCTGGGCCTGGCCAGCAAAGACCTCCTGTGTGTCCATCCCACCTCCCATTCCAGTTGGCAGCCTGGTGACCCAGGAGGTGAGCTCCAGGGGCCCACTGGCCCCACACGCCTGCTGCTGGGGGTGGGCACACAAGGGTGGACACCCAACAGCTAGGGTGCAGTCTTTCCAAAACAGCCACCCACCCCGAGGCCTGCTGCCTCTGCCAAGTGGGACACGGGGTCCCTGCTGGGTTCAAAACTTTCCTCTTCCCAACCACTTCACTCCAGGTCCCACCTGCAAACAGCCTGGGCTGCAACCGCACCTCTTCCCCCAACAGAGGTGAAAAGCTGTCAGAAATCCCCTTGGACCCAAAAGGTACATGTGCCCCCTGCCTGGCATCATCTACACCGCTCAGATCACCCAGCCCCAAGTCCCTTTTCCCTGCTCAATGAGCCATGCATTGGGTGCTGCCTATTCTGTAGTCACCAGTGCTCCCAAGGTGTCAGCCACCTGCTCAAGGACACAGAGACGGAAGCACAGTCAGAAATTAGAATGAGGACACCTGGCACTTAAGATACACCCCTCCACCCAATAATAATTGTAGTAGCAAATACCAATTGAATCTCTGTCTCCCAAATAAAGTAGGCTAAGCCCATTATTTTAGTAACCTATGGGGTTAGTCTTGGCATCCCTAGTTTACAGATGAAAGTAAAGCTCAGTGTGTCCTAAGTTCCTTAAATAGCAAGGGCATTGGGTGCTAGGGGCAAGGGCACCCTGGCTCTTGCTCATTTTGACCACAGCAGAGGAAGGGTGTTGGGAGATGGGCTTGATCCTGGGTTGGCATTGCTGTGTCCTCTGCAGAGGGGAAGGAGAGCCTCACCAAGTCCATCTTAGCCAAGGCTGCCCGACAGCGCTCACAGGCCCAGGCCACTGAGCAGCGCCACCTGCTGGCACCTACCACGGAACGCACCAGTCTGTCTCTAAATTCACTCAGCGAGGCTGATGATGCTCGGCCCCTGGGCTCCACGCTGCAGCATGCAGCCAGCGACAACAACCTGTCCAGCAGCACGGGTGACGTCCCCTTAAGGGTGATAGGGTATCAGGCTGATGGCCCTCGGCCCTGGCTGGCTGGCCAGAAGAAAACAGACAAGAAAAGAGAGGAGTCACTGGAGGAAAAGACAAGGAAGCAGAGGTCCCTTGAGGTCACAGGGCAAGGGGTGAGGCAAAGGACAGGGGATAGGTGGGAGGGATCCTGAGGCCTGGGTTCCTCTGGGGGCCTCTGGGTACCTCCAGCCCTGCACTGCAGCGGAGGCACCACCCTCGGCATCGCCTCCACCCCCAGGCCACAACCGTAGCTGGGGCAGAGGCCTACACAGCTCTCGGCCTCACCTCACTCTTCTCCAACCAACTCAGCTCTCCCGCCCCAAGACACACGTCCCCCGTCCCCGTCCCCGAGAGAGCACCGTGGGCCACAAGGTGCCAGCGTACAGCCACCCAGCAGCCGGTAACCAGCATCCAGGAACGGCTAGCCTGCCTCTGGCCCCAATCAGACTCCCTCCCAGCGAGGGCGCCGGTCAGTACCAGCAAGGGAGGGAAGGGAAAGCCTTGGCCAGCCCGGGGAGGAGACAGGTCAGGCTCCCGCCCCTGTACCTGGCCACTAACAGGAGCACGATTCTCAGAGTATTCAAGTGACTGGCAACTTGGGGCTGTGCCCCTAGGGAGCTCACGGCACTGATCCTGGCTCTTTCCTGTTGCAGGCTCTGGGGATGCCTTACCCCTTACTGTCACCTCAAAGCCAGCAGGCATTACCCGGCTGCCCACTCGTGGGCCACACCAACCCCATGGCCCCCAGGACAAAGATGGGCTCTTCCGACCTAACTGAGGAGCCCTGCCTGGGACCAGCTGCTCTGCCCTTGAGACTGAATGGGGTGTAGCTGGGAATGGGAAATGGAGGGGGCCAGACGGGGATCACACTGAACAGGAGCTCAGAAGCTCAGAAGGCGGGGGCTCCTGAGACCCAGAAATTCTGGGGGTGTCTGCCCGACCCTTCCATGCTTTCATCCCCAGGGGCGGGATAAGCCCAAGAGGCACAGCCTCCACCCTGGACACAGCGGTATTGCCAAAACCCTGCACCGACCTGTGGCCAGTCTCGGCCCTGGCTGTGGGGGCGGAGCTGTAAGCACCACGGTGCTCCTGGCCCACAGCTGGGGCGAGGGCATGGTGGATCCTGGGAGAAGGGACCACCGGCCTTCACGTAGGGTGGGTGGGGCTGGGAAGGGATCTAGGTTTGCTACTTTGCAATGGCTTTTTCCCTCTTCCTCTTTACCCCCGTCCTCCCCCCGCCTTCCTTTTTATTAATAAAACCCCACTTGTGTTTTCATGGTTGCGTTGGAAACCAGACATCGGGACGTCCGTGACTAAGACTGAACCAGCTCCCTTCCTCCTCCCTGCAACGCCCTGCTCTCCTCCTGGCTGGGGAAAGGGTTTTCCTCCAGATCCAAGGCCCGTCCCCAGGAAAGGCAGGGCTAGAGCAAGGTCCAGTTTGTGTCCCCTTCCCAGCAACCCCCACACTTCCCCAGGCCCCTCCTAGGAGAGAGGCCAGGGTCTTGGGGTGGCACCCACAGAAAACCTCCCAGCTGAGAGGAGGGAGCTGGGCCCTGGAGATCAGGGCTCAAAAATTGACCAATTAAGTCCCCAGCTGCAAGGTGAGAAAACTCCTGCCAGGGGTAGGCACCTTGGCGTCCCACTGTCCTGTTCCAAGCTGGGGTGGGGCCTCTCAGGGAAAAGCTCAGTGAAGGTCAGGGAACTCTCAGACTTGTGGGGTCTCCCTGGGTGCTCTTCCCTCCGAGCTGGTAGTTCATTCATCCCTTCATCTCTCTGAGCATCTGTTTATTCAGGACCAAAAATGTTGCCTTCAAGTTGGCTGTAGAATGAGCTCCAGAATCCAGGGATCTGGTCTACTGCCACTCACCTGGAACCCACCCCAGGCCCAACCAGCCAATGCCTGGCCACCCAGGGACCAGGCTGGCAGTCCCCCCCTCGCTCGCCTCACCCTCCCCAGGCCCTGGTACCGCCTAGGTCAGGCCATTTCTTTCCGATCTACTTGGGGGTCCGGATGAGGGTGTGGTAGACAGGCTTGACGATGAGGTGAAGATGCAGCGCATTCTCCACCAGGTACTCGGAGTTGCGCCGCTGCAGGTCCGCGTGCACCAGGAAGTCGCCAACCTCCTCGCTGCTCTGGTGGAAGCTGTAGGCGTGGCGAACCAAGAGGCGGCCCTGCTGGCGGGCTCCCACCAGCACGGTCTTCTGGAAGCTCACACCGGCCGCGTCGCCGCCGCTGCTGGCCGGCGTAACCACTAGCCGCGGCCGGCCGTCCTCAGGGCGCGCGGCTGGCAGCGCGGTGCCCGCAGCGTCCGCGTAGACTGGCCTGAGGCTGACAGGCAGCCAGCGCGGCGAGAAAAGCACATTCCACGTGACTCGGCGGCCCGCGTCGTGGCCGCTCGGGCCCAACTGCGTCTGAAAGCTGGTGCTGCGATCATCGCGGGCTGGGTTGTTGATGATCCAAGGAGCGCCCCAGGCGGGCGCGAGATAGTTGCGGGGCAGGAAGGCACTGCCGTTGACATCGAAGAACTTGGCATAGTGCAGCGGCGAGGCGGCGTGGAACTGGTAGGCCTGCAGCAAGAGGTCGGCCACCGCGGGGCCATGGCGAGCCAGGGCGGCAGAGCGCGCCTGCAGCTGGAACAACTGTGCGGGTGGGATCATCGGGTAGCGGATGGCGCGCAGCGCCCTCTCGGCCACCGCAGGCGACGGCCTAGCGCGGCCCAGCCACGCCTCCAGCGCGTGAAAGAGCTCCAGCTCATCCTGCAGCACCAGGTCCGAGCGCTGCAGCAGTTGCCCCAGCAGCTCGGGGCTCACGGCGCCCCACTCGGCGCTCCCCGCCACAGCAGACAAGTTCCATGCCAGGAACTGCAGGCAGCTTTCGCGCAGGACCTCGTCCCCGGTGCTCACCGCGTAATGGTACCAGCCCACCGCCGGGCCCGCGCCGCCGCCGGCCAGGTGCGCGCGCATGTAGTCGGCCAGGCCGTGCTGCAGGGGGGCCACGCCGTACTTGCTGGCCAGCCGGTGCAACGGGATAGCCTGCGCCAGGAGCACAGTCAGCTCGCCGCAGTACAGGTACCTGCCGGAGAGCAGTGGGGAGGTGTCAGGTCAGAGCCACCCCCGCCTCCAGGTAGCTTTCTGTGGTCAAGGGCGAAAACAATACAGTGGGCCCTGTGGCTTTCGGTCTTTCACTCTTAGGCCCTTCCAGACTGTTCCTACTTCCTGACCTGTGCTTTGGGTTTCCGATAGTGAAGGGAAAATCACGTCCATTTATTGAAAGTCTTCTAGGTGCCTAACTCTAGCCCAAAACAAAGAGAGATACCTCCTGCCACTGTGGAATTTATGGTCTGGATTCACAACTATGTCCTCCCACGTATTTGCCAGGAGACTGAGCAAGTTCAAGTACCATGACCTTAAGCTACCCATCTAAGAAACAGTAATAACCTTCCTTGGGATTATTGTCACAGTGGGAACAGAATGAAGAATCTTGCTACAAAAGTTGGAGCTCAGCACAGGGGCCCCCTTTCTTGTTTGCAGTCTCATCTTTCTCCCCTTCTTTTCCCTTTCATTGTTAGCTTGCTCTCTTCTTAGCCCCCTATGCCTCCCCATCTCTCCTGGCAGTCCCACTGGCACACAGCATTCCTTCTATTTTGTCTCTCTTCCTGGTGCCCGGAACTTATGTCTCAAGCTCTGCAGGTCTCTTGTCAAAGCCATTAGAACAGAGTTACTTTCTCAGGCCAGAGTGTAAATGGTGAAGGATGAGGAGCTAGCTAACCTTTCAGCTCCCTACCCCTGTGGTTCCAAACCTGGGCAGACACCAAAAACCACATAGATACTTTAAAAAAGGACTGTTGGTCCCAACCCTAGGCCTGAAATCGACCATCCAGAGTAGGACCCTGGAATCTGTGGTTTCTGAAAGCTCCACTGGCCAGGTTCGGAAACAGCTTGGAGGGGGTCACCATTTCAGGGAAGTGACATCAAGCCATCGAGAGCACACAGGCAGAGGCAAGGAGCCACACTGCACTGTGCCAGAGGACAGTGGGAGAAGCAGTGAAGCAGGTGGTGCACTGTCGTCTGCCTCAGTGGCATTGGCAAATAGACACCATGACTCCAAGGGCCAGGCTGCTGTGACCCTGTAGGTGGAGAGCTAGGGGCTGGGGAAGCAGTGAAGCACGCCCAGCCCTTCCCCTCCGTACCTGATGAACTTGTCAAAGACAGCAGCGCAGTCCCGGAGCTCCTGCAGCACTACCTCACTCTGGTTGCTCAGCAGTTCCCGGAACAGCTCACTGTGCAGCCCCAGCAGCAAGCGGTGGCCGTGGAAGACTCGGACCTCGTCGGTGCCTGTAGCCTGCACTCGCAGAACCACGTCGCTGGCGTTGCCCTGCCGCAGCAGCTCCTGCAAGCGGTGGAGTAGTATCTGGGAGTGGTTGATGGAGGTGCCTGCTGCCTCCCCGCCAATGTCGGCTCTCTGAGCTGCAGCAGAAGGGACAGAGCACAGCTGGGAAGTCACCTGGGACCTGAGGCCTCTCCGTCTAGGGTGCAGAGGAACCAGCCGGAGACATGTGTGCACGGGAGGAGAGCAGGAGGGCCTAGGGAAGAGTTGTGTGTGCACACCTGTGCATCCTGTGTGGTGTGTGCATGCCCGAGGGGGCCCATAGGCACTCCGAGTGGACAGGACGTGCTGATGCAGACCCAAGAGGATGTTCTTGGAAGCAGGGAAGAGAGCATTCTCTCAAGAGGAAGGAGGGAGAGGCCACAGACCAGCTCTGGTCTCCATGGACCGATGTCCATAAAGCCAGACCTCCCCAGCCAGGCAAGAGTTGAGGCCACGCTTGGTCCTTACCCCTTTTGTTTCCTTCACAATTGTCCGCCTAACCACTCGGGGGGGGGGGCACATTAACTAACAAATATTTATTGAGTACCTATTATGTCCCACACACTCTCCTAAAAGCCTGGACTATGGCAGTGGACAAAATAAACCAAGTCCTTATTCTCATGGAAGCACAAATGAGCATATCAAGCAGGTAATAAGTACATAAATAAGCACCCTAGTTTCAAAGGAGGCATCCAGGGAATGAACCCATGTGGAGGCAGAGGGACCAGGCCTGCAAGGGGATTTTTCTGGAGCAGTGAATGAGAGGAGAGAGTCAAACAGATGCCAGGTGACAGGAGGGGAAGAGAAGCTGATTCCCAGATCTGCTCTGCCCTGCTGGGCTCTGGATCGATGAGACAGGTGGGGACCATGGGGAGTCCCAAGGCCAAGCTAGTGCTGGAGTAGGATCCTCCAGGGAACTGGCTGTCAAGGATGGGGCCTGTGCAGGTGGCCAGGCAGACCTCTGTTCATGCTTCTGGGGATGTGTGTTGGTCATGTGGGGATGTGCACTTCATCACAGAAAAATCAGGGAGTGCTGCTGGTGGCTTTCTTGAGCTGAGAGCCATCAGGAAAGATTTGTAGTGGGATCAATGGGCTGTCTGACAGTGGCAGATGGGGACGAGCTATACTCTCACATGTGCACATACACAGGACATGGCCTGTGGGGACAGGTGGGGAGCTGGATCACACAAGAGCCAAGCATCTGTGTGAGAGCGAGACCCGGGAGGAAGGGAGGCAGAGAGGTGGATGGTGAACTTCCTAGCCCCGCCTCCCCAGCTGTCACTTTGAGGGACCTGAATGCTGATGACATCCCATCCGCATTCGGCCTCTGCCTGGGACAATGGATAATGGAGGGTCTGCTTGTTGCTAAGACCCCTGCTGCTGCCCAGTCCCCCCTCCCACTGAGGCAGGCTGCCCTCTTTCCTTCTGGGAGATGTGTCTGTGGCGCAGTGGGGCACTTTCCCAAGCTGCTGCACGTCCCCTCTCCCGGCTGGCCATGTGCATGAGGGCTGGAAGGTCCTGCCCTGTCCCGCACCCCCACTCTGCCCACTGCCCACTCACCTGCATGAGTGACCAGGCCCACCAAGGCCAGGATGGCCCAGAATCTGCCCCAGGACCCAGGCTTGCAGTGCCCTCTCCTAAGCATCTTCGCGCTCCGCCCCAAGTGCACTGGAGGGACAGTGACGCTCAGACCACTCGGATCGCATCCCTCCTCCTTATATAGGATCTCAAACAGGGGACAGCTCCCCCTTCCTGCCAGGCCTCCCTCCCCCCACTCAGCCCCTGCCTTGGATTGGTGGAAACTGGCCCCTGCTGTTGTCTGGGCAACCACTTAAGCCAGAGAGTGGCAGCCCAAGGGCTATTGTGCTGTCCTGGGCCCCCAAGGGGAGCAGATCCGGCACTCTCCTCCCCCACGGCTCCCCTCAACTCTGCAAAGCTAGTTGGGCCTCCCCAGGGGAGTTTTAGGCTCCCTAAAGGGCAAGAAAGGAACTTCAGAACCACTGTCAGGAGAGGACACCAGTGTCCCCAGCCCCTCCCCCAGCCGCAGGCCCAGCCTCTGGCCTGGCACGGAGCACACTTGGCAGCATCATGGCTGGAGCGCCGTGGTGAGCCAGCTGCAAAGGAAGTGCCTGGACAAGGCACGCAGGCTCCCACCCCTCCCCCACTCCCATTTTGGGGAGGATCGGCTCTCCCAAGAGGAGGACAAGAATCTGGAAAAGGCGTCCATGGGGGACTGGATCATTTTCATGTCCCTTGTTGAAGAAAGTTCCTGGCATGCTCCGGAGAGGGTGATGGTCTTCAGGAAAGCTCCACAGGAACTGTGTTCATGCCCCTCCCCAGGGTCAAGGTGAGCCCAGTTGGCAGAGCTGGGCACACAGCAGATGCAGCCCTCCGTGCTCCATAGGGAGTGCCCTGCCTGGAGCAGGCCTGGCCACTTTCCAGGAGGCTGACCTCAGTAGGCAGCCTGTTCCCCTTCCTAGCCAGCCAGCGTGTGGACCTGAGCCTGACACTGGGTACCTGTCTGCACTCTACTTCCCACTACTGATTTGACTCCCCTTAGTGCCTGAAGGTCTTGGGGTTTCCCTGCTAGGAAGGCTTTCACCAGCTTCTAATTTCCAACCCTTCCTTTCCCAGAGTTCCAAGGAGACTTTCGGCAAACCTGGAACCCCATTCTACCTGTAGAGAAACTGAGGCAGAGAGCTAGGTGACAGTCTCCATTGAGTAGTGCAAAGGAGAGCTTTTCTGAAAAGAAAGATGTGGAGAGAGGTGGGTGAAGTCTGTAGGAGAGAGGGAGAGAGAGGGGGAGAGAGAGAGAGAGAGAGAGAGGTGTGCAGGGGTGCTCACAGGCCTCACCTCTGCACCTGCTTCAGCTCCTTGAGGGATGGACTTCGTTGGGACTGATGAACTGAGGTGGGCAGCTCCCAAGAGATTTGGCTCCAGCAGCCCTGGATTGGGGATGGGTTGGCATTTCCTTGCCCTTGCTGTCTGGATCCCAGAGCCCAGCTCCACTTGTTGATTTCTGCCCCGGGCTGTTGCACAGAGACTCAACAGCTCCACCCCGTCTTTGGAGCCACGAAGCAAGCAAAAATTGCATCTGGCAGAGGCCTCATCCAGGTTGGCAGAGTCAGAGCTGTCCGGCTCAGTGGAAACCCCTCCCAGCTGCCCTCTCCCTCCTGGTCCCCTCCTCCAGATCCACGGTCCCCGGCTCATTGGCCGCCTGCCAACCCTTCCTGCAGACTGCACTGCTTCCTGGCTCAGCCCAGTAAGTCGAGCCACCATGCAACAGAGCATCCTGGGCCCCTGGGGGCTTCCTAGCATCTATGCATGCTCATCAATGGGAATGTCACCAATCTGAGAACCTACTCCCCTGCACACTGCCATTCTGTATACATGTGTGTTAGTCAGCTTTCTGTCACTGTGGCAAAATGCCTGAGGTAGACAACTTAAAAGGAGAAAAGATTTGTTTTAACTCATGGTTTCAGAGATTTTGATCCATGGTTACTTCGCCCTCTAGCTTTGAGTCTGTAGTGGGTGGAGCAGCACAATACGGTAGAGAGTGCATAGCAAAGGGTTAGGGCTCAGAATGTACCCCTAAAACCTCATTGTTTTGAGGGCTTTGTTAGCAGCTAATGGGATTTGAAGAACTGAATGGGTCATAAGGGCTTTCAATTCATTAAGTGGATTAATCCATTGATGAGTTCATAGCTTAATGGACCTAGGGGGAGGCGGGGCCTCACTGGATGAGGTGGTCACTGGGGCGTGTCTGAGAAGGGTAGAGCTTCCTCTCCTGCCTCTTTTTCTCTGGCTTTCTCTCTCTTTCTGCTTCCTAACTGGCCATTGATATTTCTGCTGGGAGCCAGTCAACCATGGACTGAAACCTCTGAAACCATGAATCAAAATAGCCTTTTCTCCTTTAAATTGTCTTTCTCGGGTATTTGGTCACAGCAATGAAAAGTTAACTAATACAGAAGGAAACTGCTCACCCCATGGCAGCTAGGAAGCAAAGAGAGAGAGGGAGAGAGAGGAGCCAGGCCCCCATACCTTCTTTAAGAACACTCCCTCCATACCCTACTTCCTTCAGTTAGCCCCACCTCCCAAAGTTTCCTCCACTTCCCAGCAGTGCACCAGCTGGGGACCAAACCTTGCATGCATATTTCTTGGGGAGACACCCCAGATCCAAACATTCTCCTTTGCTATAGCCTCCTCCAGCGTCTGCCCCACTCTTTCTGGAAGCCTGGTCCTCCTGCTCTGGAACCTCTGTGCTTCACCTCAGAACCAGCTTCTCAGGGGTGAGCTTGGGCATCTTTTTTTTTCTAGGCAGCCCCAGATAAGTGCTTTGGACATCCCAGGCTAGGAACCACCTAGTAGAGTTAAATGGGTGCCATTTCAAGTGGGAATGGAACTGGGAGGCTGCAGGTTCCCAGAAAGACCCAGGAAGCTCATCTGCGACTCCCCACCTCTGAGAGGCCCCCTTCCAGTATGTCTAGCATCCCTTATCCCTGACCCTCCTCTGATGCTGTAGAAACTGACTTTCCAAATAAAGGTGCCACATTGTCACTTCTTAGTCCAAAGGTTGCTGCATTGTGTGCACGTGTGTGGGGGCTTATGTGTATGTGGCATGTATGCACATGTGTGTGTGTGTGTGTGTGTGTGTGTGTGTGTGTCTTGGTGCAGGAGAGGGAAGCAGGGTGTTCACCATCCAGTCTCTGAGGTTATAAATCTACAGCACCATGCTTTCTTCTGCCCTAAGTCAGAGGTTCTGTTGTTCCTTGAGAGCAAGTCTGGAGAGTCCATGCAGAAGAACGTTCCCTGAGAGGAGCATGACCTCCCATCACGCCAGCCCATTCACCTAAGCACCTTGTCTAGTGCGATGGGAGTTTGTAGAGCTAGGGCTCAAGTGTCATTGAGTTCTGCTTGGCTGTGCTTCACAACCCCATGCTGGCTTTTCTGGGAAGCTGTTTCAGTCCAGATCAATGCTCTCTTGTTGGGCAAAGTATCTCCATGCTGTAGAAGCAACTGGAATCTCCTCCACGCTTGGGGCAGGGGGAGGAGCTTTTAATCTGCAGAGGGGATGATCGGACCCGGGCTGTTGGAGCACTGAGGAAGGGTGGGCCACAGGCCCAGCCCTGCCCCGACCTGGCAGCCTCCTTACATCTGTGATGTCTCCTGTCCTGCGCAAGGGCTCTGGGAATGACCTGGACAGTGCTTTGGGAAGAGGGACTCGTGGTTAGTACATGCTGTCGGAAGCCCGCAGGGCCATATCCGCCTTCCTGCTCAGACCCTCAGTCAGGCTGCTTCCTGCTGGAATCCCTTCTGGGTCAGGGCACTGTCCGCCTGACCCACGGCTCTCTTTAGCTTATGGTAGTCCCTCCTTTCCAAGGAGGTCACGTGAGGGTGTGACTAGGGAATACCTCTGGGGAGAAGTGGAGGGGGGAGTGGATCTGAGTTCAAATTCCAGCTGCCGCATGCTAGCTCCGTGAGCCTCTCTGCTTCGCTTGACCTCTCTAAGCCTTGGTCTCCTCTTGTGTAAAATGGGAGCATCGAGAGTTGCTTGTGGGGCTGCTGTGAGCATGGAAGGTACAGGGACAGGCAGATGAATGACCCTCCTGGTGTTCCTGCCCGGTGGCTCAGGCTGGATTAGACCTGTGGCCAGAGGAGCGGTGGTACACAGCTGTAATACCAGCACTCTGGGAGGCTGAAGCAGGAGGGTCACCAATGCCAACGCAACCTGGGCAACTTGGTGACTTTGTGAAATCAGGCCTCAATTTAAAATATTCTTTTACCCAAGCAGGTTGGCTCAGGCCTGTAATCTCAGCCTTCAAGAGGCTGAGGCAGGAAGATTGCCACAAGTTCAAGGGCAACCTGCAGTACATAGTGAGTTCAAGGCCAGCCTGAACCACAGAACAAAACAAATAAGCAAAACAAAACAAAAATTTAAAAGGGCTGGGGATGTAGCTTAGTCTGAAGGCCCTGAATTCAATCCCCAGGCCAAGTTATGCTGCTGTTTGTTTGTTTTATTTCTTTAATTTTGTTATTTTTTGGCTTTTTGAGACAAGGTCTTGCTGTGTAATTCAGGCTGGCCTCGAACTCACTCTGTAGCCCAGGCCTCCAACTTGCAGGGATCCTCCTTCCTCAGGCTCCTGAGTGTTGGCATCACAGGGCACCACTGTGTCTGGCTCTGTGCTGCTGTTGGTGACATCTTTTGCTCCCCCAGGCTGGCTCAGAGGCACCGGGCTCACTGGCCCACCCTGGCCACTGACACTGGCACCACTCAGGAAGGAATCACCCCACCAAGAAGGGTCCTCTGGCTGGGCTGTCTGTGCCCAATGATGACGGCCCTGTCCCTGCCATCACCTGAGCCCACTTGGGTGCTGTCCTTGCCCTGTCCACTCTGGCAGCACTGGCATCTATCGAGTGAGCTGTGCATGCTCAGACCCTGGCTCTCGCATCACAGAGCTCAACACTACTGACTGCATTATAATGTGGCCCACACTATACACACCAGCCAGTGTGCAGCTGGTGTGCAGAGGATCCTAGGGACTCTGCACCCTGCAGGACAGCACCACCATCCTGGCCTCTGAGGCACTTCCTGTTCACAGCGCTTCTTGTCTCAGCCGTGCCAGGTCACTAGGGTCCTCGCAGGCCACGTAGGGAAGCAGCACCTCTGAAGGGGCCATCGGGATTCCTGCAGGTGCACCTGAGTGTCCCCAGAACAGGGTTCTGCAGGGATGGGCCCGTGGGCAGAGCAGCAGGGCCGGCCGAAGGCTGCACGCAGAGGTAAGCTGAGCATCCTATTCCATTCCGCCCTGCCCTGATCCCAAAGCCTCATGCTCTGCGTAGGTCAGGAGAGCCTTGACTGAAGACGATGCACTGTGTCTGGAGGGTACTTGGCTTTCCAGTAAGATATACGTCCCTCAAAGCCAAGTGTAGACACAGGGTAGGAGCCCTGCTTGCCTGCAGACACAGGTGGTCTTTCCCACTCCTAGAAGAGGGCTGTGCCTCAAATTCACTCCGAGCCTCAGGGTGCAGGGACATGACAGCCTGGGGAGTTGTCTGTGCTACTTCTGGTTTCTGAGGCTGAGTCCATCTGCCAAGGCGGCCCTGATGCAAGGAGCTAGTACCTGCCCTAGTCCCACTGTGCTGCCCAGGAGCCTGGGCCAAGCTAGAGGGATTCTCAGACGCTTGCAGGACCTGGATGTGGCCACCAGGGGGCAGCAAGTGCCAAGGTGGGAATTGGGGTCAAGGTGGTTGGCTCCATCCCCAGACACGTGTTCTAATTTAGGAGCCAGGAACACCCAACATTCCCAGGGAGTGGCCAAGGCAGTGGCTCCAGGCAGGGCCTCAGCTCTGTCTGTGTCTCGGTGCCCATGGTGGGCTGCTCTGGTCACACTTCCTCCAGGTGAGGGCACTGCCAGACATAGATTCCAGACTCTTCAGAGTTCTGCTGGCTGGTGTGTATTTGCCAGGGACTGATCTTCTTGAGGGATGCTCTGTTTCAGCATGCCCAGGAAAACAACAGTTGTGGGGCCTGAGGTCCTGGTTTTCCCGGGCCCCCAGCAGTCTGGCCAGGCTTTTCCTGGCTGGGAGGGGGCGGTGTCCCCACCACTGCCCAAGGGCTTCCTGCCATCTTCCCGGTCAACCATCACTTGGAGTAGCCTGGAGCTCTTCTCACCTGACGTGGCCTCGGCAGCTGCCACCCCTTGAACCTGACCCCTCAGGGGCCCTCAAGGAATCTGAGCCCTGTCCCAAAGGGGCAGCCTCGCCTCCCCACCTGGCACCACTGCCCCAGCTCTCGGGCAGAAGCATCCTCCCTTCCTGCCAGCGAGGCCCTTCAGAGTGTCCGTGCCCATAGTCGGCTCCCTGAACCCTCCTGCCCTCGCTGGAGTCCTCACCCCAGGGTGCGGCCGCCCCTGCTGAGCGGGCCAGGCTGCAGGTGCCCTGGACCCGGATTCCGGATTCCGCCTTCCTGCACTTCACCCCGCTTCCCCAGGCACAGACAGAGACCTCGGCCCTGCCCCAGCCGCGCTCCTTCTCCTGCACGGCCCCACTCAGCCCACCGCCTTCCCTGCCTCGGTCCCGGTGGGACCCACTGGAGCTTCAGTCCCTGGAGCCTTCGCCCCACCCTCTCCTTCCTCCTCCCCCCTCCTCCCCACCCCCGCTCTGCACTAACGCGCTCAGTGCCACTGGGAGAATCGTGGGGCAAACAACTGCTTGGGGAGCAGGGTGAGGGGCACAGCTGGAGAGGCCGGGAGGAGGCTGTGGAGACCCCCAGGAAAAGCCCCTGGCGACTGGGGCTCAGGACCCAGGAGCTCAGGGCTGGAGGGACTGGAGACCGCTAAGTACCCTGAGATGCAGGGCAGGACACAGGCGAGGGACTTAGAGGCCGGGAGCGGCGTCTGACGCTGACAGCAAGTGGGCCCTGAGTTGGGGAGCTGAGGGCCATTTAGCTGGAGGCTGGGGCCTCCGTCTCCAGCAGGAAACCAGAAACTAGAAGTTAAAACCAAACTGACTTCAAGTGTAGTTTGAGGGGAGCAGAGGCCAAAGCAGGTGGAGAGCCCTCATCCCAGACTGGCCCGGCCCACTACGCCTCCCTACCCCTGGGGACTCAGTTTCCCCACCCGAAAGAAGGCTAGGACCATCCCAGGGTCAGCAGTGCTGCCCTGGGGAGGGATGTTCCTGGCGTAGGAAACGGGAACCTAGTCGCGGGAACCTAGTCGCGGCCACTCCTGAGAGAGGAGGTGGCTGGGTGTGGAGCTGTGCAGCTGCTGGGAGCCACCTGGGTCAGCATCGCCCGCACTTCTTAAAGGCACAGGAGGGCGAGGAGCCCAGCGAGCAGCATGGTCTCCACCCCCGAGGGCTTCTTCCTGGCACCTGGCGAGGGCCGCATAGGTAAGGGTCTGGAATTTTCATGCGACAGAGATCGACGTGTGGCCGGGCCTCTCCGGGGGTCTGCAGGGAGCAGGGCTGAACCAAAGACCTCAGGGTCAGGCCAGGGCTGCTGCGAGCCCAGCTGGAAAGAGGACAGCTGCTCCAGCCTTGTTCTCTGCCCTCCCAGCTGGCCGGCCACCCGTGACCCTGCTGACCACACCCAACGCCAGTGTGCCAGGCGGGGAGTTTGCAGGCCCCTGGCCAGAGATCCCAGAGAGGTCCCCGTGTGTGGCTGGGGTCATCCCTGTCATCTACTACAGCGTCCTGCTGAGCCTGGGGCTGCCTGGTGAGTGGGGAGCTGGAGTCTGGGGTCTCAGCTTGGCCGGAAGTCAGGGTCCTCCTAAGGCCCAGGATCACAGACTCGGGCTCCTCTTACCTCTATGGGGTGTTCTGGATCATTGGGCAGCGATAAGTAGAGGGGAGTAAAAGTGAGGAGCCAGCCCCGGTGCTGTGGCACACACCTGTAATCCCAGCACCCAGGAGGCTGAGGCAGGAGGACTGCCTTCAGTTCGAGGCCAGCCTGGAGTACATAGCAAGAGCCTGTTTCAAAAGAACAACAAAAAGGGTAGCTGGGCCTGCCTTGGGAATCTCCCCAAGTCTGGTAGATAAACCAATGCCTGTGTTCAGGGAAGCCTCTGTCCCAAGGACGCAGAGCACCTGACAGCCACCTGGAGGAGATGGGTGGACCATGGTGGGGGTTTGGATGGACAAGGCAAGACTGACCTAATCAGCCTTCTTGGCTAAGTGGGCTGTTTCAGTGTTTTATTTTGTTTTGCGGTGCTGGGGATAGAACCCAGGGCCTCATACACACTAGGCAGGCTCTCTACCACTGAGCCGCCCCAGCCAGCAAGGAGGGTTTTCAGAAGGACCTGGGCAGAGGAGAAGAGAAGCCAGCCCTGCCTGCGCTGGCAGGTGGGGAGGGACAATAGAACACCACAGCGGGCAGGCGCTGAGGCTCCCTTCTAACACCTCTGACCTCTCTTCGTGACCTTGCTCGCCTTCAGTCAACCTTGTGACCACAGTGGCCCTGGCCCGCCTCGCCGCCAGAACCAGGAAGCCCTCCTACTACTACCTTCTGGCGCTCACGGCCTCAGACATCATCACCCAGGTGGTCATCGTGTTCGTGGGCTTCCTCCTGCAGGGCGCCGTGCTGGCCCGCCAGGTCCCCCAGGCTGTGGTGCGCACGGCCAACATCCTGGAGCTTGCTGCCAACCACGCCTCGGTGTGGGTCGCTGTCCTGCTCACGGTGGACCGCTACAAAGCCCTGTGCCAACCCCTGAGCCACCGGGCCACCTCGTCCCCTGGCCAGACCCGCCGGGCCATTGCTGTTGTCCTCAGCGCAGCGCTGCTGACCGGCGTCCCTTTCTACTGGTGGCTGGACGTGTGGAGTGACACGGACCCGCCTGGCGCGCTGGACGAGGCCCTCAAGTGGGCGCACTGCCTTCTAGTCTACTTCATCCCCTGCGGTATCTTCCTGGTCACCAATTCGGCCATCATCTTCCGACTCCGAAAGAGGGGCTGGAGTGGGCTGCGGCCTGCAGTGGGCAAGAGCACAGCCATCCTCCTGGGCCTCACCTCGCTCTTCACCCTCCTTTGGGCCCCGCGGATCGTTGTCATGCTCTACCACCTGTACGTGGCCCCCGTCCACCGGGACTGGAGGGTGCACCTGGCCTTGGACGTGGCCAACATGGTGGCCATGCTCAACACCGTGGTCAACTTCGGCCTCTACTGCTCCGTCAGCAAGAGCTTCCGGGCCACCGTCCAACAGGTGATCCACAGTGCCCCCCTGCCCTGCACCCCGAGGTCACGGCTGGACGGCACAGTGGGGGACCCCGTGCTGAAGCCCTTAGGACTCCTCAGAGAGGCAGAACTGTAGGGCAGGGGCCCAGCCAGGGAGTTTGGGGCCAAGGCCACCTGTACTGGGACCCTTGTGATTGTGCCCAACAAATCATCAGCACCCTGCTTTGTAATGTGGGCCAGGGGGAGAGGCCCCTCCTTCAGGGCTGGCTCCCAGGTAGAGAGAAGAACAGCTCAGCCAGCTCTTAGATTAGCTTCCCCTGCCCTCGCATTTCCCGCGAGAAGGACCGGGCTCTGCAGGCACAGGCTGGCGTAGCCGCTGCTGTGGCCGTTCTTCTGTGAGGGGCTTTGGCTGGCACAGGACCAGTGCTGATGTTGGCTGAATGAATGAATGATGGACAGATGTGAACCATCGTCAGCCCAGCCCCTTTCCTGGCACCTGCCTCTCATTCCCTGAATTATCAGCATCTCTGGCTCCCAGTGGCAATGCTGGGGTTTGGAAAGGAAGCTATCTGCAAGTAC